TGTTTTTTTTTTTGTTTTTGTTTTTTTTTTTTGTTTTTTTGCAGAATATGTCTTTTGTTTCAAGAAAAAGATTCAGTTTTTTTTTTCAGAAAACCAGACAAGTAAGATACTAATGCACTATCAAGGTTAACTGGGTTAGGAATATACAAACAAACATCTCTTACTTTTATTGAAATGATCCCCATATTTAAAATAAGATGCAGGAGCAGATAATCACCTGATTTTTCAATCAACTTACTTGCTTAATGTCTTCTTTTTTCTTTTGAAATTGTGAAATTCTTCTCCCTTGATTTCACAGCATTTTGGTTTGAGCTCTCTTTCTTCTCATTCTCTCTTTTTCTTTGCCTTTGCTTCTTCTGAGAGCTGATTCTGCTGTTTTTTTTAACCTCTTGGTCCAGGTGTGTTTGTCATCTGAACTGCTGTCCTCACTGCTTGGTCTGCCCTCCAACTCATCCTAAAGAAAAACAAATTGTAGTAATCATCTGTCTGCATATTCATTTTACTTATTGACCTGTTATATTGGTAAGAAAATACATTGCACACATGCAATGATTTGCATAAATACGTACAGTCAGGTCAAGCATCCATCGGGAGAAAATAAGTTATTTCAATTGTGTTTTGCTGAAAACTTACAGTTTTAGTCCTATAAAAAAACTACAAAGCACAGAACCTTCAGCAGGCTTTAGATTTTCAATAAGTTAAAGATGCATACAAAGTCAATTTTTTGTCACAAAAACCAAAGCTTGGCTTTGGCTAAGCACGGTTCTGTCAAAAAAGCATCCATATGTCGGCAACTACAGCATCGCAGAATTTGAAATTTTGCATGCAAGTGGTCAGTTTTGCAGTGCATAAAATGAGTTAAACAGTGTTTTACAAATTTTTTCATCTGTGCTAGAATGGTGCGAAAAAGACAGACATTGACAACCAGATCATTTTGTCAAACGGAATGGTCCACACAGTTTTATAGAGTTATGCCCAGACTGATGTACCTACAGAGAGGCCACGCCCAATGTATCGACGTCTTTCCACCAGGGTACAGGACTCACTGTCCTTCTGGATATGCTCTGCAACTAAACAAAAGCCAACCAGTTCATTCAGAATGAGGGGCAAATTGTCACCAAAATGCATTTTTCGAGGCTCTTAGCGAACACCGTACTGGTTTCAGCAGGTTAGGATACCAGACAACCTCTGAAGAAGCCACTGTAAACAGCAAAACAGTGTTGTCTGTTTCTATTATGAATTGAGGACCATGACTGTTTTTGGGTAGGACTCTGAAACCGTGTGGCATTCTTTATTGAGCTCAAATTTCACATGTACTCCTTAACTGGTCAAAACAGAGTTTACAGACATCCTGAGGAGGCCTACAACAAGGTGTGTGCCACTTCTAAAGTGACTAGGGTCATTAACAGCATCAGTATTTGGAGTGGATACCACACTGGTGCCAAAACACCAATGGTAGTTTTTGATGAAAAATCTGAACCAGATCAAATAAAGGAATAATTAATCCGGAAAACACTTGACTATCATTTGATATGGGGCACCTTAGAAACAATTTTAGGTTGCACGATGAGATTGTCGGTTCACACAGAGCACTTTTAAAGCAGATAATTTACAGAACCAAGGGAATGAGCAGCCGCCTTGGTCATACAAATCGCCATATCTGAGGATACTTGCAAATAATTACGTTAAATATTCAAGCAAACTTTTTCTTAGGGAAATGTTACCTTGTGCAACAGTAATTATTCAACACATGATCTTCACAATATTTCTTTTAAATTATGCATTTGTTATAAGGCAATTTTCATTTCCTGTCACTGATTTGGAGCTAATGATGCTGAATGAATTGAATTGAAGTAAATGTTTTTGTTTTTAAATGTCAGCTAAAATTAACTTTCTGGCAGTACTTTGTTACATACTAATATGTTAACAATGCACATTGTAAGCACATAAATACAGACAATTAATTACCTTGAGGAACATCCATTTCTTCTTATTCTTCTGTAAGATTGTTCAGGAAGAAGCACCATTTAGGCGCAGGGCCCAGTGACTGTATAAGTGATGAAAATTGAATGCATTCTTTTAATAATTTGAAGACCCACTTAAATTTTATTCTCACACTAAAACTGCCCTCTTCATCAGCATTCAGGATAAATTTTCCAGTATAAATTTATTCTCACACCACAATTACCTGCTTCATCAGCAATCAAGACAATTTTTAAATTATTTTAAAATTTTATGATAACATTTTTCTAGACCCAATTCTTTTCAAGATGAAATTGCCAAGAAACTTCCTGTTTATCTTTAACTACCAGCAAATTTGTTTGCAAAACTTGTGAACGTAACAAAAAAAAAAAAAAAAAAAAAATTAATCCATTTCCAGAAGCTGATGTACAGTTCTAACACAAACAGTTTACTTACAAGTGTATAGTATGTGAGCACTTTAGGAGCCTCGTTGGCCATAAGCAACAGTCCAGAGTCTGGGAAAACACACAGGTCATTCAGTTTTACACCAGGCTCAATGGAAGTAAAAGGTTTACCCTGAAATTGCAATACTCAAAATTATTACATACAGTTGTATGATGCGTAACCTTTAGAAAATAAATGCAATGTTCCTACATGTACCTACACTTTAACCAATATCATAAATTATCCTAATTCATGAAATGTCTGAAAGGCATAACAGTCTCACTGAATAATGAATTGTTTAAATTTGAGACATTTCATCAGAAAAGCCAAATAACATTGAATCCAGTTATCTTAAATGAGTGTTTCAACAAACTGTGTATTGTTATGAATATCTAGTTTAACTTACATTGTCTCTGTGCCTGAGTTTGAGAATTTTGCTGTCTATGGAGACTACGTACCACATCTAGGCCTTCATGGAAAACAATAGACTTAATAGGCAGGTCCTTTACCAAAAGGGGCTTGTCAGATCTTATATCACACAAAAAGATCTGAAAAAAAAAGTGCTAAACATGGGTGAATGGCACTTTGTTATTTTTTGACATTACCATAACTGACAGCGGAGAGTAAAATCTGAACTTGCAGACATGGGCAACACATGGGGAATGAAACAAAATGTTGTTAATGACAAGTGGACAAATTATCTCTATTTAACTACTATATCTTTATAGTATCATTTATGTCTAGAGCACAACTCATCAGTGGGTTCTAATCTTGAAAAGATACCCAAAATAGACCAATTCCCAATAGTAGTGCAATAAGAATCCAGGTAACTAAAGTGAGAGCAACAATGTTCCCTAAACCCTCTCCATAGACATAATACAACATCAACACAATACCAGGTTCCAAAAGTAAAAAGCATTAAACAAAATTATTTTTAATGTGACACAATATAATTTATGTGAACATAAGGCAACTATTTCTACAATATATTTATAATTGAAAGAAATCACTTTTCTCTTTGTTCAGGGGTGGATCCAGAGTTATTTTCTGACAGTCTTCCAAATTAACTTTGTTGATTCATCCTCCATTTTTGACCGTCTTCCGAAAGAAAAAAAAATAGATACCCTTCAATGTAAACTTGAAAATCTAACCGTCTTCCGGAAGACCCAGAAGACGCCCTTAATCTGCCCCTGTTGTTGACCTGGTAAACTTTGTACCAAGTTACAATACAAGGATTATTTGATCATTTCAAAATTCATAAGAAACAAGATCCTTACATGTCCAGCAGATGTGCCCACTGCAAGAGTCAATGCATCTCTATACTTCAGGGAAGTTATTTCTGGAACACCCTCTAATCTGAAAAACACTTCACCATCTTAAATTTTTGGTTAAAAACAACAGGTCAAAATAACAATCTTACGTTCAGGATTAACAGGAAATTACACCTCCAAAATAACATTCAAACTAATATAATAAAATTTAGCCTCCACAAATAAGAGAAGCACACAATGGGGAAAAAAGCAGCCATGCTTTGAGAGTAAATATCTTTTTAATTTTTCATTGTAATTTTATCACATTTAAACATAATATTCCAATTATGCTGCTGTGTTTGCACCTACTCAAGCTCCTGAACTATGCTTCCAATGGCACAATCTAGCTGACCAACTTGGTTTCTTGGGTCCCAACACTCAACTTTGCCCTTTTGATAAAAAATAATGTCAGATTGGGTTCCACTAAAATTATTATCATTTAATTTCAAAGCTTGACTAAAAATTAAACCATTCTAATTTTAACTATTACTAAAAACTTATAACAGAGTTAAAATTCTTTCAGTAGTAACTGTAAAAAGTTAACATTTCAATTAAATTTAAGGAAAAACATACAACAAACATACTTCTGTTGTCCCACAAGTGAACAAACCATGATGAGGATTGATATCACAGCAATTCAGTTTCCTGTAGAACATTAAAAATTCATGTACAACTTTCAATAATTTCAATCAGAAACATAATGACCAAAAGTGTGTGACTTTGGCTTCAAACGTAAAATGAGCTGTTAAAAAAACATAGGAATTGAAAAAAAACAGGGCATGTTGTGAAATATTTACCATGAATGACCAGATCTCCATTAAGCAGTCCATATAACTAAAATATAGATAACTGGCTATTTTAATAAGTAACTTTGACATGAAAAACTTCTTTTTAAAGTTTTGACCACTGGTCATGCACTCACACAGCATTTGTCTTCAAGGGCGACATGAATCTCCCCAGCTCCAGATTTAGTCTGAAAATTTCTGGACTGAAAGAAAATGTCAATTATTATGCACCTGTATACTCCACCAACTTTGCAAGAAACAACATACTACACTGGCTATTTTAAATAAAAACATGCAAATTTTGTAGTTAAAAAGCTTTAAAAATACTAAGATAATATTCATTTATGCATTATAATGTGGGATAGTATACCTGGAGATATCAAACCATGTCTTCTATAATCTAAATGTCTAGTTTTCTCAGTAACTGGTAGTTTATTTAGAAATCAGTGACTATGTAAAATAAATAATTTAGCCAAAATACTTAAAAAGTATTCCACACAACAATCTAGATGCTACACTTAAGTATTAGGTAAACCAATCAAAATACAGACATCAAGATTAAAGTTGTAGATTTACATTTAAAAGAAAGTTAACTTAAACTGCAAAGGTTAAATATTATTGAATTACTCTAAAATTTTTGAGCAGAGCAATGCTCCTTTTTTTCTAGTCTTGTAATGAAATATGGTTTTACCTGCTGCAAATATATACTGTTTATCTGGAGTAACTGCAACATTGGTGCTCACAGTGGGCATCTCAAAGTCCTGTATCAAATTGATTCTCCTCCTTATATCTTAATAATAATAATAATAATTAGAAGCAATATTATATTGTATGTCATTAATTTTTCTTAAATTCCTTCTCTACAAACTTTCAGATAATGTAGTAGCTGTGTTTTCAGGCAAAAGCTTAATTTGCAGTTTCAAGATTATATCAGCCATTCTTGTGAGAAATTTGTACGAAACTGTTTCACCACCTGGAAATCTTTGTATAATCATGTTGCTTGTGGAACTTATACTGAACTTGATTCAGCGCAGTAGGGTGATTTTTGGAGGGAAAAATATTGGGTCATTATTTGACCTACCTCACGTTTTTGGTTATACCCCCCCCCCCCCAAAAAAAAAAAAAAAAAAAAAGAAACAGTTACGACAACAATCATAATAATAATAATAATAAAATAGAACCGTAAACTGGAAAACTTTTCTGACAAGACAACATATCCCATTATTATTTGTTGATCAGTTTGAATAAAATGCATGTCCAATATGTCTTCAGTTTCTTTACTTTTTTTTTTCCAAATACTGACACACGTGTGATTTAATGAGGGTGTATTGATTCGGGAATCTATCATTGAGAGGTTGTACTGATGCACATAATGCAGAAATTTACTAGGGTGAATATTATGACCCCTATCAAACTTCACTATCTTCTCAAGCACTCATCTGTGAAAAAAATTATGGAATTTTAAGTGCCATTTACAGCATGAACTCAAAAAAAAGACATTGCCTTCATTGTGCACCTTTAATTATTATTGGAATATTGTAACCAGTGTTACCAAATAAATTTAACATATTTAAATTCAACATTTGGTTAAATTATTTATCATCCCAAATAATTTGTCAGATACTGGAGAGATGGGTTTTAAAACTCATGCATAAACAATCTTTGATGAACACACATTAACTTGTATATTCAAAAGTATATAGCCATTCAATTACAACCAATTCTTAACAAGTAATCATCACAAGATTCGAGTGTGACAGTGATGGATAATACATGTTTATTGGCTCTAAAATAAATGCCCATATAAAATAAGTCTTTACAAATAATAAAGTTGATTTCAAATATTACTTTGAGAACAAATGAGAAAAATGAATTATGAAAAATACATCATTAATTTAAATAAACTGCAAAAACAACAACAAAACATTATACAAGAACAATATAACTTTATACTATTTTTGCCATGTTTTAGGATGTTCAATGATCATTTAATTGTTGTAAAGAATTTGGTCCAGACATCTATTTATTGGGTTGAGTGCATTCGTTTTTAATTTGGGCATTGTTTGAACAATAATATGTATTATTTTTAAAGGCTCCAAAGACCCCACACACCCATCCTTTACCCATCTCTTAACAAGCAAAGGTTGTATTGTTTTTTTTTTTTTTTTTTGTTTTTTCATTTTAATGTCATTTTATTGCAGATTTTAATAGACATTTCATGGTTTATTTAATGGAGTAAGCTATATCAAGTTATATGTAGTTCTTCATTTGGAATAGTTTTATTGTATTATATCATGTAGCATTTTTTTTTTGTTAAAATTCGATTCAGTTTTGTAGCTTTTTATAATGTTAATTGTATTGAGAATTTATAGTGTCACATCATGTAGTCCTTTTTTTAGCTTTGTTAAAATTTTATTTGGTTTTGGCATTTGGTTATGTAGATTTTTATAATGTTAGTTGTATTGAGAATTTTTAGTGTCACATCATTTAGTCCCTTTTTTTAGTTTTATTGTGCTAAAATTTTATTTGGTTGTGGCATTTTATAATTGTAGCTTATTATAATGTCAGTTATATTGAAAATTTATAGTGTAAAATCATGTAGCACTTTTTTTCTTTTTAAGTTTTGTGTTAAAATTTGATTTGATTTTGGCATATTATAATTGCAGCTTTTTTTTTTTTAGCTTTTTTAAATTTTATTTGGTTGTGGCATTTTATAATTATAGCTTTTTATAATGTTAGTTATATTGAGAGTTTACAGTGTCATATCATGTAGTGTTTTCTTTTTTTTAAGTTTGGTGTTAAAATTTGATTTGGTTTTGGCACGTTATTTTATAATATCAGTTATATTGAGAGTGTTTTGTGTCATATAATGTAGCACTTTTTTCTTTTTATTTTTTTTAGTCATGTAGTTTTTTAGTCATTTAGTTTTGTGTTAAAATTTATTTTGGTTTTGTCATTTGGTTTTGTAGCTTTTTATAATGTTAGTTGTATTGAGAATTATAGTGTCAAATCATAGTACCCTTTGCATTTTTTAGTTTGTGTCAAAATTTTGCTTTTGGCATTTTGTAGCTCATTATAATGTCAGTTGTATTGAGCATTTATAGTGTCAAATTATGTAGTTTTTTTTTATGTTTTATCGTGTTAATATTTTATTTGATTTTGACATTTAGTTTTGTAGAACTTATATTGAGAATTTAGTGTCAAATCATGTAGTTCTTTTTTAGACAATGTTTGTTGGTTTTTTTCTTTTCAGACATCTAATTAAAGTTTAAATTTAAATTAAATTTGAACTTAAAGATTACTATACTTAATATGATATACTACAATTACTGTTGACTACATATAAATATAAATAAAATATAAATATACAATGACCAATTAACCTAGCAGCAGAGAATGACTACAATACATAAATGTATGTCTTAAAAATCCAGTCTTACTTATGTCCAGGCTGCTAAAAGAATTAGAGCATTTTTTTAAAAAACATCTTAACAGTGTCTTTATAGCTTTTCTCATACAAGTATATATACAGTCTTTGGTAATCCTAGGTTATCTTGTTCTTTTCTGCCATCAAGAAGCTTGACCTAATTCGATGGTAGTTGACTACCTAAGATGTAGTCTACCATCCAGCTATCCATAAACCACACTCTACATGCCGATGCACTCAACGAAGAAGAATAATTGCAATCGCCAGCGTCCACCAGATGCTAATGCCCCATTTTTTATGCATTCAAGGCCAGCATCTTCAGTAACAGTATTCCTATAGTCCAGTATTGTGCCAGGAACCTGAGGAAGATAAAATTAAAGCTTTGTCACTACATACGTATGTATTGTGCCTTTATATAATTTTCTTTTATTATTATTATATGCAACCAGACAACTCCATCTTATCAAATGTCATAATTAGTTATCTTAAATCAAAGTACAGACTGGAATATTGAAAAGGAGAATTCAAAACAAAAACTGCGACAGTTTTTAAATCAAAGAGAACCAAACGAATCAATTCCTTGATTCAGAGTGAAATTACTGCAATCAAAGTGAACCAAAGAAATAAATTACTTGATAGTGATTACTAAGGTCAATGTATGCTAAACAGATCAATTTCTTAAATTCAAATTACATTACTATTACCTAACTATGATAAACAAATCAATTACCTGAATTCAAAGCGAAATTGCCCAAATCAATCACATCAATCATTTGAATTGAAAGTGATGGTACTGAAAACAAAGTGGACCAAACAAATTAATTTTTGGAATACAAAGTAAGCAAATCAGTTACTCTAGTTCAAATTGACATTACTTAAATCCAAGTCAACAAAGCTGGTCAATTACAGGAATTCAAATTAACATTACTGATATCAAACTTTACTAAGCAAATCAGTTACTTGAATTCAAAGTGATATGACTGAAATCAAAGTGGACGTTACTTAAATCAAAGTTGACAAAGCTGATCAATTACAGGAATTCAAAGAGATTACTTAAATCAAAGTGGACCAAACCAATCAATAACATAAATTCAAAATGACATTACTGATATCAAACTATACTAAGCAAATCAGTTTCTCAAGTTCAAATTGACATTATTTAAATCAAAGTGGACATTACTGATATCAAACTATACTAAGCAAATCAGTTACTCGAGTTCAAATTGACATTACTAAAATCAAAGTGGACCAAATGAATCAATTACAAGAATTCAAAGTGACATTACTGATATCAAACTATACTAAGCAAATCAGTTACTTGAATTCAAAGTGACATTACTGATATCAAACTATACTAAGCAAATCAGTTACTCGAGTTCAAATTGACATTACTAAAATCAAAGTGGACCAAATGAATCAATTACAAGAATTCAAACTGACATAACTTAAATCAAAGTGGACCAAATGAATCAATTACAAGAATTCAAAGTGACATAGCTTAAATCAAAGTGGACCAAATGAATCAATTACAAGAATTCAAACTGACATAACTTAAATCAAAGTGGACCAAATGAATCAATTACAAGAATTCAAACTGACATTACTTAAATCAGTGGACCAAACAAATCAATTACAGGAATTCAAAGTGACATTACTGATATCAAACTTTACTAAGCAAATCAGTTACTTGAATTCAAAGTGACATTACTTAAATGAAAGTGGACACTATTTAAATTAAAGTCAACAAAGATGATCAATTACAGAAATTCAAAGTGACATTACTGATATCAAACTAAGCAAATCAGTTACTTGAATTCAAAGTGACGTTACTGATATTAAACTTTAATAAAGAAAATCGGTTACTTGACTTTACTTGTATCAGATTATAATAAACAAACCAATTACCTGAATTCAATGTGAAATTGCTCAAATCAAAGTGGACCAAGCAGATCAATTGCATGAAATGAAAGTGACGATACTGAAATTGAAATGAAACAATTAATGGAATTCACAGTGACATTAGTTAAATCAAACTATACTTAAGCAAATCGGTTTCTTGACATGAAATTGACATTACTTAAAGTCAACAAAGATGATCAATTACAGGAATTCAGAGTCAACATTACTGATATCAAACTATACTAAGCAAATCAGTTACTTGAATTCAAAGTGACATTACTGATATCAAACTATACTAAGCAAATCAGTTACTCTAAGTTCAAATTGACATTATTTAAATCAAAGTGGACATTACTCAAATCAAACTATACTAAGCAAATCAATTACAAGAATTCAAAGTGACATTACTTAAATCATAGTGGACCAAATTAATCAATTACAATAATTCAAAGTGACATTACTAAAATCAAAGTGGACCAAGTGAATCAATTACAGGAATTCAAAATGACATTACTGATATCAAACTAAGCAAATCAGTTACTTGAATTCAAAGTGACATTACTTAAATGAAAGTGGACCAAATGAATCAATTACAAGAATTCAAACTGACATTACTTAAATCAAAGTGGACATTACTTAAAGTCAACAAAGATGATCAATAACAGGAATTTAAAGAGACATTACTTAAATCAAAGTGGACCAAACAGATCAATCACAGGAATTCAAAGTGACATTACTGAAATCAAACTATACTAAGCAAATCAGTAACTTGGAATGAAATTGACATTACTTAAAGTCAACAAAGATGATCAATAACAGGAATTTAAAGAGACATTACTTAAATCAAAGTGGACCAAACAGATCAATCACAGGAATTCAAAGTGACATTACTGATATCAAACTATACTAAGCAAATCAGTTACTTGACTTTAATTGTATCAATTATGATAAACAAACCAATTACCTGAATTCAAGGTGAAATTGCTCAAATCAAAGTGGACCAAGCAGATCAATTGCATGAAAAGAAAATGACAGTACTGAAATTGAAGTAAAACAAACAATTAATGGAATTCACAGTGACATTTGTTAAATCAAACTATACTAACATAATCGGTTTCTTTAATCCAAAGTGACATTACTCATATCAAACTATACTAAGCAAATCAATTACAGGAATTCAAAGTGACATTACTGATATCAAACTATACTTAGCAAATCAGTTACTCAAGTTCAAATTGACATTACTTAAATCAAAGTGGACATTACTTAAAGTCAACAAAGATGATCAATTACAGGAATTCAAAGTGACATTACTGATATCAAACTCAACTAGGCAAATCAGTTACTTGAATTCAAAGAGACATTACTGATATCAAACTATACTAAGCAAATCGGTTACTTGAATTCAAAGAGACATTACTGATATCAAACTATACTAAGCAAATCAGTTACTTGAATTCAAAGTGCCATTACCGATTTCAAACAATACTTAGCAAATCATTACTTGACTTTACATGTATCAATTATGATAAACAAACCAATTACCTGAATTCAAGGTGAAATTGCTCAAATCAAAGTGGACCCAAGCAGATCAATTGCATGAAATGAAAGTGGCAGTACTGAAATTGAAGTGAAACAATTAATGGAATTCACAGTGACATTAGTTAAATCAAACTATACTAACATAATCAGTTTCTTTAATCCAAAGTGACATTACTCATATCAAACTATACTAAGCAAATCAGTTACTTGAAATCAAATTGACATTACTTAAAGTGAACATAACTTAATGTCAACAAAGATGATCAATTACACAAATTCAAAATTGCATTACTGATATCAAACTATACTAAGCAAATCAATTACAAGAATTCAAAGTGACATTACTTAAATCAAAGTGGACCAAATGAATCAATAACAAGAATTCAAAGTGACATTACTGATATAAAACTATACTAAGCAAATCGGTTACTTGAGTTCAAATTGACATTACTTAAATCAAAGTGGACCAAATGAATCAATTACAAGAATTTTAAGTAAAATTACTTAAATCAAAGTGGACCAAATGAATAAATTACAAGAATTCAAAGTGACATTACTGATATCAAACTATACTAAGCAAATCAGTTACTCAAGTTCAAATTGACATTACTTAAATCAAAGTGGACCAATGAATCAATTACAGGAATTCAAAGTAGGTATTACTTAAAGTCAACAAAGATTATCAATTCCAGGAATTCAAAATGACTTTACTGATATCAAACTATACTAAGCAAATCAGTTACTTGAATTCAAAGAGACATTACTGATATCAAACTATACTAAGCAAATCAGTTACTTGAATTCAAAGTGACATTACTGATATCAAACAATACTTAGCAAATCAGTTACTTGACTTTACATGTATCAATTATGATAAACAAACCAATTACCTGAATTCAAGGTGAAATTGCTCAAATCAAAGTGGACCAAGCAGATCAATTGCATGAAATGAAAGTGGTGGTACTGAAATAGAAGTGAAACAAACAATTAACGGAATTCACAGTGACATTAGTTAAATCAAACTATACTAAGCAAATCAATTACAAGAATTCAAAGTGACATTACTTAAATCAAAGTGGACCAAATGAATCAATTACAAGAATTCAAAGTGACATTACTGAAATCAAAGTGGACCAAATGAATCAATTACAAGAATTCAAAGTGACATTACTGAAATCAAACTATACTAAGCAAATCAATTAGAAGAATTCAAAGTGACATTACTTATCAAAGTGGACCAAATGCATCAATTACAGGAATTCAAAGTGGACATTATTTAAGTCAACAAAGATGATCAATTCAAGGAATTCAAAGTGACATTACTGATATAAAACTATACTAATCAAATCGGTTACTGGAGTTCAAATTGACATTACTTAAATCAAAGTGGACCAATGAATCAATTACAGGAATTCAAAGTAGATATTACTTAAAGTCAAAGATTATCAATTCCAGGAATTCAAAATGACATTACTGATATCAAACTATACTAAGCATATCAGTTACTTGAATTCAAAAAGACATTACTTAAATCAAAGTGGACCAAATGAATCAATTACAAGAATTTAAAGTAAAATTACTTAAATCAAAGTGGACCAAATGAATCAATTACAAGAATTCAAAGTGACATTACTTAAATCAAATTGGACCAAATGAATCAATTACAAGAATTCAAAGTGACATTACTGAAATCAAACTATACTAAGCAAATCTGTTCAAATTGACATTACTTAAATCAAAGTGGACCAAATGAATCAATTACAAGAATTCAAAGTGACATTACTTAAATCAAATTGGACCAAATGAATCAATTACAGGAATTCAAAGTAGACATTACTTTAAGTCAACAAAGATGATCAATTCCAGGAATTCAAAGTGACATTACTAATATAAAACTATACAAAGCAAATCAGTTACTCAAGTTCAAAGTGACATTACTGATATCAAACTATACTAAGCAAATCTGTTCAAATTGACATTACTTAAATCAAAGTGGACCAAATGAATCAATTACAGGAATTCAAAGTGGACATTACTTTAAGTCAACAAAGATGATCAATTCCAGGAATTCAAAGTGACATTACTAATATAGAACTATACTAAGCAAATCAGTTACTCGAGTTCAAATTGACATTACTTAAATCAAAGTGGACCAAATGAATCAATTACAAGATTTCAAAGTGACATTACTGATATCAAACTATACAAAGCAAATCTTTTACTTGAATTCAAAGTGTCATAACTGATATCAAACTATACTAAGCAAATCAGTTACTTGAGTTCAAATTGAAATTACTTAAATCAAAGTGGATCAAACAAATCAATTCCAGGAATTCAAAGTGACATTACTGATATCAAACTACACTAAGCAAATCAGATACTCGAGTTCAAATTCAAATTTAAAAAGATATTACTTACATAACTATATTAGAAAAAAACTTTTTCTTGCATTCAAAGTGACATAAGAAATCAAAGTTGGACAAACAAATCAATTTCTTGAATTCAAAGCGAGTCAAATAGGCATTGCTTACATCAAAGTGAACCAAACAAATCAATTAATCAAACTGAAACTAATGAAACAAACAAATTACTTAATTTCAAATTTAAATTCAAATTAACAAACAAATCATTAACTTGGGATTCAAATTGGTCTAACTTAAAGTGAACCAAACAAATCAACTACTTGAATTCAAAATGACATTCAGTATAAAATAATATAACTTAATTCAAAATTGAAAGAAAAAAATCAATTACTCAAATTCAAAGTGAAACAGACAAATCAGTTATTTTAATCAAAGTATCATTAAAATCAAATTATAAAAAGCAAATCAGCACCATCATTTGAAATCAATGTCGAAGTGACAAAGTGGATGAAACAAATCAATTACCTTAAAACAACATAACTTGAATCAAAGTGGGCGAAATTAAAGTGAGCTATAGGAATCAATTACTTGAAAACAACAATGCTTAGTAAATGAGGAACAAAATTTCAATTACTCATATTCAAAGTAACATGAAAACCAAACCAAATCATTCAAATTTTAAGTCCACGTGACAATGCTTACCTGTGTACATCAAAGTGGACCAAACAAATCAAGTTCTTCGCTTGAGAGTATTTTACAACACAATACATTCAAACCTATACAAATCCACAACTGCTGAACGGCCTTACTACGTTTCACACGGAAATTTAAATGGCGGGAAATTCAAAGTGCCGACCACGCTCGACTGTTTTATTGATCCATCCACGAAACTGAAAACCACACAAAACAACATTTGTTATTGTCCAGAAGTCTGCCATAACGCCCTAAAAATCAAGCTGATTTAAGCATTTTCAAACTAAACTAGTAGATGCATGACACCGTCAAGGCGATTCGTTAGTATAGCGCGAAGTAACTAATCTTTGTAACGTCGTATGAAAATACTGTATAACGAAAGGTCCGTCCTTACTTACACGTAGTTTTCAAGTTCCAACAAACAGCTCCAGTATCTCTCTTCTTCGCCACCAGGTCAGGAATGAACAAAAGAGTGGCGCGAATACTGATTTTATACTACGCAGTGACCTCTAGGTCACGTGACTAAAATGTGACATGTTGTAGATGACCAGACAAAGACCACATTGACTTCTTATTGTCATGTACGTGACGTCAATAGAGAAGTACGAGCTGTAGCACTAATCACATCTTGGCAAAAAGCCAAACGAAATTAGTAACTACTGCTTCCCAGTCTACTCTCCCTTTACTCTGTTAACTAACGAGCAATCAGTAAAACTGGTCACGCGACCATTTACATGTACCAGCGACTAAAAATACAACACAATACAATAAACCTGTAAGGTAGCGAAAATTAGTGCATCTAATTATTAATATAATATGTCTTTTGGCACATTTATTTCTACATTCGGCTAAATGGGGTTGGAAAAAATCCGGTTTCCTTTTTTTCCAAACTGCAGAAATATATGCTCATCCTGTACGTAAAAAAAGAACCCAGCGATCGCACAGTAACACGAGCGGCTACTTATATAACTAGTACTGCGGGAAAGTTTCATTTGTTCATGTAAAGCTAGTCTTTATGAATGCATTATCAAATACTGGACCTATCTTCTTGAAACCAAGATTTATACAGTCATAAAAATATATAAGGAAAAAGAAAGCTATTTTTGTTCTTCCGTGGAATAAAGGATGTAGACTACCATTGGTTTTGGTGTAGACCAACAGATCTCCTTAAATCTTACAGCGATCTCATACTTATATCGGCCGATCCTAGAAATCAAGGACGCGCCTTTTTGTTAGTGTCATTATGTGCCTTTATTTATTTATTTATTTATTTATTTATTTATTTATTTATTTATTTGAATCTTTTATACCTATCAGTGTGTTCATTTATTAATATTTCAGCCACTGAGTCACGAATCGGTAGAAATGGTAAAATAATTCACTTGAGAACCAACCCCATGCATGGATCCAGGGGCGAGGTGGTAGTGGGAACCTGTAAAAAGGTAGAAAAAACTTAAGACAACCACGATTGAGTGTTTTCATGAAAAGCAATGGGTTAAAAAAATTCGTAAAAAATCGAATTAGTACTAAAGCTTCCCGTCTGAATTTTTGTGTGGACGGAAAAGTGGATCATATTGCAGATGTGTTTGACGATAGGAGACCAAATTTTATATCGTGTACTTTAACTGCGTCCTTTTTTTTTAATTCTAGGGTGTTTGGCATTTTACGGACGCAATCATTTAGAACTGTACGGACAGAAAGAAGGGACCCAGCCTTCTATTGATTTAATATTTGAAAAATTGGCCTCAAAAAGGACTAAAAAACTTGAAGTATTCGTTAAATGCTAGCTATGCGAAACACCGAGAGAAAGGGTAAATGGATCTAATTTATTCAATATTAGATGTGTATGCAACATTTATTGAGAGTTTCTCGCTTTTTGTCCGTTCATTAACTAATCAAATGCTGGAAGAAAGTGCATTGATCTTGGGAACATAAAATGCAATTTGTGATCCAGTGTTTTCGAAATCTGGAAGCTCAAGTGTAACACATCACCGTCCTAGCTGCCAGTATTTTTACTCATCACTTTACATTTTTTTAACATGATTAAAAAGGACAATTATGCCAAAGCTCGTGATCACCATGATAACTACTCTGATTAGAGGTGATAATATTGAAATAAAGAAAATGCCAAAAAGCCATAATTTGACATAAGACAAATAAGCAAAAGAAAGGGTTCTAAGCACGTACATGTGCCGTAAGCAATGAATCTTCATTGTTTTACTATTTCATGCGACCGAATACGTGAAACGAACCATCCTGTGTACAGACTGTAGTATATATATCATAGAACACATTTTTGGAGTGAAAATGTGGTGAATTTGAATGACGTCAAAGAGAAAGTTTTAATTTATCCAGATATACTATACTGAGATAACGAGAAAATTAATTATCACACTGTTTCAACGTAAGATCTATTATTAGATATAATTTTCTCATTTTCTTTATATTATGGTTTGTTACCTTTTGCACTTCAAGCAATCAGAAAAATCATATTTATGAATGTTGTCTTTGGGATTTCAATCAAATGCACTTTCTATTCAGGCGGGAAGTGCATAATACACACCCAGAGATGTTATATGACCGTGGCGATATACACGTTATATTTTTAAGGGTGTTTTTAGGCACTTTCTTTAAAGGGATAATAACTCTTCGTATGAGATCTATATTTCACAAAAAAAAACATTGTGAATAACTCATAGACATATAATATATTCTCTTTTATCACAAAAACAGCAGTTATAGCTATTATTCTGATATCTGAGCTTGTCTTTAGACCACGTGACCTCCATTGATGGCTATACTCTGTTAACATCTCTTAAGAGATTTTAACAAAAAACCAAACTTTTTAGAAAAAACAGGGACCAACTTTGAATGTTAAAATGGATTCATTGACCATTGGTTAGTATGGGAAAATTGTTGTTTACTCCAGGAAAATTCATTTTTTGGCCGAAACAAAGAGTTATTATCCCTTTAAGTGTATGCCATTCAGTCGCTGACGCTCGATAGGTGCTCTGGCATATGTAATTGTAATCTCTTGTCATGGCCTAGTGATACCAGTTTAAAACAGGAGATAATTGCAGCACGCGGTAGACGCACACGCTGTTAGGCACGTGATCTTTAACGAGCACACCCTAATGCTAATTGTGTGTGAATTTGGTGACATTTGATGGCGTCTTTTCAATTTTATAGACATTTCTTTACATCTGTAGAAGTCACAGTGAAACAGTCGATTTGAGGGGGTACCTCTTATAAATTTTACTAAATGGTATAAAATATGTATATTTTCACCACTATTTTGTATTTTTTAAACCATTAATCATGTTAGACACGGTATCCGTAATAAAAAGCACTATTTCTAACAATTTACAGCTGTAAGGTGATCATTTGTAAATAAAAGTACATGGAAATGGGGGTGAGACAACCTTTTTGACCAATGTTGTAGTTCGACACGTAACGACTCACAGAACGACATATCATGTACAGTACCAGTAGTTTTTTTTTCAACTCATGTTAAACACGCATTTAGCATGTTTCAATGCAGTTGGGTGATTCAACGTATAATGGCTTTCAACAGAACGTTAATAACGCATAACGCGGTATAGGTAGTGTTCGCCTTAAGCATAAAATATTTGTTCTGACAAAATAATATGGATCAACAAGATATCGCCTCGGGTTCCACAGGTATGTGACTTTACGGAGTCGTACTCTCATATCATGTTTATTATGTCATATTTTCACAATATACTGATGTTAAAAACACCAGAGATACAGACTTGACATTTAATATGGAATATTTTTTCCAAATCATTTTTCATGAGTTTTTTTCCTGTTTTGCTGACTGATAATTGAAAATAAGGATTAAAATCGTGTTTTAATAACTTTTAATTATCTCTTTGATCTCATTGTGACATCAGTTCATCAATGGAATTCGCCAGAGAAGCAAACAAAAACGCATTGCCTATTCTATGTCATACGACAACAATTAAAAGAGATGTTTTGGATTTCCATATTTACCAAATTATTTTCTGTAAAAGAGTAATATGCCCCACAAAGAACCCCCATGTCAGTGTCTAGTCACAATAACGGTTGCTGTTACGCTTGACCTCTTCTGTCTGCTACCAGCGCTCTCAAGTGGCAAGGCATTCCTTAGGTTAGGTTTTTAGAGTTCAATCTGGAATAACATTCCAGGCATCGGTCAAAATCTGTCCAATTTGGTCCAGTTTTGTTGTAGGACATGTAGGCCATTGATTCGGCGAGTAATGGCCTACCCACATATTGTCTATGTGGTTCATATATGGCGATTTTGATTACCAAGGTAGCTGCTCATCCCCTTTATTCTGTAAGTAACCTGCTATTAAAAGTGCACTGTGTGTATCGGCAATTTCACTGTGCAACCTAAAATTGTTCCTAATGTGCCCCCTATCAAATGATAGTCAAGTGGTTCCCAGATTAATCCTTTATTTGATCTGGTTCAGGTTTTCGTGGATGACCATTATTGGTGTTTAGGCACCAATGTGGTATCCACTTCAATTACTGACGCTGTTAATGACCTTAGTCACTTTAGACGCGGCACACGTTTAGAAGTTGGCCTCTTCAAATTGTCTGTAAACTATGTTTTGACTAGTTCAGCGGTACAGGTGAAATCTGACCTCAATAAAGAAAGCCACGAGGTTTCAGTGTTCAACTCAGAAACGGTCAAGGTCCCCAATTCATAAGAGAACCATACAACGCTGTACTGCTGTTTACAGTGGGTTCCCTTGAGGTCGTCTGGTATTCTAACCAGCTAAAACCAGATTGGTGTTCGTAAAGGGCCTTGAAAAATGCATTTTGGTTACAATTTACCCCTAATTCTGAACGGACTGGGTGGTTTTTGTTTAGTTGCAACAGCATATCCCGACATACAGTGGGTCCTGTACCCTGGTGGTAAGATTTCAATACATTGGGTGTGGTTTCTGTGTAGGTACATCAGTCTGGGCATTACTCTGCAAAACTGTGCGAGCCGTTTCGTTTGGCGCAATTATCTGTCTGGCACTGTCTGAGTTTTTCGCGCCATTCTGCCACAGATTAACAAATTTGCAGAGCACTGCATAGCTCATTTTACACCTTGCAAAACCGACCACTTGCATGCAAAATTTCAAATTCTTCAATGCAGTAGTTGCCGACATATTGATACTTTTTTTGAAAGAACCATGCCTTGCCAAAGCCAAGCTTTGACCTACCCAAAAGAGCACTACCCAATTAAATCACTGCATATTACATAGTGCAGCAGCGCAACAAACCTAGTAATCAGTTAATTGGAAGCGACACACCTGACTACACACTTCTCCATTCACAAATCTTATATGAGATCAGAGTGTTTTGAAAAAATAATCCATTTTACCTAGGCATACCTTCGAAACTGAAATATTCCATATTAAATGTCAAGTCTGTATGTTGATGATATTTTGCAATTTTATCAAGTCAAAGCTGTGACTACATATGCCATGGCCGACAGACATAGTGTGATAAAATTGGCCAGAAATCACCATAAGGCTTAGGCATGTTAGGGTATCCAGGGTGATTTCAAAGAGAATTTTCCAACGGAGCCCCAGGCCAATCTACAGGTATACCATATTTCATCAAAGCCACGGTTTACCAGACTTTGCTCATTGTTGCTAGATGAAACATGAAAAATCTGTTTTAGCCATTACCACAGCATTACGTGTCTGGAATTGCGGGGACCATACACACTATTTTGATGAATATGAACATTTACTAGCTTATCATTGTGTGTGTAAGATTTTAAAATTTATTTTGTTATCCAAGAGAGGCAGATATAGGAAGACAAAAGACACTTTGGATGAGATGTTTTAATGAATGGAGTCAACAAAGAGGGGCATATTCAGTCCCATAAATAACGTTGTTCTGGAAGGTTAGAGACAAAGAACTATGGAAGTACATGATCGCCCGCGTCGCTTGATGTGGCACTTGACATGGAATGACGTAACATGTTCGACGCTCACCATTGTACACTTTGATTTTTTTCTGATATTGTTGAAGTGGGACGTATGTCCAGAGGACCTCATTTGGGGGTCTATATTTAGTAAATAAGCACAAACGTCTATTGCTGCAAGTTGATACCTCTTTCTCAAACAAAGATCACAAATTTTAAAGTTGAAAAAACCTGTTTAAGTAGCAGAGAACGAGTACAGATTGAAAAGAACAAGCAGCTTACCGCCGTCTAAGAGAGATCCTTCTCATATTTTTTTACAGTTTTTGGTGACCAAATTTGTCAATCAAGATGTCCTGTGTACAGACTGTTGGATAGACATCACGGATCACATTTTTGGAGTAGAAATGCCGTGAATTACGAAAAATTATATCACGACATAGTGCCTTATGCACTGCAAGCAATTGGTATGTATATCAAATAATTCTGTCTTTAGATTTTTACTCGTATCACTTTTTTTCGAGTTTCATAAGTATAATCGTCTCCATCTGTTGACTTTAAGAGAACCAAGAAGCAGTCGAGAAATTTTAAAGCCTGTAGTCTTTTTGTAGTTACAGCAACCCTCTCTTTTCTATGGTAATATGGGATATTGCTTCTTTTTAACGAGATGGAACTGATGAAAACACGGAGGGTCCCTTCGTTGTGTGTGACTACGGAGCTGGAGATGGAGGAACATCTATGAAAGTGATGGCAGAGATCATAAGTACCTCCTAAAAATTAATTTCGAACATTTTGAAAATTAAACTGCAGGTATTTACATGAACAAAAAATTTTTTCTTTGTTAGAATTTTAATCGTAAAGCAACAGCATAGATCAAACACTGTATTGTACATGAAGAGTAGCTAAATGATTATAATTCACTTTCAAACTGTGGTAATTCTGACTATATAGTATACTGGTGCCCTAAAGTCACAGGTCAAACACAGCACTGTTGATTTTCCTCAGGAGCTGTAAGGGAAAAATATGGGAAAGAAAAACCGATTGTAATAGTGTACGAGGATCAACCCTGGAACGATTATAAGTCATTATTCCTTCTGACACAAGGTACGAAATTTGACAAAATTGCCGTCTGTTTAACTGTTAATTTTATGGGGATTGTGATCATGAACACCAGTTATTGTATTCCTGTCATCCAGTTGTTTATAGTAGAGTATTCTAACTTTGAGGTTTATTTCAAGATCAAAAGAATTTTCTTCCTCGAGACAAAAACGTGTTTCTCCTGGCCAGTGGTACCAATTTCTATAAACCCTGTCTGCCGCCGAACTATGTGGACCTGGCTGTATCCTGCTATGCTATGCATTGGTTGAGCAAAAGGTAGGCTTGTTACATGTAGAAACAATGAAAAGTATTAGATATAGAGATGCACAAAGAAGAATAAAAAGACAATAAAAAATATGACACGCTATGTCTACAATGATGTAAAGGTACCTTGATATTAATTGCTTATTTTTTACATTTTGTTGTAGTCCTTGCTATCTTGAATGAGTGTGCTTATTTTCAAAATCTTTTTGAGAAGCAAAAATGACTAAGGGAAATAAATACCAATAGTACTGATATATGGCATCACGGTATTTTAAAGATTATACATATGTGTAATTGTGCATTGTTTCCATACGTTGCAGGCCTTGCAATCTTCAGTGGGATATAATTGGTCATGGTGGCAAAGTCCGTGACAAAGAGCTTGATGCATATAAAAAGCAGGCCGCTAAGGATTGGGAGACGATTCTCATAAACCGGACTAAAGAACTGAAAATAGGTACCTCTAGCAAGTGTTCAAAATTATCAATTTTAATTAATTTTTTCCTGTTTGAATCCATTAATTTGTAACAATTCATAGTGGACACCTTAAACTGAAGAATAATAAAACCCCTCCCACTTAAATATGTCTATTTACATTTGAATTCATTTTAATTGTAGTATTAAGGATATTATAACCCTTTATTATCATCCAGATATCGGAAATGAGTTTATTCCTATATCTAATTATTCAATAATGCATTGATCTTTGTGCTGATTTAAAACAATGAAAAACCCTTAAAATATAATATATTTTTCTTTGCTTTGTATAAGCACAGGCAACCCCAAAATCGCAATTATGATGTCACCCAAAATAATAGATGACATATGTGTAAATTTTTATTTATTTAGTCACTGAACAGTGAAGATTTATTTATTACCCAAAAGAATATTTACAAGGCAGTAAATAAGGAGTTTTGGACGAAGGGTGACAATAACCTTTAAATGTTTATAACACATTTTTGCAGGCCCGTACTCAGGCCTACCCAACTACCAGACTCGGCACATAAGAATCCTGAATTAACCGATATTTCGGACCACACTACCCGTTTTCAAGGTGTGTGTCAGATCTCATTTCGGAGTATCATACCCCAGAACAAATTCTGTAGGACGACCGCGGGCTCATCCTGTCGGTGTTCTGACTGATACTCCGAAATGCGATCTGACACACACATTGAAAACGGGTAGTGTGGTCCGGTATACCGGTTAATTCAGGATCTTTATGTGCCGAGTCTGGTAGTTGGGTAGGCCTGGTGCCCATGCACGAGTGTTTAAGTACATTATTGTCATAAAACTGTAACGTCTTTCCTCTCACTCGTTTTATATGATGTTATATTTAAGGTGCCCACATCATCATAGTTACTCAGGGTACGAAGGAAGGCATGCATTCCGGTAGTACAACTCTTTACAAAGTTAAAGTCATCCCGTACCTAAGGGACTTATGGCTGTCATTTGTAACAGCAGGGCGAATAACCAAGGTGGGACCTTTTTCTGGAATGTACAATGTAAAAAGAGACAACTAAGTTTGTATATTTGGATGGGCGAGGATTTACTCCTTTCGGATTAAAAAAGTAAACGCGTCTGATTTGACGTTGGTACTATAATGCAACGGTGAACTGACATGCGTATTGAAGCAGTGGCGTTAACGTTCTTTTTTTTTATAGGAAGAATTTCTAAATACAAACATTCCATCTTACCATCGTTCAGAAGAGGAGTTCAAGGCACCGTTTTTGGACGAAGATTCCGTGGTTTTGAAGGCGGGATTAAAACTGCTATCCATAGAGATAAAGGTCGCCCAATTCGACTACACTTTGAGAGATAAGAATGCAGAATTCTTAGGTAAGAACATACAGTTTTTTGTACTGCGGGAAATTGTTTAATTTCAAAAGAATCTTTCATTTAAAAAGCATCTTCTGCACACGATTTATTTTTTATGGTGCGGTACGTACAAATTGTTTGACCAGTCGTGTATATAACAACCGAACAATATTTGTTTCTCTCAATGTAACATCATAAAACAATATTATGATAAAACAAAGCTATTTCAATGGAAAGGCGTTAACATTTTGTCTTCATACCTTGCACCCAGATGATGAACCACTAAGCGTGGCTCACAAGGCAAGAAGATACGTGAATGTGTTCCGAGCATGGAGCGAAGCCATCTTTATGTCTGGTCTAGATGAACGTCGATCAGAAAAGGAAAAGAAGGAGATTATTGACGAGTTCTTTGGCAGGTTTGAGGAAGATGTTACTCGCAGTCCAAATGATTTTGGTTATGACCTGGTTGTGGCATATGTCGATATCGTAAAAGCGAAAGCAGCTTCCTAACTTTATCAAGTGGAATTAATGAAGCAACTTCCCTTATAGAAATGCACTATAGAATATACACACTAGATAGGAATCCTATAGTAAATCCTAGGAATTCCTAGAGAGTCATGTAAGATTTCTATAAAAATCCAGAGTCATGCAAGACGCTCTTTAGTAAATTTTAGTGCGGGTCAATCCGTTATTATGTTTGTTAAGGATTCCCAGTGCATAGCATATGGGCCTTTACCTTGCCAACAGTATGGTTACATTATGTTAATTGTCAGTTTTGTTCGTAATAATAGTAAGGTCCTTTCTATACTTTACGTTGCATAAGATTATTGTATTCTAATTTGTTGTTTGTAAGTGTGTTTTACCTCATGTCAATTTCTTTATATCTTTTTATTTCCTAGTGCTGAACAAAAGTTATATTAAATATCTTCAGGGGCGATTTTCTTCTGTACTTTCTTTAAGTATATGCCATTCACTCGCTGACGAGGTGTCCTGGCATATACCGCTCGGGTGACATTGTGTAATCTCGCACTTAATCGCTTGTCATGGCCTAGTGATACCAGGTAAAAACAAAGGACGCGTGTGCAAATTTTGAGAAAATTGAAAAAAAAAAAAAAAAAGAACTGATTATTAATTTTTAAGTTCAGTATAAATATATATCGGAGCACTATAGTTCGACACCTAACGACTCGCAAAACGACATTTCATGTACCAGTAGGTTTTATCTAACTCCTGAGTTTAACACGCAGAGCATGTTTAAATATACGTGTAGTTGGGCCATTCAACTTAAAATGGCTTTCAATAGAACGTTAATACCGCATAACGCGGTAGTGTTCGCCTTCAGCATATAACATTTATTCTGACAAAACAAGATGGATCAACAATATGGCGTCCCGTGTTCAACAGGTATGTGACTTAAAGGAGTCGTATCCTCAGGCTCATATCATGTTTATTGTGTCATATTCGTACAATGTACTGTGCTTAAAAACACCACAGATACGCTGATGCTATTTTGGAATTTATCAAGTCAAAGTTGTGACTATATATGCTTCGGTCGACAGACATAAGTGTTTTGTGAGGGTCCTTCCCTTTACTTGTGTGAGATCTTTATATGCCCCCCCCCCGACCCCCCAAATTACATTAAACAACCCTTTATAATATAACCCTAGGAGTTGGGTACTATGGGCTCACACTTTTGATAACGATATCTATAAAACTGCTACGGAGATTTCCAGGATCCATGCCTTTAACTCTGCACACGTAATTTAAGAATGAAACGACTCCATGTTGTTACTTCAACTGAATATATTTAACTAAATTAAGCATGGTCGACTCCAAGCTTCAATCATGACCTCTCTCTCCTCCTCCAGTCCTGTCTCTCTCTCTAGTCGCTCTCTCCCTCGATTCTTTGTTAATCTCCCCCATAAGAATGAAGTTAATAGTTTTTTTATGCTTTACTTTATCATTTATATTGTAAATCATATAACCTATAAACTGATTGGTTACTTCAAACACAAGTCCACCCCTTAATGGTGGACACTCCCAATAACTCCATGTAATCAGGATCTAACGGATTACTACAAGTGTAGCTTGAAACAAAGAACTTTAACTTATGTTAAATCTATGTTCAGAAGACCTCAATTTGGGGTCTACTGTATGATGAGAAGTTCAATAAGCAAGCACAAACTATTGATGCGAGTTGATATCTCTTTTTTAAACATAAATCATAAATCATAAATTTCAAAGTTGTGAAAACCTGTAGCAGAGAACGAGTACAGATTGAAAAGAACAAGCAACGTGCCGTGGTCTGAAAGTAGATCCTTCTTATATTTTTTACAGCTTTTGGCAAACAAATCCGTCAATCAAAATATCCTGTGTACAGAATGTTGGATAGACATCATGGATCACATTTTTGGAGTGGAAATGCTGTGAATTACGAAAAACTGTACAATAACATATTGCCTTATGCACTGCAAGCAATTGGTAGGCATTGTTAATAATTTTATCCAATCAACTTTTTTTTTCTCCAATCAACTTTTGCCGAGTCATATAATAGAATGACTCATAGCTACTTTAGTCTGATGCATGTAGAATGACACATTTTCACAAAAAAATTAACTGTCCCCATCTCTTGACTTTCCTTGTCGAAATTGTAAAGTCTGCTGTCTTTTCGTAGTTACAGCAATCCTCTCTTTAATATTATAATATTATAATATAGGATATTGCTTTTTCTTTAATGAGCTGGAAGTGTTAATAGCACAGACCGTCCTTTTGTGGCGTGTGACTTCGGTGCTGGAGATGGAGGAACATCTATGAAACTGATGACTGAGATCATAAGTACCTTCTGAAAATTAATTTTGAACATTTTGACAATTAAACCGCAGTTTTTGCATGAACAACGTATATTTTTCTGTATTAAGTTTTCAAAGTAGATATTGCACATTCATTCATTGTTCAATGCAGAGTTCAATGCACTTTTTGAGATTAAGAATATTAGTCTTAAAGTGAGAGCATGGATCAAACATCGCATTTTGTGTATTAGTTAAATGATTAGAACTCAGTTGCAAGTTCTGGTTATTCTGACTGCAGTATAACGTAGGTCACACTCAGTATGTTTTTTTTTTCTTTCCAGGAGCTGTACGAGCAAAATACGGGAAAGAAAAACCTATTGTGATAGTGTACGAGGATCTGCCCTGGAACGATTTCAAGTCATTATTCTTTCTGACACAAGGTACGAAATTTGACAGAATTAGCGTCTGTTTACTTGTTAATTTTATGGGGATTATGGTCATGAACACCAGTTATTGTATTCCTGTCATCCAGTTGTTTATAGTAGAGTATTCTTACTTACAGGTTTATTTGAAGATCAAAGGAACTTTCTTCCTCAAGATAAAAACGTGTTTCTCCTGGCCAGTGGTACTAATTTCTATGAACGATGTTTGCCGCCGAATTACGTGGACCTGGCTGTATCCTGCAGTGCGATGCACTGGTTGAGTAAAAGGTGGATTTGTTACATGTAGAAGCTATAAAAGCATTAGATACTGAGATGAACAAAGAAGAATGAAAATAGAATTTAAAAATGATATGATATGAAATACACAATGATACCGACATGTGTAAAGGAACCTTGAAATTATAATTGCCAATTTTTTACATCTTGTTGTACATATTCCTTGCTATCTCAAATGAGTGTGCTAAATTAAGTTTCAAATTCTTTGTGAGAAGCTAAAATGACTAAGAGAAATAAAAACCATCAATAGTCATATATGGCAACAGGTTATTCAAAAGATTATACCAATGTTTTTAAAACTGTGTTTTGTATCCATTACATTGCAGGCCTTGTAATCTTCAGTGGGATATTATTGGTCAAGGTGACAAAGTCAGTTATGAAGAGCTAGATGCATATAAAAAGCAGGCTGCTGTGGACTGGGAGACAATTCTCATAAACCGGGCTAAAGAACTGAAAATAGGTACCTCTCAGCGAGTGTTCTAATTGATCGATTTTTTATTTATCTATTACCTGTTTGAGTCAATTAATTTGTGACTATTAATAGTGGACACCTCCAGTTGAAACATAATTAACCCCTCCCACTTAAATGTTAAATTATACTTGCTTATTTAAATTGTGAAGAAAAAAAGATTGTGAGTTAGGGTTGTGTGTGATTTTTTGGGCATTAAACTTTTATAACACATTTTACAAGGCTCGTGCCCATTCGCAAGCGTCTAAGTACATTTTTGTCTTTAAAAATTTAACTCCTTTCCACTCACGTATGTTTTATATGATATTATATTCAAGGTGCCCACATCATCATAGCAATTGTTGGTACGAAGGAAGGCGTGCATTCCGGTAGTACAGCGATTTACAAAGTTAAAGTCATCCCGTATCTAAGAGACTTATGGCTTTCATTTGCAACAGCGGGGCGAATAACCAAGGTGAGACCTTTTTCTGGGGTGTACAATGTAAAATGAGACAACTGGGAGAGGAATTATTCCTTTCGTGCTAAGAAAAGTAAACAACTTTGATTTTACCTTGGCACCAAAATGCAAATGTGATGCGATGTTTTAATTTAGCATACGTGTTGTAGCTGTGCCGTTCTTTTTTTATAGGAAGAATTTTTCAATACAAACTTTTCATTTTACTATCGTTCAGAAGAGGAGTTCAAGGCACCATTCTTGTATGAAGATTCCAAGATTCTGAAGGCGGGTTTAAAACTTGTATCCATCGAGATAAAGGTCGACCATTTCGACTACTCTTTGAAACATAAGGATGACGAATTCTTAGGTAAAATCCTCTTACGTTTTTGTTCGTACCGAGGTAAAGTGTTTTACGTTGTTTCATTTCTGGACACCGTGTTTCATTTCTGCACACCATTTGTTTTTTTCTGATGCCGTACGAGTAAATAATTTGACCCATGATCCAGTCGTATATAAAACAACCGAACAAGAGATAATTTTTTCTCTCAATGTCACATTCATAAAACAATATACTGAAATAAGGAAGGCATTTAAATGTGTTAACGCTTTATCTTTATACCTTACACCCTAGACGATGAACCACTAAGCGTGGCTCACAAGGCAAGAAGATACGTTAATGTGTTCCGAGCATGGAGCGAAGCCATCTTTATGTTTGGTCTAGATGAACGTCGATCAGAAAAGGAAAAGACGGAGATTATTGACGAGTTCTTTGGCAGGTTTGAGGAAGATGTTACTCGCAGTCCAAGTGATTTTGGTTATGACTTGGTTGTGGCATATGTAGATATCGTAAAAGCGAAAGCAGCATTCTAAGTTCATCAAGTGAAAATAATGAAGTGACTTCCCTTATAGAAATGCACTATAGAATATACACCCTAGATAGGAATCCCATAATAAGTCCTAGGAATTCTTAGAGAGTTCCAAGGGTCATGTAGGATTTCTATAAAAAGGCAGGCAAGACGCTCTTTAGTAAATTTATTGCGGGTCAATGTGTTATTATGTTTGTCAAGGATTCCCAGTGCATTGTATATGGGCCTTTACCTTGCTAACAGTATGGTTACATTATGCAAATTGTCAGTTTTGTTCATAATAATAGTAAGGTCCTTTCTATATTTTACATTGCATAAGATTATCGTATTCTAATTTGTTGTATGTAAGTGGGTTATTTACCTCATGTCAGTTTCTTTATATCTGTTTATCTCCTAGTGCTGAACAAAAGTTCTATTAAATATCTTATGTATATTGAATACCATATGTATATTAGCGCTTTAATATTTCATAATAAAATGTTGTAAAGTGGTTGCGGTTTCATCAGTTACAAACTAGCAGAATTTCATTTATTTGAAAAAAAATTACTCAGCGCAAGTAGGAGTCAAGTACATGTAGTGCGAAAAGTATATTTTTCGGCAGGCAAGAGTGAAAAATGTTAACGCTTCAAAGTGCTGGTTGACTTTGCTAAAAAAAGTTACTTTCATTTAGTTGATGACAGCTGGACTGTGAACTTTTCAAATTTCAAGTATATAATGTAACAGAAAAACTATTTTAGGTGTCTAGTTTTAGGTGTGATCTAGTGCTAAAGGAAACTGCCAAATAAAGTAATTTTGAATACCCATTGACTAGACTCTTTTTAGATCACGCAAAAGCTGTTCGCACGAAAAGAGGTAAAAGCGCGATCAGTACAGAAAGAAATCAGTATAAACAAAATGCACTCAGAAAGCTTAGACCTAAGCCAAGACATAATTAACCAATTATTAATCATTAATCAATTAATTAATTAATGGTTAAATGACTCATAACTAACCATTAATTAATTAATGGTTTATCACCAAATCTATATATTTCTTCTTTGGCCCATTTGTGACCTATCTGATATTTTCATCAAAAACAAATAATTGACTAATAATTAACCATTAATTAATTAATGAATCATCACAATAATCTAACCATTTCTTCCTTGACCCATTTGTGACCTATCCTCAAAATTTCCGCAAACTCCGTTCATTTCTTTTTGCATCAAGCTATGACGTGACAGAGAGTTCCTCATGACAGAATCCTGTTACCCTTTAATTTGCACAGGTAAGCCTAGATTTTGACCCAATTACCTGATCCACACATGTTCTTCTCTGAAATTAAAAGCAGGTCCTCATAAAGTTGGGGGTTGGTCATTTTCTGTGCAGCAGGCACCCCGTATGCAACTCTTAGCACCCTGGTACATGCACCATTTAGCGATTTTTTCCATTGCCTTTGTAAGTAACACTGATTCTACCACTGCCACAAACACGTAGCCTGATTTTGCGCTCATTGGACAGCTGCAACTATTTTATTCAGTCTATTCAGTGCTCCCCAAGCTTGACCTTTTCTAGTGCTGACATCTTTTCAGTGCTGATGGTGCGTGACCCTAAGTATCTGAGGTCTTCCACTATCTGGAGAATGTCTCCTGAAGTTGTCTTGATCTCAAGATATAGGTTCTCAAACCTAGATCAATCTAACAGGATCGATCCATCTCCAAGGGGTTTCTCGCTAAATTGGTTCCAGCTTAAGCGGCTTACATGTCTGGCACACCTACTGACGCTACTAAACCATAATTACCCCCTAGCAGCTTCAGTAGACATGGCAGACATCTAAGCAGCTTAAGTTGATTGCAATTTAGCAAGAATCCCCTTGGAGATAGGGTCTGAGAATGGTCCCTATGTCTTCAAATAGATTAGGCTAACCCTTGACATGTATAATTACATCTAGGGTGGACACCCTGCTACACAGACACTCAGTTTCTTGACACTTTTTGCATAATGTTGCTAATGGGTAACGAAAACAATTATACCTCTTTGGTGGTGGTAATAATTATTTTTAAAGTATAATTTCCTGAGTATTTCTCAAAAGAACCATTTCGACCATCCCTTTTTAAGTTCTTGTCGGCAAGTTCTAGGTACAAAGAGTGTCTGACATGTTATTATAGTAGAACTTAGAAGAATAAGTTCTCCACACGACTACAAATTACCAATACAAAACTAACAAGGCAGCAAAGCTGTCAAATGTACAGACAAAGAACAGAAAATAAAGATGCAAATAAGTGAAAAATTAAATTTTCACAAAAAACTGTTAAATTGCCAGAAAAATTTACCAAACAGACTGCGTTGCCTATTGAAGCTGTATGTTAGACCCATGTTTCTTTCCTGTAAGTTTGAGAACAGTAAGTGACATGATTTCCCTTAAATGGTCATCATAGGAGCAGTGCCCAAAATAGGGGTTTCTTCAAATTTTGATGCAACATTACATAATGTTTAACAGCATAATGACAATCAAATGTTATTAATAAAATATTAGTAACATGGACATTCAGAAAATGTGACAAGCAAAAGTCTTCAAGATCATGGAACTTTAAAGTCACACCTTGAAAATGCCAATATGTGAAAAATTAAATTTTCACAAAAAACTGTTTAACTGCCAAAATAAATAAATAAATAAATAAAAATACCAAACAGACTGCATTGCCTACTGAAGCTGTATTTTAGTCCCATGTTTCTTTCCTGTAAGTTTGAGAACAGTAAGTGACATGATTTTCCTTAAATGGTCATCATGGAAGCAGTGCCCAAAATAGGGGTTTCTTCAAATTTTGATGCAATATTACATAATGTTTAACAGCTTAATGACCATCAATTTTTAATTATAAAATATTTGTTTCACAGATATTCAGAAAATGTGACTAGCAAAGGTCTTCAGGCCCATGGAACTTCAAAGTCACGCCTTGAAAATGCCAAAATGTAAACAAGACAGCACTGTTCTGAAATGGGTTTATTTCCATTTTTAACACTTTTTTAACATAAAACAAAATAAACATTTTACTGCCATTTTATATGACCAACTAAGAAAATTGATGAGATGGGAAAAGTATCAATAGAACAGTGTTAAATGTCCAATTTCCTCCATTCTGAGATTCTGAACATAGTGGATGATTGAATCTGACAAACTGCAATGATATGAGTTTATTTCCATTTTTGACACTTTATTACACAATACATGATAACAAGTTTACCATGTTTTTTACATAATCAACTAACAATGTTGTAAAGATGCAGGAAATATCAAACAAACACTTTTAGGCATCTTATTAGTTAAATAATGAGACTGTTAACATGCCTAATAATTGAATCTGAGGAAATGTGAAAAACAGTATAACTTCTAAAATAATGGCCCGATTATGCTGATTTTCGAACTCAACCTGCGTTTTAGTAAGATTGACCACTCCTGTGAGTATAATTACAATTGGCCAATCCGTTTTTCTTATATTGTGTTATCAGTGTTGCATTTATATTGAAAATAGTGAAAAAACAGCATAAATTCCCTAAAAATGGCCCAATCATGCTGATTTTCGAACTTGACCTGCGTATTATGAATATTCATCAGTTCTGTAAGTTTCAAGTCAAAAGGTAAAATGGTTTTCCACTTATCGTGTTATCGGTGCTGCATATATGCTGAAAAAAGTGAAAAAACAGCGTAAATTCCCTAAAAGTGACCCGAACATGCTGATTTTCGAACTTGACCTGCGTATTATGAATATTCATCAGTTCTGCAAGTTTCAAGTCAAAAGGTAAAATGGTTTTCCACTTATCGTGTTATCGGTAAAAGTGCACGGCGACGGCGACGACGGCGACGGCGACGACAGACGCAGATGATGGCTATATGTACAGACACATCTGTGTCTGTACATAATAAATGAGCTAAGAATGAGTTATGACTGAAAATATTTTTTTTATTTCACAGCTGGTATTGCACTTCAAATGCAAGGCATACTTTCTGCAATAATACATGTACAGTTGTTGCATTTTTCATGAAGGCAAAGATAAAAATTAAATTTCCAAAGAGTCCCAACAAGACTATTGTGTATTGTTCAAAGGATACACATACTTGCACAAATTTGAGGTGATGCTAAAAGTTACTGTTCAATAATGAAGTTCTCTCATATTTCTCGATTGTACAATTATTATTTGGAGGCTATGGTCAATAACACGAAGGTAATTTTTTTTAATTTAGAAAATGCAATGTATGACACTAGTATAAAACAGAAATACTTTAACTCCAAATATGATGAGTCACAACAAAGAAAGTAAAATTAATGAAACCATGCACAGAAAAAAGTAAACAGAACCTTAAGTTGAACCTTACGGGAACCCAGGTATGATTAGTATGGCAATGAAATATAATTACAAATTTATAGAAATATTGTCACACAATTATTCCAAATACTTCTCATATTGATCATTTGAAGATAATTTAAAAACATCACAACAACTCATAACAAAAGCAATGACTATATAACTTCCAAAGTAAAAGCATGTTTAAGGTTACAGTTAGAGTTATTTCATACAAATATTTAAAAATGTTGAAAAAATGGTTCCTTTTAATGCACACTGGTCCGATAACACTGTCAATCAATTAGTTCCAATACACAACATGTTCTGAAATAACTTTTCATAGAGAAATTGACCAAAATATGAGATGGTTAAAAAAAAGCCCATCAATGCATCCAAAGTAACTCAGCTGAATAATAACCTTCACTTTAAACAACTTTATTGTTGCCAATTAGAAATCTTAAGTGTTTCAACTGGTCATACAGATATTATAAGAAGACAACAATTATGTCTTTTTCTTTATTTTTTTTTTAAACTTTAATCAACAATTTCACTGGTTCTAAGGCATTCTCCCTGTTATCACATGCCACCTGTAGATAAAGGGTAGTCGTTATAGTCAGAATAACAGTAGTTTCACTCTCCACATCTTCAAGCTTGTCTCACAGGTGAACTATCACTGGGGTGGTGACTACAGTTTACAAATGTTCAAAAGCTAAAGAAACTGCCTTTTATCTACCGATATGACTGTGCCTACTGACTGGGGGTCTACACAATATTCATCTACATGAACTAGTAGTGCTGCTCAGCAGTACCATCTGCCACATTCTAGAAAAAGCTCAGCTTATACAGAATCAAAATATTCATATAACAAAAATACACATAATCTTGGACTATGATAGTGATTTTTTTTCACAATGTAGTTAATATCTATCACTTGCAATCATATTTGGATATAAATATAATTATTGTCGTGGAGTAAAGTAACAATTACACAAAATATTTCTGTTCAGTTGAATAAATGAAAAAAGTATGAGACATAACTGCAAAAAATGCTTTAAGGTTAAATATTTTCATTGTCCAACATACTTGTATATTCATACATACCAGTGCATCTGTTTCAATGAGAGAAAAAAAGAAGAAAAGCCAAAAACAAACTTCTCTCCAAGGTGACTGGCTAATAGACACATGGTTCTAGTATATTAATGCCCCACATTACAATGTAATGCATTTGCCATAAAAACCAATCCAATCTAAATTTGACATATAAGAAGGTGATATAAATATGAAAAATTGGCTACTAGCATTTTATGGAAAAGAATTACACTGCAGATTCTTGACTTTCCAGAAATGTTCTTTTGAACATGTGAATACATTTTGTTCAAACAGCAGCTCTTTATCACTGCACACTTTATTCTTACACCTGTATCTGTTAATGTCCTCATTTACTTTTGCTGCTAAAAGTTACCCCTTCACTTATTTTTCTTACATGTTACCCTTCCTACCTAAATAGTTTAACTCCTGGTCATTTAATCCCACCATTTTCCGTCACCTTCTCATTAATTTCTTTCAAGTGGTTATCCTTCTTGAAGTGTTTACTGGTGTCCTCTTCCTCGTCTGAGTGTTCATCCAATAGGTTGTTGACCTCCAAATACTTGTGGACAACAAACTGCCAGTCTATCACATCATCTATGCATTGAGGACCTCTCTGCTGGGGAGCACGCAAATAGGCTGGAAAATGTACAAGGATATATATTGTGAAATTTTTCAAAATTTCTTTCTTTTAATAAGGTGAATATTATTAAATTGAATTTGAAAATTGGCAGTTAGTACAATATCTGCATGTTATGTTATGTAGTTGATATCAAGTATGTGAATTTACCTCAATTAATAAATAAGATATAAACCATATTTGTAACAGAAATAAAATGACTAATTTTTTCCCTTAATATATCCTGTTGTTAGATAAATATTTTAGTAACCAATCCTCTTTTTTTATCATCTAACTGGACTACCGCATCATTTTACAAAAGTAAACTCAAAACATTTTATTTTTCTTAATGTGATCACTTTTTTATTATTTTGTAACAGCAATACACTTTTATTAAAAATACATTGCTCACATTCAGGAGCCACTTGAGTATTTCTCCTCATCATATTCCTGAGCATGACTTGGTTATTTTGTAACAGGTCCACAGATCTAGCATCATAATCCTCATTCAGGTCCTCCTCTTCATGGATGTAGCTCTGGGCCTCAGCACTGCATATTTTGCCTGGAATACAGAACATAAAATGCAAATATAGAAGGTTAAATATGAACTTTTTTTGGTTTGGCTGAGGAGCCAAATTTTTCAATTTTACTTTAATAATATCACCTTATTATTTATTAAATCTAGATAAGATCAAAGTAATAATAAATAGAGATAAGAGCTGGGGCATTATATTCCTCAGACACTATTGCAATAAACAAGATCAGAAGACTTAACAGAAAATCAATTCTCTTGGCACACACAAACATACTAGGTAAATAAAATAAAAAATACTCTCATTCCGTTTTTGGACAACATTGAATAATTGACTTCTACATTATTTGTAATTTTTGAACTGTAACTGCAACTTACCTTTGTGTTTGTAAGCCACTTTGCAGTAAGTAATGAGCTTGGTGAAAAGGTTCAGAGGAGATGGAGTAGCTGATGTCCTATTCATGTTTCTGATCAACTTAGCTCGCCCAAACTTCCACTCCACATCCGACTGTGCCTGAATTCTCTGGTATGTGTCAGACATCATGGCAATTAACAGATTTATCAACACAATGAGAGTCACTAACATATAAGCTCCAAATACAGATTTCACTAAGTTTATTGTCCAGTCAGGGCTCTGGGCTATTGTAGGTAAAGTATCAGGTTCGATGAGACCAAATAGCGAAAAAAACAGAAGTTCAAAAGTATCTATTGGCGTGAGACTTTTGGCTCCTCCTCCTCCATTTCCTTGACCAATGGATGAGTTTGTTACTTGTGGTGGATACACTGGCTGATAAATTGCTGAGAGATGAAGAGTGAATCCTAGCATGAAGGCCAACAGAATGACCAAAAATCTGATCAAATCCTTCATCAAATCTCTGATAATAATTGCCCATGGTCCAAATAAGTGATGAAATGAGAGAAAATCCAGCAGCAACACAAAACAGAACAGTAATGCCAGGGCAAAAAATTGGTTCCTCACATATAAGCACACATAGCGCTCATCTTCATTAAATGCAAATGCTAGAAGATGGACAACGATTCCCAGTGCACTAACTGCTATCACAAATACTTTGATCCACCCTAACCCTGCCCTGTCACCTGGATTGGTCAGCTCTGAGACCAGAAGTCCAGACAGCCACGCCAATAGTAGCCACTCATACCAATGGGGTATGAGTGACCCAGACTGAAAGATTGGATAAATGGGTGCAACAGTTGTCATAATAAATAGTATAATTAAGTAGAAATGCGAGACTAAATATGACATGAACTTAATGAGCGGAACTTTGTTGTAGCGGTTCCGAAGTGGCAATGAGAAGTAAACCCACACTGGGGGTACGATCAGGAACAATGTGAAAACCATCACTACTTTCCATGTGTTCCATTTTAAATTCCCTTTCCAAACGTCTGATAAGTATTTCTGAATTGTTGGGTGGGAAACTACTTCCTTCTGCTCATTTTCAATGAGTATGTCCAGAAAGGGTGTTCCACGGCAGTCAACAGATTTGAGTAAAGCTGATGCACCATTGGTTCCGGAGGCAATGGCCATTAATTCTGTAGCCATTTTCTCACAGTATGCGCCAGCATGCAGGAGATCCCTTGACCGCTCCTTCTCCCTGATGGCCAGAAGGGCGAAATTCTTGGACATCTTGGCTGCTGTGTCCACTGGGGCTGGGGACAGTGTGATGAACTCCTGGATGGATCTGTTATTGTTGGTCTTGCCACATACCATCAGGTCAAACACAAACTGGGATATGAGTAAAAAATCAGTTAATTTGAATACATATAAGCTATTTTGTGCAATGAAACCTCAAGTTGGCTTCTTATTTTTAAAATATTAATGTAAATGATGAACCTATGTGGCAAAGATTGAATTAATCTGAACTATGTATGTCATTCTTCTTATTTTGTATAAAATAAGGTCTTTCTCTAAATGCTCCAGGTTTGAGGAATTTCATAACTGCATATGCCTTATGCGTAGGATTACATAACATTAGATTGCACTGAATTGGAGTACCAATAAATAAANTAAAAGTGCACGGCGACGGCGACGACGGCGACAGACGCAGATGATGACTATATGTACAGACACATCTGTGTCTGTACATAAAAAGAGAATCACATTTTTATATATGACACAGTTGAATATCAAATCAACATCTTTCCTAGAAAGGATACCTGCACTCTGCCTGACCTTCCTGCACCCATAAGGAATGTGGAAGCAGCCAAAATTCCTTACCTTCTTATCGTCCATCAAATGCTGTGTGTTGTGGTCTCTCTTCATAAGATAACTGACCACCTCGGTGTGATTCATGGCTGCAGCATAGCAGATGGGTACCTTCCCTTCCTTAGATTCATACTTGGGTGCAGCACCACTCTCTATCAATAACTTCACCACCTTCAAGTAGCCTGCCTTTGCAGCAAAATGGAGAGGGGTCCAGCCATTCTAAAAATAAAAAATTGTGATGAGGTTGTGTTGTCTAAAGTCATTGATACGGATACTGAATGGTCTGACAGGGAGTGGCTGTGATGTGTAATGGAACTGTTATTTTTTTCTTAGAAAGTAAACTTTAAATCTTAATGATTTCAATCCAATTGAATAAAGATGAAATACTATAAAAATATTATGGGCTTTGAAAACATTTTTTTTTCATGACTCACCTCTACAAATCTCATATCAGTTAAGAAATGAAAAATGAATTTTATATGCTTAATCTCTAGAACATATACATTTTAATGTAAAGTATAGGTTCCCTGCCTAAGCAAAACTAATAAATAAATTCTTCAGAATATATTTACTATATTACCTTATCATAAACATTAATATCAGCCCCCTGCCCCAGCAGAAGAGCCACCATATCATAATGTCCATGTGCAGCAGACAGGTGCAGTCCAGTCCTGCCCCGTTTGTCCTTGACGTGAATCTGAGAGGTGGACTTACTGAGAAGCAGACTGACCACTGACGTATGACCATTCTGGGCAGCCATGTGGAGTGGTATTGAACCCTGAAATTAATTTATTAATGTAACCTTTATTTTAATCATACCAATAAATGTTGAAAATATTACATTTTTCTACAGGTTGCTAGTAAGAAATTTTTTAACAGTTCAAAATATTTTTATAAATAAAAAGATGATTTCGATAGCTGTTGATTCAATAAATACTACTTTTAATTTAATTCCAGTAATACTAAATCTTTACAAAGAACTTAAAAAATTAATGATGATGCACTAGGCATTGTAAATCTACTAATAGATATTAACATTTCAAATGTACACATCTCTATTTCACTGTTGTACTTAAGAAATAGATATTATAGTATTGATCCTAAATTTCTTGGATACATCCTCCCTCCTGATACAGTTCAGAAGTTCAAGTTAAAAGTCAGCTCACTGGTTATGCATCCATACAAATTCTAGAACGTCCAGACAGAATCACTGTGTTTATTACCTGGACTTTGGTGGCTGCGTCTGCTTGCACACCTGGAGAATTGAGTAACAGGCGGACCAACCCTTCATGACCAGACTGGGAGGCCAAGTGGAGCGGAGTGAGGCCAGACTACAGGAGAGATAAATGCCAAGATAAAATAGATTAAAGAAATTAAAAAAAATTTAACCACCATATTAAAACAAATTAAAAATGCTGATAATTTAAAAATGGATATACATGTACAGTGTGATTTTGAGAATCTGAACTTGCTTTTTTTATATACATTCCATAGTTACAATGTGAGCCATATTTATACATAGCACTGCTAGAATAATTTAGTAAATGGATATATATATATATATATATATATATATATATATATATATATATATATATATATATATATATATATATATATATATATATATATATACTGCAAAAAATAACAATTACAATCTGTGATTCTTGAAATTTCATCAGTAGGGAAAATAGCAATAACAAGGCCTACACAAAATGCATTATATTCTTGGTATGCTATTTTGAAGTGACTAGTTCCCCATTCATCTGACCAATTAATACCGTGAAATATGGTTCAGGTGTTAAAAAAAGCAATGTGATAATAAATTCTAGTGAATTATACCTGAAGCAAGTAATGAACCAGAGGGTACATAAACTATAGTGTCAATGGTTGTAATAGATATGCTTCGAAGGAAATTCCAGATGTAAACACTTATTGCAGCCACAACTGTAAACTATTCTTTACATTTTTAATTAAAAATTAACTATATGTGAAAAAAAAAAAAACCTGTAGTTTTAAATATGCATTTTCTTTCAAATATGTTTTGTTTTCTTTATTTACTCATTCTTCAATTATTATCATTTTTTTTTTGTAGACTACAGTAAAAAGTCTCAGAGCTCATAAACATACATATTGAAAATTATGTTTCGTTTTTATTGGGAAGAAAATCATCACTAAAGAAGCTTTAATAAATTTCTTTTGAAATGCTACCAAGATCCCAGAAAAACACCAACAAAAATTTTGTTATTCTTTGACTTTTTATGTGACTTTTTAATTTAAAAAAAAAACTGCTTTGTAAAACTCACCTCAGCAGTGACATCCTTGAGTCCAGTTTCAGAGTCTGGGGCCTCACTGGTCACTGTGGCTGGAATACTGGTCAGTGTCTCACGCACAAAGTCTGCTTGACCATAATGAGCAGCAACATGGAGGGCTGTTAACCCGGTCTGAAAATATTCAATTTTCTCTTGCATTGGGTACTGACTTAAGATATAAAAAAAATTCAATTTAATTTCAAAATTCAGAATGTTTTGAACTTCACCTCAGAATGATCAAAATGTCCATTTTCTTTTTTACTACCACCACCATCATCATCATCAAACTGTGGCCAATTTTCTTCACTTTCATCAAAATTCTCATCTAAAAGTGACTCTACATCTATTCCACTATCCTCACTGACACTTTGGTTGAAAATTGAAGCCAAACTATCCCTGTGGACCTTCAACAAGGTAAGCATGTTCAATTTTGGAACCGCACGAAAGTCATGACACTGGAATGACAGGTTTCCTCTTCCTACTGGCATTATAAGGCTGAGCATGAACATATCTCTTTAGTCTCATTAGGTTTGATAAACTACACCCTAGCGCTTAATTCCTTTCATCGTGAAAAGAGTTAACCAAGTACTGACAGAGCATCCCATTCATCAAGCTAACCAGCTACCTGAGAATACTATATACACCTGTGTGTACACCTACCCAATGTCTGAGAACAGTATCAAAAAGATGCATCAAAACAACAGTCTAACTTGAAGTCACTGCCCATCCAAGGAAATGTGCAACAGGATTAACACTGAGAGCCAGCACTGAATACACCTGAGACTTACCAGTGATTTGAAGCCTAAATCAAACTCTTTTCCCAGATATAGAATCATGTTCAATTTGTTTGTCTTTAAAAAGAGGCCAACTTTCCTCTTGCCAAGTGTTGCATTTCAACAGATACTACTGAGAGTTTGTAATAATATACACGGTAGCCAATAATATTGCCCATAGTCACAGGATAATATAAACAAAGAAAATCAGATCAAAAAGGTCAAAAGCTGTGAAAGTCATATTTAGTTACAGTTTTTTTTTATCACACCGAATGTTCTGGCATACTGTACAAGTTTTGAAAGCCAGTGCAAACTGGCACCACCATGTTGTTAGATGGGCACTGCACTTGTCAAAACTGACAACGCTTATTGACAACCAAAACACGCATAGCCAAGTAACCTTCACTGCAAGGTGAATGGGTTATTTACTTTACAAAACTGCCATGTGTTTCCAGAAAACAGCATCTGTTCTCAACAAATTATCTCATGAAAATCTTTAGATGTAACATTTGGAAAGAAGAGCCTTTTGATCTTTTTTGATTGACAGAAGAGCTATTGATAAACTGTATAACTGTTTTCCTGACCTACCTTAGCACTTGTGACGGCAAAATCAACATGTCCCTTCAGTGCATCTAAGATGTGCACATGCCCATGTTTGGCTGACAGATGAATGGCCGTCATACCCTCCTTAAAAATATCAAAATGTAAATTAAATGATATGTTATTATTAAAAGTAAACAAATTGTGGAATATAAACTTCATTACTTTGATATATTTTCATTACAAAAAGCTTTTTGTTCCTTATATCTCCAAGACAATTACAGCTACCTTAGATTCAATAATCTTTTATTTATATTCAGAAGTCACATTTTGTCAAAATTAAAGGTTTTCCATAATATCACATAGGTAACATTGTGTAACTTATGAAGTATTTCAAAAACCATGTTTCTAATCTTTTATTTTCTTCACATTCTAATTCATCTCATTTTCGTAATTTTTTTTTATTTCAAAATATTTACATTCTTCATTTTATATCACAATAACACAAGCACATAAGAGTAAATGAACAGCAGACACATCAATAACCCCATGAATAAGTTACGTGTATTTCAAGGAGCCACTTACGGCATTTTCATCAGTTGCAGAGGCTCCAGCTTCCAGCAGCACTTGCACTACTTCTACATGTCCTCCTTCTGCAGCTAGATGGAGGGCTGTCGAGTTGTTGGTCTATACACAATAAACAAAGGAAATAACAAAATGAATTTAGTTTAAATTGAAACAATCCTCTATCTAAAATCATGCCTTTTTAGGACAATCCTCTTTTTGTTAAGCATGTTAGGAAAACTTTTTTGGTTGAAAAAAATACAGAGCTTTGTAAGAGTATGTATGCATATGTAGTCTTATCTGATTCAACCTCAAATTAGAATCGTCTTCATGTTGTTAATAAAACTGTAAAGAAAATTTATTTTGGCAAAGGAAAAAAAGCTGTATACAAAAACAACTCGACCAAAAAGTGTCACTTACCCTATTTCTGGCTGTTGTCACTACCATTTTGTTGAATCTCATAAGTTCCTTAATGACACCTACACTGCCCTTTGAGGCAGCTATGTGAGCACATGTCATGCCATTCTGAAAGTGAAAAAAAAAGTCCCTCTGATTTAATGAAATGTTTATATGAGCTGAAATTATACCCATACTCTTTACTCCAAAGTTTGACAATATCTGAACCAAGAAATAGAATATCAATACAAAAAATGAAGGACCAGTTTAAAAATACATTAAATAATATAATTGCACAAAGCATATAAGAAATGCCTTTTGGGTGACAAGAAATATGCTATATCCAGCTTCTCACTATACAGGCAAAACTTCAAAAAGAACGCCGAACAGGTCTTCATTTATACTTTATACTGGATTTAAAGTTAAAAGTAATTTCACATAATTAAAAGAAAATAAAGTCTCACTGATACAATCTATCAACATTGTCAAGAGATACAGCTTTAAAATAATTTTGCAATATATAAACATCAACATGCTTATGAAAATTCATTAAAAAAATGAATAAATCCAACCCAGTGAAAGTAAAACAACAACAGGTCAAATACCAATTCATATAGCCTTCCTGCAAAACCCAACATGATAGTGTACAAGTGCATGCGTGCAGTATGACACAATTCAACATCCACGTTTCATATTGCAGGGGAGAAATGTACAAAGGTGATCAATGCAAAATATGGGAAATTGGACATGCATGCATTTTTTGGTCATTCCAATTTTCTGGAAAGTGAACCATTACCTATATAAAGGTCATTTGCCCCACATACTTACATTATCCTGGTCACAGCATTTAATTAAATTGTAATAGTTACTGAACCATAATACAGTGTTAGTACCCAAACTCTTATCAATCCACTAGATTTAATACAACAACCAAGTAAAGACACATGAAGAATTGTTTTACTTATTATAAACTTAAGTAAACCTAAGAGCTAAAAATCAATTAATTTGTTTTAAGCCCTCATGATATACATGGGTTTTTATTACCAAGCATTAGAAAAATTTATTATCAATTATCTTTTAACGTAGCTGTTTTCTGTAATATAATCTGTTCAAATGTCTTTAATTATCCAAATCTAAGTGGAAAGTAACATGATAGCAAAATACCATTTGGTATGTAAGATAAAAACCTAAAAGTCAGTGGAGTGATAAGTAATAAAATCACAGACACAGCAAACAAGTCCACCTTTTGTCAATTTAATAAACCAGAATGATTATTGCATAACCTTTCAAGTTAATCCCCCCACTTGAATGGCTGTTAAAGAGCATTTTGATGTGTTATTTTAGTGTTTCTATATCCTAGAAACACAGAAAAATCAATTCTGAAAGTTATCAACCAAAATGCAATAATTCATTGTTAGCAGAAAAACCTTCACAATGTCAAACATAAAAAATTTACCTAACAACCTGTCAAAGAGATTATCAAAACTTTTCATCAATGTCCAAGATATTAATAACCATTCATTTAAAAATGATCTTATCAAAGAAATGTCAAGTGCTTTATTTCATGTTATTTCTTGATGCCTTACATTAAACATCTCTCTGATGAACCATTTCATCAAAATAATTATCCCATTGTTTTTCTTATAACCAGGAAATTCTTAATGTCAATTTTACATCTGACATATTGCTGAACAGTGACTATTGCTCCTGGTTCAAGTATAATTTGACTCACCGTGTTGGCCATAGTTACTAACTCAGGCTTGTGCTTTAGGAAGAGTTTCACAACATCTGAGTGGTCATTTTCAGCAGCCAAGTGGAGGGGAGTTTGACCATGCTGAAAAGGCATCATTAAGAGATATAAATGTTTTTGTTGTTGTTTTTTTTATTTTTATTGTTTTTGAAAACCACAGAATGTTGCTTTTGTTCTCCAATCTGGCTTTGTTGATTGCGCAGTAATCTTTTTACATTTCAGAAATTTTCCTTTTTAAACTTCAGCATATGTTATTGCAAACCTATAATTAATGTCCAAAGAAATGAACTTGGTTTTATTTCTATTTCTTTAATCAAAATAACTAAACATACCACATCAGTGGCATTTGCATCAGCTTTCATCTTCAGGAAAGTACTGCAAACTTCCATCTGCCCATTCTGTGCAGCCATATGCAAGGGAGTCTTCTTCGCCTAAAAATTAATAATTTTCGTAACAAAAGTTGAGGTGGACATTGGAGGCAGGCAACCCAAATGCAAATAAATTTTTTTAATCTATGAGTGGGACAGCAAATTTAAACCCCTTTCACACAATATATTACAAATGTCTCTGCTTAAAAAAACTTGACATAACAGCTTTACGCTTTTTTTCACAAATGATCAGGAAAAACAATCTTTTATTTCAAGAATGTACAAAACAATCAACAAAATAAATATATGCAGGCTGCACTGACATCTTATGTCAGAGAATGACACACTCACCAGTGACAAGGCATCAATGGTAGCTCCATGAGTTTCAATCAGCAGTTTGACCAGTTTATTGCAGCCATTCTGTGCCGCCAGGTGGAGAGGGGTGACACCAAGTTTGGACTTAGCATTGACAAATGCCTTGTGCCACAGTAACACGTCAGCTACCTCATCATGGCCGTTCTCTGCCGCCAGGTGCAGTGCTGCCTTACCATGCTGTCATAGAACAAAAATGTCTTAACAAACAAGGTGGTAAATTTGATCTACTTATTTTCCCTCCAGTACAAAAAGCAAAGAAGGTAATGAAAAAGTATCTGTGTAAATATGATTTTTTCGGAAATTAATGTAATGAATCTCTGCTCTATGTGGTGGCATTTGATATGGTATAGTGGCAATAATTTGACATAAGTACTCCCATAATATGCCTCTTTCATGTTTTCTCTGCTTTAACTTAAAAAGTGAGTTGTTACACCTACTGTAAATAAAACATTTAGAAATTTATGTAAAATAGAGAGCCTGTGCTGTATTTAGTACCCAATAAGCTTATAATATCTTAAGTTATTTTTTATCTCTCCATATTTTAAAATCAAATTTTCACCTCATCAAACACATCTACTCTGGCATGGTTCTGCATTAAGATCTTTACAATGTCCAGGTGGCCCTGCTCACACGCAACCAATAATGGGGACCAGCCATTCTGAAAGAATACAGTAAATTGCAGATTTATGAATGGAGAAGTACTTTTCTGAGAAAATATTACCCGGACCCTAAATCATATAAATTGGCTTGATGCACTGGGGATACGTTTTATTAGGTTTCAGGAAAAGATTAAGAAAAAGATTAAGTATGAAGCACTGGCATCCCTCAATATGTGGTAAATATTCCTTGAAAAGCTGCAGACTGAAGATATTCCTAATCTTAATTAAATACTGTCTCTACCTCATTCACACATTAATTCATTCATTTCTGCTACATGTGGTTAATTAAGTATCGTACTGAATCAGTGGTGTCATATTTGATGGGTAAGTTTGTTATCAATTTAATAAAGGGATAAACTTGGATGAACATGTGGCAAATTATGATTGACAGTATAATTTCAAGTCACGTCCTGTTGCCCACAAAAGCAAAAAAGCAAAAACTTCTTTCTATGACATAAAATATATCTCATGTAAGCAAAATTGGAGAATAGCATTTCAATATGATAACCAACATTTTAATGGATTTTTATGGTCGAAATTTCACAGTTTCAAATGTCTTTGCTGATATGGTAATATCTGTCCTTATACTACATTTAGTACCTTTGCTTGCTTGTTGACTGCCAACTGGACTCTGTTGGGACCTAAATGTCTGACCATTTCCAACAAGATGTCCTCGTTTCCTGCCCTGGAGCAGTAGTGAAGTGGGGTCTCATGTGTCTGGAAAAAAAATGGATGAAATTATGACAACAGAAACAAGATGGCAGAATCAAATTCAGTGCAGCATGAACTTGTTTCTTTTCAAATGATAATGATCCCTGATTTTAGACTTTTTCACCTTAAATGTTTATTTCAAAAGATTAGTTCGCACTTTGTTTATTACAAAATGTGCAATTAACTCTTTATTATTATTATTATTATTATAACTACAGCCCATAGACCTAGAAAGATTTACAATGTATGTAAACCCATATGTTCCAAATACGCATGTTTAAATTCATCAATAAAGCATTTATATCTCGACTTGCATCTGCAGTCACCACAATCATCATTCCTTTTTTCACATACTTGATTTACAGCCTGCACTCCAGCAGTGCGATAATGAGAAGAGCATTCTACGATTCTTCATTCACATTTCTACAGGATCTTACCATTCTAGTCTGTGTGTTTGTGTCTCCATTGTATTCCAGCATCAGTTTGATCACATCCACATCTTCAAACTCTCTATGGCACATGTTCTTGGTAATTTCAGCTGCATAATGCACACAAGTTTCCCCTTCCTGTTAAAAAAAATTGATATCAATACCTTTAAAAAATATTTCAATTTACAATCTTGGAAAATCTGCTTAAATAATACCATGCTAATGTAAACATTTTATGATAAATGCATAATATGCCACAAGCAATACCAGTTGCCATCCAGATAAAAGTGTTACTTTATGTACAGCAAAGAAAATTTGAGAGTAAAATGTAATTAAAATATTTGAATTAAAAAATTACCCTTACAGAATTTTGTTAATGTCAAACATCAGAGCATGGAAATTTGAGAGAATATAAAAAGTTTTTAGAATATTTAAATTAAAAACTAAATATCTTACAGTATTTTGTTGATTGACTAGCATCACAGCATCTATATGGGACTTCTCTGTGGCCACAAATCTCAGAAGTTCATCTGCCACATCCCAGTGACAGTGTCTCACAGACACATGGAGAGGAGTTTCTCCAAGCTGGAAAAAATATAGAACAAACCAACTTGAGAATGCTTAAAAAATATATGAAATGTCTTCTCTACTTTGAAACAATAATAACCTTGTGTATAAATCAAAACCTAAAGATAATTAGATAACCCCATTCAACAGGACATTCCTTAATTCTACACTCAATGATGAATTCTTGAGTTTCAAAATTGTATTTCAAATGGCATATACATTTGCAGATGGTACTTAAACTGTGATAACAATTTTTTGTTTGGGATATCACAAATGATGGAAAAAGTACAACAGTGGTTTGACTTAGGTATTATCTTCTATCCTTACTATAAAAATTAACACATATTACCTTTGACTGCCAACAGGGGTCACCACCTTCTTCCAAGAGGGCAATAACCATTTTGATGAGACCATATCTGGCTGCTATGTGCATTGCAGTCTCCCCGTTCTCCTGAATGGAATTAACATTGGCTCCACTTTTGATCAGCATTTCTGCACACTTTTCCCCTTCACTGGTTCTGGCTGCTATGTGCAGTGGGGTCTCCTGGGCCTAAAAAATCAACATCGACTTTAATTTATAGAAATATGTCTCACTAGTAAACAATTTCACTGCACAATTGCATTCTATTTATAACCAAACATTTTTTTAAATTCAACACATCACCATTATACTGATCATTATTATTTTCCACAAGAAAACTGCTGTTCCAGGAAACTAAAAGAACTACAAAGAATAATCACAATGTTAATTATCCAATGAATGGTATTTCTTTCCTTAAAATAAATAGACAGTCTTTTCAGCATAGTGAAGTAATTATCAATATATGGTTAATATAAAGACAGACTGACCAGTCCTCCCTTGAGTTCCACCTGAGCACCAAAGCCCAGCAGTGTTTGTACAACCAGTGGTCTGCATGCCTCCACAGCTATGTGCAGGGCTGTGTAGTTGTCCTGAAAATACAAATTCGTACCAAAATAAGAAATATACTTTTGGGTATGTTTTGATCTTTTAACATAAAAACTAAAATCTTAATGATGGCAGGTGTGCTGAGCTTTTAAGTAAGTTTGAAAATAGGAGGATTCTCTCATTATTTCATGAGCAGTAGTCAAAATAACAATTTAGAAGTGGCACAATATTTTTTCATAGGAATGCTTATCTCTTCTACACGTATAAGAAGATTAAAAAAAAATTTTTCTTTATTTGTAGTATAATGATATTTCAAGGTCACCTTACTAGCTTAGCCCTGGCATTTACTTGTTATTTATGCTTAACTCTTTTATAAGAAGATTTTTATATTTTTATTTCTCTTTATTTGTAGTAAAATGATATATTAAAGTCACCTTGGTCCTGGCGTCTACTTGGGCACCTTTCTGGAGGAGAGACCTCACTACAGCCGTGTGGCCTCTCTTGGCAGCAGCATGGAGACAAACAGCCCCTGCCTGAAAAAGCAGTGCCAAAGTTTTTTCTAATTTTCATGAATAAACATTTCAACAGACATTTCAACTTAAAAATAATCAATGAAGTAAACAAAATAAGGATAGGAAAATAAGTCTCCAGTTCTTTTCCACAAAAGGGCTTTTTAAATATTTTTACAGTAAAACAGAAACGTAATTTATCAAGTATGTTCTTTGATCAACGCAATCATTATTACTATTATCATTATATTACACACTGATTTAATGATAATGGCGAAAACTTATTTTAGATACCTAATTTCCAATCTTTTTTAAATCGTTAAAATGATGACTGTTGTCATTAGAAAAAAGGAAAGAAAAAAAGGAGTAAGATTTCCAGATGTGTTTTACATGTTAAAGTAATTAAATTGTTTACTTTATTTGGCATATGCAGTGGCACTCCTTTCTTGAGAAATGTAAGTGCAGTATCAGGATGCCCGCATTCTGACGCTATATGCATTAAGGTGCTGCCATCTTTAGTTCTAGCGGCGACATTAGCCTTGAATTTATCCACCAACAGTTCCACAACACTCGTGTTCCCACGCTCTGCAGCTATGTGTAAGGGACTACGATCCATCTGAAAGGAAATTTCCATTCTCATCACATTATGTTGACTCATAGGCCAATGAAATAGCATTCAGCAAGCACCTTATGTGAAAACTGACCCTTTTATCGAACTAAAAATAAAAAGTCTAACCTTAATATTTCTTATTCAAGCAGATGCTTTTTGTTGGCCTGACAAATGGAATATAATAAAACTGTTGGCATATAAATTTGACTCTATTTTGATTTTATAATAAATATGTGAAAAAGAAATATTCATTCACAATTTCAGTATTTTGAAAATACCAATTCATTCAATAAATGTTTGAATCCAAATTCATATTTTACAAAATTCCATACAATGACATGCCATGGCCGATCATGATGCCAATCTCAAATAGATCTGCATACCTGATCTGTTATGTTTGGATTGGCTTTAGCTTGATACAGGTACTTCATCATGGCTTCATCTCCTTCCCAGGCTGATATATGTAAGGGGGTATGGCCCTCATACTAAATTAAATAGTAATCATTATTATTATTATCTTATTATTATAATATCAGCAATATTAACAACAATAACTAATAGCCAAATGTGAAAATTTAAGGAAATCCTCTGCTAGCCTTCATATATAAATGAAGTTCATGACTTAAATATTAAAATCATAACAAGATAATGAATTATCCAAAATTATCAAAATCAAGCAGTCAAGATGTTAGCTATATTCTGCAAACACATATTATTGTTGTATGTCAGCAACATGAAATGTCAGCAAACACTTATGTTTATCATAACTTTTGTTACTCTTCCAGAATTTTCTAATGTCATGCCAACATTCAAAACTTACATTTTGCACATCAAAGTTGGCTCCGTACTCCACGAATAGTTTTGCCAGATCCACGTCCTTTCTTCTGCAAGCAACATGCATCAAGTTGTCTCCATTACCCTGTGGAAATTGGGAGAAAATCAGTGATAATGTATTGCAGATCTTTAAAAAAATAGAGACTTGGTATCAATTACGAAAATTGTTTACTCTTTCAAGACTTCAAAAAGTGTCACAGCATAATGATTCAGGACATGTTCACGTAAGTTTGAGCTAAAAGGAATTTAGCTTTAACTCTGTGCACAAGAAAAATTCACAGACAAGAAATTTGGGGGGATCAATCCCCTTATAAATTTTGGTGCAAATACATTCATACCACAGCATTCTAAGAAACTGTAATGTAAAGAGGGCTTTATCAATGACCAAACCATTGTTTATTTAACAACCTTTAAGTTATTTAATTTTTTCTTTAAAATTTCGATTTAAGTGAAAAGCAATCTTTAACTACATAATCTTATGAGTAAGTACATGTATGTTAATTTGAAATGATTCAACCAATAGAAAAAGGGAATCTTGCTTATTGTCATAAGCTGAGGTGCTAAAAAACACGATAATATAAGTGCAAAACCAAAGATTTTATAGATTTAGCAACATGGGTTACCCTACACCTCTTAAATATACCGGTATCCATTAACAATTTCTCTAAATACTTAGATCTATTCTATGATTGAAATTCTGTATCCATACTATCATTTCAACACCAGACTACAGTGAAATATCTGAAATAGTCCAGAATAAACCCTAAAACAATTCACAATGTAAACAAAACATATAATACAATATCACTGCCATTGTTCTAATTGAAAACATTAATCATAATGCTTATGACATCTGGTTTGTACCATGTGGGTGACATGACATGTCCAATGCATGTCTCGAGTACAAAAACCACCACATTTCATAAAATGCCACACAAGACTTTTTAAACAAGCCCTTTGTGAAACAAAGCCCAGTGCCATGGGAAATTTGTAATTGTTTGTGCACCGACTGCCTCCAGATATGTCATGTCTGGCCAACTTCAAACAAGTAAAAGAAAACAGGGAGACCCACCCTTCTCTGGAATTTGATCTGTTGCTCTGTCTGTTGTGTGAGGCATTCTTTGCAAACGGCCACATTACCAACTTCAGAAGATAGAAATATAGGAATTGAGCCATCCTGAAGTGGAAAACAGTTCTGAAATAATTTCTGAATCAGAGAATGTTTATAACAATTTTTGTAAATAAAAACGAAACGATCATAGTAAAACTCTGTGTGCGAGATACTGATACCAAACATCCTGAAAAAAATTTGAAATAATTTTCATGGCAAGATATATTCATATAATTATTTAAGTGAAAATGAAGGAGGCATTTGTTAAGGTTGAGGACACAACAGTCAAACACACACACAATGACACAAACAAAAATAATAAATAAACACTTTAATAGATTTTGCGGTGCAGGATATTAATAACTGGATTTGTAAAGAAAAGACAAAAGACAAAGTACATTTACTTTATACTGTTTGAGATGAGACAACCCTAATGCACTTAAAATTAGTGTGAATAGCAAAGGCTTGGGAATTTAAATATATGATTTAGACAACTTAAATGAGGAGAGACAATGTTACTAAGAGACACTTAACTACTACTAATTTATTGAGTGAAATAAATCACCAGAGAAACACAAGACCACGAGACAATAGGCCTCCTGCACTTTTTCAATAACCTAGCTGGCTTCTAGTGTAACATAAAAAGTAAAAAAAGTTACTAGTAAATTTGTACTCATGTCTATGAAAAACAAAAGACAGATTTAGGGGACATTCACATAAACCACCACTGAGACAAACTCTGCACTTGTCTTAGATTCATATTACTGTGAAAGAATTCTGACTGACTGACATGAGACCAACCGAACTAAAGCAAAGCATGTTCAGATACAAGGGACTGATGTGTCGTTGACGTGACATGTCTAGTACAAGAAACAAAACTTATCATGCAATGCAGGCAGCAAATGCAACAGCAGTCGGTCCACCTAACTTGTATATAAATGCACATATTTTGGTTGTTTTAAATAGAATGAATTTCTCCTTTATGTGTATTCGGGTACAATTTTCTAGGCCACTTTTAAAATTGCTTCCACAATACACCCCTGTATTTTATTCATATCATCAAACAATTGAAACTCCATACAGATAATATCAATATGAAATTGTCTTTGAATAAGATAAGAGTGTTTAAAACTTACTTTGTCTTCCACAAGCCTGCAGTCTTTTCCAGAGACTTTCAGGAGCATCTGAACTATTGCAAGTGCCCCACTAGATCTTGCACAAGCCATGTGAAGGGGGAGCTGTTCCTTAGGCTGCATAATGAAAAAAAAAAATAAGGGAATAATGTATTTACAAAAGATGAAGACAGCTTTGATGTGATTGCCTTTTTTTCCTTGTGGGGGGTGGGGGGCATATTTGACTCAATTTTCTTAGCTACCTGACTAGGTTTCTAAAAGTAATATCACATCCCTCATTCAAGCCAACAGGCTGTAAACCTTACCCAACTATAATTTACATATTTGACATTGTTCACATTTAGTTGAACAAAGCAATATGTTATTACACAAAAGTAAACAGACTGTGAAATGACACAAATGTTTTAAGTGTCAACAGGTATACAACAGTTGCATGTACACATCATGTCCAAATTACACAGACCAGTAGTGTAAAACTGTACTGGCACAGCAGGGGCGGATTTAGGGCGTCTTCTGGGTCTTCCAGAAGACGGTCAGATTTTCAAGTTTACATTGGCGGGTATCTAATTTTTTCTGTCGGAAGACGGTCAAAAATGAAGTACGGATCAACAAAGATAATTTGGAAGACTGTCAGGAAATAACTCTGAATCCGCCCCTGCACAGCAATTAGAGTTTCTTTCTTTCCCCACCCACTCCTGATCAACACACATGTTCATGCTCACACACACAACTTCCACTGTAAACACCACCAATTCTGTAAGTACCTAAAATAGCGAATACCCCAGACACCAAGTTTGACATCATTTTCAAGTTTTAACTGAGGTTTCCCTCCCCTTCTATCTCTCTCCACACACACACACACACACCGCATAAGCAAGAAGACACACACAATGAAGAAATACAGCAACATTAATAAAGAAAAGACAGTGACAATGACAATGAATTAATATATTTAAATTGATTTTAAGTGCTTTTAATAACCATCCAATCTTCTTATCCTTTAATAAAATATATTTAAATTGATTTTAAGTGCTTTTAATAACCATCCAATCTTCTTATCCTTTAATAAAATGTATGGTGTCTCCGCCCCCCCCCCTCCCACTCTCCAACATACCACCCCTCCCATAGCTCCCGATACAATTAAGACATAAAAGCTACATTAAACCCCTCAAAGCCAGGTGGCACTGTTTGCAAAAGTTTCTGCATCTGATTACATAGCTCTCCCACTGGGATAATCACCCAATCATTATTCCTTTTTTTCTAAACAATAGGCGAACTGTTGAATGACTTTTCTCTTCCCTTTTTGTAACTCCAGACAGCAACCAACGGCCCAGTCTGACTTCAATTTGTCAGAATTAATTCGAGACAAGGATTTGTGTTTCAGCGCAATGTAAGGAGACTGAAACATTTGTATGCATAATGATAGAGATGCTGCGCAAGTTGTGCAACAGAAGTCCATTTCCTTTAATGACAAATTCGAGTTTTACACTTTTGATAATGGTAGCAATAAAAAAGCATTTCACAGGTCTTGCTGCTTTTGGAAGGTTGTCCAATCTAATCAATGAAATAAGATTCAAGTAACACTTTACTTGATTAAAGTTGCTTAACTTTAGAAATTGAGTAATCACTTATACATTTCTAAATTCTCACTTTTAAAGACAATTTAAGTTTTTTTTTATTTTCCAGACTTAACTTACACCAAAAACATGTTTTCTATATATAAGTCTAACTAACTCTTCAGAACTTATGACAATTTCCAATTACAATTTTTTTTCTGGAAAAATTATCACTCAATTTCAAATCTAGGGAATAATAATTGTGAAAGGTATTTTTTTTTCAATGATCACATTTCAATGGCTTCACATCTACTATCAATTTATAATCTTATCACAATCATGTTTATTCTCACATCTTAATCACTCTGCATATGACAAATTGATTATTAATTTATTTATGCAGAAAACTAAAAAATTCATCTTCCACTCACCCCTCCTGGTATAGTGGCATCAGCCTTCTTATTAATGAGCAGCTTCATGATGTCATCTCTGGCATATGACGCAGCGAAATGCATGACAGTGCGCCCATCCTAGGAATAATTAAATAAAGACATTAACTGATAATAGCAAAGCAAGGCTTTTCTTTTCAATATTAATAAATACCTGAACTAGATTAAGATTAATCTGCAATTAATGGGTGTAACTAGAGGGTTTTATTAAAGAAAATTATAAAACATAATGCCCATTCACACCTTTTTATATTTTAGAATAAGATTAAGAGAAAAAACATTGTAAAAAATTAAAGTATGGTAGTCACTCTACCATACTTCCTAAAAGTGTTTATATACAAGACGTCATGTAGCTTGAATATTGTTATAAAATTACACTTCCAGTCTAAAGTATTTCCTGCAGTTCTTTTCAAACAAATCTGAAGAATCGCTTCAGACAATCACTTCCATGAGAACAGTAAACTGCATCCTGCGGCTTGTAGCCAAGTTGAAACATGAGGATACAAATCTAACCACTCCCTTTGGGCCAGCCTTGCTAGTAATATTAATTTATAGATTCAGATAGATGATGCACGTGTCTTATTTGCCTCACCTAGCTACAGCTATGGTATGTGTTCATGACAGATTATACATTTCTTCAGGGCCTACTGCTACTTACTTTGATCAAATGATAATGAAAAAATGTCAAATAATTCTGACTGAAAATTCTACTTCTGGATTCTACTTGGGTAATAGGAAACACTCAAATCGTTCCACATAAGGCTGGGAAAAGGACTCCNGACATAAAAGCTACATAAAACCCCTCAAAGCCAGGTGGCACTGTTTGCAAAAGTTTCTGCATCTGATTACATAGCTCTCCCACTGGGATAATCACCCAATCATTATTCCTTTTTTTCTAAACAATAGGCGAACTGTTGAATGACTTTTCTCTTCCCTTTTTGTAACTCCAGACAGCAACCAACGGCCCAGTCTGACTTCAATTTGTCAGAATTAATTCGAGACAAGGATTTGTGTTTCAGCGCAATGTAAGGAGACTGAAACATTTGTATGCATAATGATAGAGATGCTGCGCAAGTTGTGCAACAGAAGTCCATTTCCTTTAATGACAAATTCGAGTTTTACACTTTTGATAATGGTAGCAATAAAAAAGCATTTCACAGGTCTTGCTGCTTTTGGAAGGTTGTCCAATCTAATCAATGAAATAAGATTCAAGTAACACTTTACTTGATTAAAGTTGCTTAACTTTAGAAATTGAGTAATCACTTATACATTTCTAAATTCTCACTTTTAAAGACAATTTAAGTTTTTTTTTATTTTCCAGACTTAACTTACACCAAAAACATGTTTTCTATATATAAGTCTAACTAACTCTTCAGAACTTATGACAATTTCCAATTACAATTTTTTTTCTGGAAAAATTATCACTCAATTTCAAATCTAGGGAATAATAATTGTGAAAGGTATTTTTTTTTCAATGATCACATTTCAATGGCTTCACATCTACTATCAATTTATAATCTTATCACAATCATGTTTATTCTCACATCTTAATCACTCTGCATATGACAAATTGATTATTAATTTATTTATGCAGAAAACTAAAAAATTCATCTTCCACTCACCCCTCCTGGTATAGTGGCATCAGCCTTCTTATTAATGAGCAGCTTCATGATGTCATCTCTGGCATATGACGCAGCGAAATGCATGACAGTGCGCCCATCCTAGGAATAATTAAATAAAGACATTAACTGATAATAGCAAAGCAAGGCTTTTCTTTTCAATATTAATAAATACCTGAACTAGATTAAGATTAATCTGCAATTAATGGGTGTAACTAGAGGGTTTTATTAAAGAAAATTATAAAACATAATGCCCATTCACACCTTTTTATATTTTAGAATAAGATTAAGAGAAAAAACATTGTAAAAAATTAAAGTATGGTAGTCACTCTACCGTACTTCCTAAAAGTGTTTATATACAAGACGTCATGTAGCTTGAATATTGTTATAAAATTACACTTCCAGTCTAAAGTATTTCCTGCAGTTCTTTTCAAACAAATCTGAAGAATCGCTTCAGACAATCACTTCCATGAGAACAGTAAACTGCATCCTGCGGCTTGTAGCCAAGTTGAAACATGAGGATACAAATCTAACCACTCCCTTTGGGCCAGCCTTGCTAGTAATATTAATTTATAGATTCAGATAGATGATGCACGTGTCTTATTTGCCTCACCTAGCTACAGCTATGGTATGTGTTCATGACAGATAATACATTTCTTCAGGGCCTACTGCTACTTACTTTGATCAAATGATAATGAAAAAATGTCAAATAATTCTGACTGAAAATTCTACTTCTGGATTCTACTTGGGTGATAGGAAACACTCAAATCGTTCCACATAAGGCTGGGAAAAGGACTCCAACTGACCAGCCACGTGGCCTTGTGCAAGTGACCTTGACAATCTGTGGCATTTACATTACCCCCTTGGTGAATCTTCCACATGCTGTCACAATTTGCACTGGGTATGTCAACATAATGTGGAGGACTTTAACTGGAAGATAACACAGTCTAATCTGATGGTCATGCCAACCAACTTCTCTGTACAAGATAAACCCAGCAAAATACTTATGGTACTATCAGTGGTTTTAAAAATAAAGGCTGAAAAAATGATCTTTAACAGATGAGATTCACACTCCCATATGTCTGTATCAGGAATTAAACAAGACAAAACCCAACAATTTTTTTTCTGAGGGGAGAGGGGGGGGGAGTTGAAAAAATACACATTTTTGAGGGGTTAGGCTGATAACTAGCAAACCAACCATAAATCCACCAAAGGTAAAAACATTACCTCCTTGGCACAGGTAAATATGTGGAGGTTTATAACTGTATTTAAAAGATAAATATTGAAAAAGATACATTCAAAAGAAAACAGTGAAAAATGTAATATATCTTTATGATTAACACGGAAGGTACCTATTATAAAACCTGTCAAAAACTGAAGTTCTATGCCATCTCAAATGGCTATTTAACATTGACAGTTAAGTAAATATTTTATTTACTTGTCAGGTTTCTGGTAGATTAATTCTAACTGCATGAACACATGTGTTAAAGTAGCTTTATTTATTCCCTGCTGTATAGATCAATACAACACTCAGAGGACTTTTATCCACAAGACCCATTTCATTTTTAATTTTTCTTTTTTACATCCTGTTATCTAGTAATTGCAACCAATCTTCACTGCAATATCTCGTTAATCGATGCCAGAGTTACAAATAACAAGACAGCAAAAGCTGTCACATGGACAGACAAAAAATATGACAAAACTGACAGAAGCAGTGACATTAAAATAAGACCAAGTAATTTGACAATGAAAGTGCACAAAATGTTTTTGTGCAATATTACACAATTACCAGCAATTTTTAGTCAGGTACTACTGTCACTGTGAACACTCAGAAAATGTAACCAGCAATGGGCTTGTGAAAAAAAAATCATGAAAAACAACCCAATCAGGCTTGTTATTAAACTTAAACTGTTTTTTTTTCTGTTTTATTCCTGTGAATCATTCCTGTAAATCTATGAATGGTAAGTTAGGTTTTTTTCTTTATGAGTGCAAGCAATGTTATCCGATTGAGTTAAACAGGGAGGAAATAATGGGATCACAATTTGATTTTAAAACTTCTGTGAGCTTTTGTTACATACAGGTTAATCATAATCAACTTTTTCATTCTTTGAGTGTATATATATAGAATATTACCAATACATACAGCACTGAAATGATGACAGATACAGGTTTGTTTTCACATATAATGCAGACGATTTAAAAAGCTTTTAATGCTTTTCACTCTAAATTCGGCAAAAAACTTACTATAAAAACCACAGACAAATTTATGAACTTAATTTGTGTTTCAGACAAAATGTAGCAAGTTAAATGCCACAAAATGTACAAGTGTTCACTTTCTTATTCTCAAAATAGACGGCAGACGCGTAATCAATACCAGCACAGACAGGTAACTAAGGCGATGGTCTGGTCTCCCCGCTCTAATACCACATCATTTCTCTGGGAATTAATCCCAAACATGATTTATTGGACAATTACACAGTGATTATGAGGTGCAGCAATGAGTGGCAGCAGTGTATGAAGACAGTTAGTGTCCTTATTGATTAATACTTTACTTTGCTTGTGAACCAGATAAAAAATTTCCTACAGATTATGAAACCAGTGAAAATCAGCAGATTAGTTGCTCTCAGTAAATAGGACTTTCTTATTCGCGGGTTTACATTTTGAAATGTGATACCTGTGTGAAAAGAAACCCCTTCAAAGTTTTCTGGAATAATAAACTGATATCCACAAATGCGAATAACTGAAAAGTTACTTTTTGTATAGTCAACATGTTTATTTTTTTCTAAGCTAAAGCATCAAATATAATCTTTCCTTTTCAGGACTTAAATCATTACTGCCCAGGTCCAACTCCAGTAAATATCAGTAGTTACTCTTTACAAACATAAAAATCATTTAAAACTACCTCAATTCCAGTATGAAGAACCAAATGTGATATCAACCTGACAGAAATCCTGACATAGAATATCCGAAAGAGATTAGGAATCTTGCTTTCACACCTGAAAATTTTTTGGGTAATTACCACTCAACTTGTTGCGAAACCCATTTCTATGTACAAACATAACTTTTGATACCTGCCTCTAATGCATCTGAGTGCTATACAATATTTGATAAAATCTTTAATTATGGACTCGCTCCATGGCAATTGATTTGAATGGTATTAAGTGACCACCTCAAGTTCGTAGATAATGTGGCTCTAATTCTGTTGTGTTTGTCAACATGAAAGGCGATTCGGCTAAAAACTGGACAAAGGGCCGTTCTATACTTGGACCTCGTATCAAACATCACAAGTGATTGACTTTACTCCTAAATTGGTAACTTTAGAAAAGACTGGTTGTGTAAAGGGTTTGGTGTTGGATGATAAATGCCTAAATTGTCGAGGAGGCTAATCTGTACTTTCAGACTGCATTCTTTAGTATATATGCTCAACCAAACAATTTACCTCACACATCCCTGCACTATCAAAATTCACAAAATCCTAAAATTAAGTTGGACTTCTGAATCAAAATTCCCTCAAACTTTATACTTAATAGTAACAGTAAGTTTTCCATCAACCACAGTGAATAAAGTACACATAACTGAACTAATTCCAGCAAGCAAACCTCAAAAATTTAAGGAATTTAACACAACTGTTGACAATCTGATATACTGCTATACAGGCAAAAAAACTCAAAGGCACAGAAACAGTTCAGTAAAAAAGGAATGCAAATGATCGTGACTGAGTCTAGTGCTTCAGTTGAAAAATAATGCACATTAGTACAATTCTTTCAATACAAAATGTTTCATTCATGTTGTGTGGCCTAGGCAGCGTGTAACCACAGGGTTCTTGGTTCTTTATAACAAATGTGTTACTTTACAAGAACGGCCACTGATGTTTTACCCATGGACAATCATATGAATGGATCCTTTATATTCCGTGAAAGAAAATAATTTGAGCTATTCATGATTTATAAAAATCTATAATGAACAAAAAATGAGAATAAAATATTGGCAATTCCCTACTATCCCAATAAAACCACATTCATTTCTATTTTTTCACCTTCCCTTAAAAAAAAAGGGGGGGGTATTAAAACAACTTTACTTCTCCACCCTCTTGAATTCCATTGCAAATAATTCAACACCTACATTCAAAACAACATACACTAATCCTAATCAACGGTGGTTTTTACTTTAACATTTACGTGTTAATGCTCAGACTTGGGTGAACTTTGTGTCCCCAGCTATTTATCTGCTAACTTTCCAAGATAAGACATAGCCCCACACAAACCCTATTCAGGCAACACCAATAGGAATGCATTCGGGGGTCCTGCCTTCAATATGGGCATCTATCAGCTACAGGTACTTGTAAATAACTACACACATTGGTTGCTTAGTATTACTCTCTGAATTATAAAGTCATCAAGTCAAAATAAATGCGATTTAAATACAAAGTTTATTAAGGATCACTGCGTTACTAACATTAAACAACTAGTCATTGAAATAGATGTATTTTTCAAAGCTCTGGCTTGCAGTCTGACAAGCTTCCTCCATATTTCAATTCTAATACGAGGCATTAAGCATATAAATCTAAAGAAGAGAATTACAGATGTAAGAAAAATACAGATGTTAGCAGATTTTGGGTTCGACTAAGGGACAAAGTTTACTTTAAATAATAATATTTTTCTTTCATGTAAAGGATTTATCCATATGTTATTCTCTAAAAGCAATCATTTATGGGGTAATTGTCAAACAGAGTAAACACTGTGCCAAAGGGCTTTAAGTTGAGTCTGGTCTGTGACATTTTCAGTTCAAGTTTCTCTTAAATGGGTTTTGCACATATAATAAAAACAGTGCACCAGTTGGAAGTCTGCGGTTGCTAAGGTCACATTGATGAACTTCTCAGTGAGTTAATACTATATATAATACTTCATTCATTTGATATTGTGCCCTTTTCCTTTCAAAACGTCATAATAATTGACTAGGTTTGTCAAAAAACTGGTACCTTATAATTACCTAACTGTTTCTTCTGTCTTTATGAGAAAAGAAATGTCTGGAGAAGGTGTGCCATTTTAATCACATTTATCAGAAGTTTCAATCAAATAATTATTCCATCATGATAAAGGTGAAAATTCTACATAGTTACAAAGCCTCATTAAACACCTTTTGCTTGGTAACCTAGTGAACAATGGTGAATTTTCCTGGATTCAAAATAATTTCACAGTCACAGAGCTTAGTAAGCATTCTCTTGTGTTGAATTCCCATATGGCCGAAAAACCTAATTGAAAAAGTTTTAGCATCCATATTTATTTCTATAATTTTTGAATTTCAATGTCTGAATTTCAATAAAACTGCTGTCTGCACAACACAGTTTACTTTTGTTCTATCAATTCTCAGCTAAACATCTGAAATAAAGCAGCTGCTGAATGGATTTAAGCTGTGTGTTTCAGCCTTGACTGCAACCAAAACTGCTTGCAGGATGTACCAAGGCTTTGTTCCAAAAACTTTTTTTTTTTGTTTGGAAAGCTCAGTATGATGTTTTACATTATTGGTTTTACCATTATAAATTGATATAACAAGTCGTACATGGTCTGATTTTTTAGATTCTTTGAAAAATGCAATTTAACCAATTAAATGTCCTAGCTGTCTAATATCTCACTTTATTTTTTTAAGACTGGTAACAAACAGGACCTTGTCCCTATAATGTGAACATGGCCAAATATGTATCCAAATTTGCTTTGTTTGGGCTTCTCCTTGCAACAGTTTGGCACTTGAATCTCCCCTAATCTCCACACACAATCACTGTGTTATGGTAATACCCTAATATTATGACCCGTTCAGATAAAAGTGTTGCCTTGCACGTACCACTCAAGTTGAATAGGTTTTCAACTTTAATATTTATGTAAAGATTACATGTATTTCCTGCTCCTCCTATTTCATTGCCTTGCTATTGCTTTGCGTAGGTTTTCTGCTATTCAATTGTGAGAAAAAAGTACTTATGAGTATCATAATCATTTTGAAGTAAAGGCACTGGAAAAAGTTTTTTCCCAAACTTTAACCTTATGTTTTAAGCAGTTTCCTCTTTTCAAAAAGTTTAGCTCCCCCCCCCCCTCTCCAAGTAATCCCTGACCCAACTGTTTGTGCAATGAACACTGGTGAAAGTAATAAATATTACATTTATAAAGATATCTGCATTACAATATTGTAATCAATTGCTTTCTTCTGTTAGACCCAAATCAATTTTACTTGAAACTCATTAATGAACTATAACTTTAATGTTAGTCTTAAAATTGCGATAAAATTGCAAACTAATGTCATGAAAACATTTATATTTTGTCAAACAACTAAAGGAAGAAAGATTTATTCTCTCTCTCTCTCCCTCACTTCCCTCCCCCCCCCCTCCAAGTTCAAGCTATCTGCTTCTATGATTTTATATTTTTTAAGTTCTTAAGGACTGCTTCTTCAGCAATCATACTAGTAACCATAATTTCAAACAACTAAATTCTTTCAATACAAATCTTTGTAATTACTTCCAATTGGGGCCTTTGGAGACAGACCCCCCTCTCCCTTTAAAAAATTTCAGTCCTCATGCAGACTACAAAATCTTATGCTGCATCACATTGTATGTTGTGTAACATATGGAGTACTCCCAGACTATGCATTTGTGTCTGTGAAATAGATTTATCATTTTTATCAACACAAAAAAACTTTCTGACAAGAGCCCAAATGACTTTCCAAAATTTATGGAATCATCTTTTTGGGGTATTATTAACAAAACACTTTTAAAGGACATTTCATAAATCAAATGTGCTTGAGCTTTTGTTGTGGTTTGAGTGTTAATAAGCACTAATCAAAGAAACACCCACCTTTGCTCTATCATTGAGTCCGACACCCAGGTCTATGAGCCTTTCCACAATAACCAGCTTGTTCTCCTTGACCGCTACCATCAGTGGGGTGATGCCTGTGTCCTGAAAGTTTAAGCACAAAATAATGACCATTCAAAAACACATTACAGTGAGGTCACCAAACAATATCACAGTTGCTTCCATCTCCTGTTCAAGATTGCCTGCAGAAGAAGCCATGAAATTACCAGAAAAAATCTGGCGTTTAATCTTTTATTTGCCTTAAGGTCAAAAACAAGTTAGTGCAAAAGAATACCTGTGCTAAGCAACTAAAGGAATTGATTCTTACTCAAACTTAATCCAAATAACATAAAATACACAATTTGAAGCTGAAGAAAAGAAGTGCTGTTGAAATTGCTCTTAACAATTAGCGAGTCACAAATACAAGTTGCGGCAACTGCTGAGGACAGCTATGACAAAAGAAAAAAAATCCGGCATAAAAACTATCAAGGATACTCTGAGTGCCACGAAAAAGTCTTTCACTACATCTCCATACTCACTTGTGATGCAGAAGTCTGTGCTAAAAACAAATTTCCACAACTCTCTCTTCCACTCAGTGTCCAGAGAGCGGAGTGGATTTTTTTAAAAAGCGGATCAAACTCCGAGGATGTTTCGTCTGAAATTCCATCAGCCATTGTGAAGACAAACGCTCCGTGATGTTTCACATGGAAACAAGACAGAGCACTGCAAGTCAGTGCAGTGTTTCTAAAGATAATGAAAAACAGCTTCTACGCTGCCCTTTACAAAAAAGATTATAAATTCCAGGGGCAACCTCGGCTGTGTATTGTTGCAATTTTCCCCCTTCAGATGGGTCCTAAATTGAAAACAAAATCTGATTGCTCCTACAGATGTTTTACACTGTGTGATCAAAAGAGAGATGTCTGCAGTGCAAAAATGGTTTTGAGAAAACTGGAAAAGACAGGACAATTGGATATCAGCTTCATTTACATTAAAGAAACAAACACATGGATGCAAGGAACAAATGGTGCTGTGTGGGGTTCTATTTAGAGTCAAATTACACTTTCAGTGTTTTAGTTGTGAAAACAAGTTGGGGCAGTCTACTTAAAAGTGTATATTAAAGAACCTAAAGCCTTTATAACTAACTTAAATTACAATTAGTCACTTGACATTACTTTTTGAAATGATTGTGTAGCATGAATCTTTAGATTTTTATTTGGATTATTGGGGGGGGGGGGGGGGGGGGAGGTCTTTTTCTTATTATCTTGTATGACAGCTTCATCTGGCTATCTGGTCCAAGTTAGAACAGTTCTGAATGTGACTTAAGTTGAAAGAGTGTTTCATACTCTAGCTGACTGAATAGTCAAAAAACAGTAAACTGACCCCATTGTGTAAACAAGTGACCTGGTCTAGGGTATTGTTTCCCTAGTTTTGGGGGTACTGGAATATTTCCAGTTTTAAGCAAGATTGCAAGATTTTAATAACATGTCACAGGCTTTCTCTCAAAAATAGTTTGCCCACTTTCTTTCATCGCTATGGGATAACTTCCCCATGGTGAAAGAAAAAATGCACTTACAAGGATATCATTTACCTAAATTCAACATACAGAGATAGAGGCTGTCAAACCCAGTTTTTTCCAATTTCACTGCCACTGTAAAGATTAATTATTTTACACCAAATAAAAAAGCATCCCATTCAAATATTTTCCTCAATCTTCAAACAAGGCTATTAATATGGGGACCAAAGGCCGATGGTGCAGGCATGTTTTATTGATTTCTGTTGCAACAAGACTGGATTACTGATTGATCAAGACTGAAGGGATTAACTGGAATGGATTAAACAAGCAGGCAATTCCACATCGTATGCAACATACTATAAACGCAATAATTTCCATTTCCTTTAACAAACTGCACTACTGATGAGATTCTTTGTTGACTTTTTGGGGCTTTTATGTATTGGAGGCTTTTTTTTGACACCCTCTCAGGGGAATTTACTTCCTATCTGATTGTTAAAGGAACAGAAACCAAGAAAATAATTAAAACTAGTATTTTTTTTCGTTTGTAAATGTAAACAAACACACTAACAACATTGTTTACCTAATAAAAAATGCCTAGATTTTGTACCCCCTACAGTGTGGTGGGTTTTTGTTTTTCATTCACATATTTTTAGCACTGTCGGTTTCTTTACTAAACCCATCATAAGCTTCTTTCTCATAGCTTTTCAAACAAAATGTTCAAGAGAAGTTATGTATTTAATAATTTATGTAAAAAATGCTGATGTTAATAACCAAGCCTCAAACCATTTGTCAAAAGCTATGCAGAAAACATGCCAATATAAAAAAAATCCATGATCAACTGTTCCTATTAATTCAGGTGCATCATCTTTCACCTCTATCAAAAGGATAATCAAGGTATCATTAATTATAGGTGTGAGCTATCAGAGTGCCTCTGCAGAATATCTTTAATGGAAAATACATGTATTTAGTAACTCAATCTGGGAAAATGTTCTGACACAATGATTTTGGGAGTAAAATCAACATGCTGTATGAAGCCTGGAAACAAACTATGTCTATTTATGGTAACAATATTAAATTGGCTTCATATTGGCCTTTTCTTTAATTACAAAAAAAAAAAAAAAAAAAAAAAAAAAAACTTGAATATTTAACATTTTTTTCAAAAGACTGACTAAAAGTTAAACAGGGAAAATAATAAAATGTTAGTCCATCTCCCAAAGAATGACCCTTTATATTTTTTGGTCATGGTGACAAGTTGACATATGGATGCATTGGCAAAGTTAATTGCATTAGTAATAATTAAGAAATTGCCAGCTTTTAAGCACCTCATTACATGTTTCTTAAATGCTTTAAAATATGAATATAATAAACATGCAATGACGACAGATCCACTGCAGACATCTATATAATTATTTGCCACATCAGTAAAAAAATGGTTTGTTTTTCATGGTTACTGCACTAATTTGTAAATTAATAAATTAATAATTTCTTTTAAAGAGTTTTGAGGGGGTCGATTTCTTTATTCACTCAAGCAGCAAGCCAGCTTAGATAAAGGAATTTCTAATATTTCACCTTCACATCTTAATAATAATCACAGATTGTCAGATTCAACAACGCAGATACCATGCTCATGATCGAATTTGTTCATATTCCATGAAAATAAAATTGTGTTTGATAGGCCTACTTTTATACTTGAATATGAAAAAAAATTGCATAAAATGCATCAATTTTTATAAAATACCTCATCTGAACAAGCGGCTTCTGGACTTCCCTTCTCTAGAGTTCGTAGAACTTGTTCGAGGACGCTCCAATCCCCTTTCTGGCATAGGTTATACACACGGGTGTTCACCGTAGTGGCGGTGGACCCGGAGCTGATGGAAATTGTGTCTGAATATCCCAAATCCGTGTTGGAACTTGTGCTACTTCCAGTTTTCTTGCCACTGGTTTCAACCACGTTGCTCGAGACGGTACTGGCTGACATGATTGTCGATCGTTGTTAATTTCAACTTGTCGATTTCACCTGAGGAACTTCGTCATGAACTTTGGGTTCGCAGTAAAGTCGCAGTCGCACGACTTTGAATTCCTCGGTGGAATTACAAATGAATTAGGTCGAAGCATGGTGAAAACTACGACATCCTTTAGTACAGGTTGTTGGATACGGTTAATAAGTTCGTTTTCCTGAGCGTGGTTTACGTTTCGGTTTTCTCTGTGAGTACCATATCAGTCCCCATACCTCTAACGTTGCGGTGGTCGGCTCACTGTGCAGTGCACTGAACAAGCAGTTCGAATGTTAGTTCAAGCTATGTCACCGAATTGGTATCTCGTATTGACTTTGCGATTGATAAATCGGGATTGTGACCCACCGGGAAAGATTATATAAATGATGTGAATTCTTCAATCACACTTTATCACACTCGCCAGACTTGGGGACCACGAGCTTTGTTTCTAAGGTAACGGTTTTGCTTAGTGCAAGTGGTTGGACGATACCAAAGTTGGGACTGAAAGGGGTGTCAGCTTGCTAACTGTATACGATCATAGAATTTTTTTTCTGTGACTTTATTGTTTTTTCTACAAGTTTGGTGTTATTTTGTTGATCCCACTTTTTAAAAACGCTTTTTGGATCATTGACAAAACTTCAAAATAGTTTGGTCATTATCTGGAAATTAAAGAGAAATATGTTACAATTGGCAAATTTAATAAAACCGCGGAAACCGCAAAACTAATTTAGTGGTTTTGATGATTTTGATTTACGCCAGAAAACTAGCGTTTTTCATCTGATACTCCTGTTTGTAAGGGGGTTCCTTGCTGCTGTCTATAATTTCTAATTGGATATCAAAACGGAAAGAATCTTGTCGATCGCATGTCGCTACCTTTTTTTTTTATCTTTACACGGAGGACAAAAAAAATAAAATAAAATAAATAAATAAATAAATAAAATAAAAATAAAAAAGAAATTCATAAGACGGACAAAAATATCAAAAGCAAGGATGTTCAATAACATTTACTTTACATACAGCCGTTGAAGTTATTCCATCTGGAATTTTCCCCTGATCAAAATCGAATTGTCTTTGGAAAAAAGTCACGAATCATTGCTCGAGCCATCCCTGCACTCGGATTCAAGATTTTATACTATTTCTAATTAATCACTTGGTTCTGAGTGACTGGGCCTGCGCCTTTTTTTTTGGGGGGGGGGCGGGGACTGTGTCTGAATTGAGAAAGATAAGAAAAGCTTTGCGGGATATTTATTATTTGACCTGTGACATGATATTTATGTCATGGTTGCTTTAGTTGTGCTTGTCACAGCTGCACCGCGAACATTGCGACTGGTTGTGCTGCTTCGCCGTTTCTAAGCAACATGTAAACGATGCCATACCCGGGAAAACATATCCAGCTGAAATGATGACGTTTGATAGCGTTGCACGTCTGCGCGTTTAGTAGTGCAGCGCATTTGATTTGAACGTGAGCACACGTATCCGTCTTGCGCTCATGAGGTTTCCAACATGTCAACAAAACAAAGTTCGATAAGTACTCCCGAACTGAAAAGGGAACTGGAAAATGTCTGCGATAATATTTCTTCGGGTTGGAACTCGCGGAGCATGGCATCGCTCTTGCAGCACATTGACAGAGCAAGGGATCGGGAGGCATTGCCCGCGAACGTTTTTTCACCCAAGAAAAGGTATTTGATGGAAAATTTTAATGAAGCAAACAAAGAAACAAGTGGACGAGATCAAAACCTTTCAAATATTAGTCACCTCGAACCATCACCAAAAAAAGCACGCTTGTGCAGTTCGGAAGATGCCTCTGAATTCAATGAAGAGAAGGAAAACACTCCTGCACATTCGCAAAGTATGGGTTTTGTGTGGGATCCCGACCAAAGCGGAGAATCAGGGTTTTCTTATTTCGGTTTTGAACAGCCAGAAGATATTCCTAAAAGACAGTCATCACCTTCCTTAACAAGTGAAACGGATGAAAATAGTCAGAATTCCGGAAATCTTGCACAAAGTGCGCAAGACGCGCCCGAATCAAGCCAAGCAGACGACAGTCTTGGGTAGGTCAATTTCGTTAAAATTCGATTAAAAAATGTTAAAAATTGACATGGGACCATTGAAAGGTTAATCTTGCCTATATTTGAAAAATATTCATTAGACCTTTTAAAGATAAAAAAAAAATACTTGGAGTGTGTTGGGGGGGGGGGGGGGTAAGGAAATGCACCAAATAGCATACTTGCTTCAGTCTATCTGCATTTCTAATTAATGAATCACATTTCATTTTATTCATCTTTGAATGATTCCAGGATATATGGTCTCAATTGTGGGAGATGCAATAAAGAAATGAAGTTAATGTTTCAAATAAATGTCCATCATGTCAAAAGATTGATACTTTTCAGCTTGGATGAGCATTCTAATGAACAACAAAGCACTGAAAGCCCTCAAACTCCAAAAACTGAAACAGAAAATCCAGATGATAACAAAAGTGAGGGAGCTGATTCAACCCAGCACAGAAAATCGTCAGACTCTCCACGTGCAACTGAAAATGTACCATCTATGAGTGTCCCTACTCTGTTTCAAGCTTCACTAAGAGCGTCCCTAGCTGCGGGAATTCTTGTGGAAAATCCTCCTCAGAATGAATTCTCTGAAAATGCAGGTTCATCCCAAAAAGCTGCTGGAGCAACATATATAATGGCTGGCATTAACCCCGATTTTGGATTTACTGAACAACCAACTGCAAGCAAATGTGAGGCAACACATGTTATGACTAGCATTGCTCAAAAAAGTGACATATCTGAGCAACAAATTACCAGTGTATCAGAGACAACAAATGCAATGTCAAACCATATGAATACTCATAATTCAATACAACAGCAACAGCCACAACAGTTTTCCGATTTGCATCAGCATGTTCTTAGACCAACTCCACTTTCTGCCATTGATGAAAACAATAATGAAATGCCATCAGCGTCTACAGCAGAAGAAGCTTGGTAAGTGGTATTATAAAAGGGAAAAATAAATATGTACATAAATGGTTAAATAGTTTACTTGATTTTAATCCACTAACTAGATGTTCAGATTTTCAGCACTTTTTCTATTGCTAAATTGAAGTAGTAGTTGGAATGCAACTGAAACTTGATCTTTTGAAAATACAACATTAACAAAATTTGAATTATGTAGATTTTACTTAACTTTTAAGTGTATCATTTGTATTTTGGCAATTGCTAAACCATCTAAAATTTTTAAAAAATCAACTTACAGGAATATCTTGAGCAACCTTGGGCACTTGATACAGTCCAACCATACTGGTTTTCCTGCATATACCAGTTCTTGCAACCAAAGTGTCAATGGGGAATATAGCTTGCCTGCTACAAATTTCTACAGCTCAACAACAAGCACTATGACAAGTAGATTGAAGCCATGTATCCAATCACAGCCACTTACTGGTACTCCTGGAGACACAACTTTGAAAGGTATAGATTGAGATCTAAAACAAAAAAGGAGCAAGTACTTCATAAATTAATATATATATATATATATATACATGTATATAATTGAACAAATTTTACAAATAATTAATTAACGGATAAATGCAATCTTTTAATTGATTTTTTAAAAATAACTCATCAATCTAATGGTTTTCAGCTTTCTAGCCACCAGCACTTATATAAATGCAATCTTTTAATTGATTTTTTTAAAAATAACTCACCAATTTGACGGTTTTCAGCTTTCCAGCCACCAGTACTTAAACCATCTCCTGTTCAAAGCATGTATGCTCCAGTACCCAGCAGTACTAAATATGTTGGTACCCCACGCCCGGTAGAGTTAACAAGCAAAGGGCCCAAACCTCTGAAGGTTCCACAGATGATGGCTGGGCCATATTCCTATGTTCATGTGCCATATCGTCTCCAGTATTCAGCCTCATCTATGCCACCACCACCGCCACAACCACCGCCACCACCATCAAGGCCACTTCAACCGATTCAGCCAACTAAGTCTGATATCTACCAGAATGTGCGTCAGGCACTCAAATTTGCTGATCAGGTACAAATATTATAAATATTTTTTTTTTTACTTAAGATTAATGTTTTTGTCCAAATGATCAATTAAAACTGTCAAAAATATTTTAAATTAAGAGTATGTCTTAGTCGGTTATTGACCAGTCTCTTGATCAGTACATAATATATCATTCATTGTTTCATTCTCAATTTCCAAATTAGATGCACAGTGACCTAGGAAGTGAATCTCAAAGTACAAGTTCAGTTACACCCATGCACAGTACCATGGTTGACAAGAATGGAAGCATAAGGAACAACATTGGTGCCTCCCCAGACTTCCCTGTTGTTCCACCCAACACTCCCACTTCTGATTTCAAACTCCGATATCAAAACATCCTGCCAGGGCCAATGGATCAGGAGTTTTACACTTGGTCTAATGAAAGAGACAGCAGAGGAGATCACAATGCAAAAGAGAGAAAGAGAAGGTATTTTATCATTAGGTCATGTTTTAATGTTGTTTTGCATTTTTTTTAAATTGTATTTCTTAGTTCTTCAACATCAATAGAAAATTCCAGATATTTCCTTAAGACTGGAATTTAAAAATCAAAGCCCTCAAGTTATTGCAGGCTCAGATTTTTTATCAGGAACTTCGATATGTACTTTATCACTAGGTGATGCCACACACAAACAAAGTATGTTGATAAAATAGGGTTTCAAGTTGCTATTTATTCCATTATTTTGGGACAACTTTTATTTTTCCTTTCATGGTCTTGAAATAATTTTTCATTTTGTGTTGATTGTGAGAAAATTAGACTATAATGAAAAATAGACTGGAAATTTCTTACGGATATGTAGGTTATCACCTCCAAAATACATGGGTGTAAGCAGTAGCATATACTTAACATCTCAAGTTGTTACTGAAATGTGGTGGGTCGTGATGGCCTTAAGGGTGTTGGGAAGTCATCTTTTTTATAAAGTAATTTCCATTTGTGCAATATTTCCAACTTTCTGAAGGTCCATTTAAACCTTATGCCCTAAAAGGTAAGATGGATTCTTGTTAAAAATTCAAACATCTTTTTCAGAGCCAGGATATCTGAAGCCTGTCATGCTTTACGCCAACTTGTGCCTGGTTTGAGTGACAAGACTGACAAAGCCACAGTGTTCGAGTTTGCAGCTCAGTACATAATCCACCTAAGGGAGGTTATTGGCTCCGAGTATGATAAGGTAATACTATGTATTTTATTGCTTGCTATCAAAATTTTAATTAAAATATGATTCATAACTGAAAACTTGTTTGTGATAATTCACATGAAAATTAGGTTAATCAAATTTCTAGGGAACTGGCTTGGTGACTGTGTATGTACTATAACAATTTTAATAGGAGCAATATTCTACCAGTGCCTCCAATTCTTACATTTACTGACCAGACACTTTTATTTTCAGGACTTTTTGAGGAAATACAGCCCTTATTAAGCATCGAGGCATTTTGCACCACAGTTTGTATAAGGACAGTCCAGTGTTTTGCCCGTGTTTAGTTATTTACTGATGCAGACTTAATAAACAGGGAGAATGTTTGTCAGTATAGTATTACCAAATATCATTGTTTTATCATCTGTTAAAAGCATGGTTACCATTTCTTTGCCTGTTGAATGGCTTTTACGTGCGATATGCAAGAAACATTTGTAAAGTGGCAAAGAGTAAGCTGCATGTAATTTACCATAATTTTAATCCTATAATGAAGTCACTTGACTTAATATAATACTTTTGTATAAAAAAAATGAAAGTTCATTTGATTACAAAGAATTTATTTAATTATTTATTTGAAAAAGCCCTACCTAAGTGGTGGGTAAAATATATCTATTGACATTTTTACAAACATGATTTGTACACTATTATCAATATTGTTTTAATTTTCATAAACTTCAATGAAATAAATGCAGTACAGATGAGATGGTACTACAAACACAAATACCTGGAAGTTGTTTTGGTGACTTTTGGTAACTTGATACAGTTTTTTGTACATGTAGAAAATGACATTCAAGTCTTTTATTTGTTCAAAATGGAGATAAGGNTTTTTTTTTTTACTTAAGATTAATGTTTTTGTCCAAATGATCAATTAAAACTGTCAAAAATATTTTAAATTAAGAGTATGTCTTAGTCGGTTATTGACCAGTCTCTTGATCAGTACATAATATATCAGTTCATTGTTTCATTCTCAATTTCCAAATTAGATGCACAGTGACCTAGGAAGTGAATCTCAAAGTACAAGTTCAGTTACACCCATGCACAGTACCATGGTTGACAAGAATGGAAGCATAAGGAACAACATTGGTGCCTCCCCAGACTTCCCTGTTGTTCCACCCAACACTCCCACTTCTGATTTCAAACTCCGATATCAAAACATCCTGCCAGGGCCAATGGATCAGGAGTTTTACACTTGGTCTAATGAAAGAGACAGCAGAGGAGATCACAATGCAAAAGAGAGAAAGAGAAGGTATTTTATCATTAGGTCATGTTTTAATGTTGTTTTGCATTTTTTTAAAATTGTATTTCTTAGTTCTTCATCATCATAAGATAGAAAATTCCACATATTTTCTTAAGACTGGAATTTAAAAATCAAAGCCCTCAAGTTATTGCAGGCTCAGATTTTTTATCAGGAACTTCGATATGTACTTTATCACTAGGCGATGCCACACACAAACAAAGTATGTTGATAAAATAGGATTTCAAGTTGCTATTTATTCCATTATTTTGGGACAACTTTTATTTTTCCTTTCATGGTCTTGAAATAATTTTTCATTTTGTGTTGATTGTGAGAAAATTAGACTATAATGAAAAATAGACTGGAAATTTCTTACGGATATGTAGGTTATCACCTCCAAAATACATGGGTGTAAGCAGTAGCATATACTTAACATCTCAAGTTGTTACTGAAATGTGGTGGGTCGTGATGGCCTTAGGGGTGTTGGGAAGTCATCTTTTTTATAAAGTAATTTCCATTTGTGCAATATTTCCAACTTTCTGAAGGTCCATTTAAACCTTATGCCCTAAAAGGTAAGATGGATTCTTGTTAAAAATTCAAACATCTTTTTCAGAGCCAGGATATCTGAAGCCTGTCATGCTTTACGCCAACTTGTGCCTGGTTTGAGTGACAAGACTGACAAAGCCACAGTGTTCGAGTTTGCAGCTCAGTACATAATCCACCTAAGGGAGGTTATTGGCTCCGAGTATGATAAGGTAATACTATGTATTTTATTGCTTGCTATCAAAATTTTAATTAAAATATGATTCATAACTGAAAACTTGTTTGTGATAATTCACATGAAAATTAGGTTAATCAAATTTCTAGGGAACTGGCTTGGTGACTGTGTATGTACTATAACAATTTTAATAGGAGCAATATTCTACCAGTGCCTCCAATTCTTACATTTACTGACCAGACACTTTTATTTTCAGGACTTTTTGAGGAAATACAGCCCTTATTAAGCATCGAGGCATTTTGCACCACAGTTTGTATAAGGACAGTCCAGTGTTTTGCCCGTGTTTAGTTATTTACTGATGCAGACTTAATAAACAGGGAGAATGTTTGTCAGTATAGTATTACCAAATATCATTGTTTTATCATCTGTTAAAAGCATGGTTACCATTTCTTTGCCTGTTGAATGGCTTTTACGTGCGATATGCAAGAAACATTTGTAAAGTGGCAAAGAGTAAGCTGCATGTAATTTACCATAATTTTAATCCTATAATGAAGTCACTTGACTTAATATAATACTTTTGTATAAAAAAAATGAAAGTTCATTTGATTACAAAGAATTTATTTAATTATTTATTTGAAAAAGCCCTACCTAAGTGGTGGGTAAAATATATCTATTGACATTTTTACAAACATGATTTGTACACTATTATCAATATTGTTTTAATTTTCATAAACTTCAATGAAATAAATGCAGTACAGATGAGATGGTACTACAAACACAAATACCTGGAAGTTGTTTTGGTGACTTTTGGTAACTTGATACAGTTTTTTGTACATGTAGAAAATGACATTCAAGTCTTTTATTTGTTCAAAATGGAGATAAGGAAATCAAATTTCCTAAACCCAGGAAATGATTTTCAGAATCAAAGATCAGTGCAAGCTGCTCAATCTCATACTGGCTCTCCTTGTTGCAGCATCGATTCTGTCTCTAGAAATTCTCTCCACATTGTGGTGATAAATATCTAACTTTTCTGAAAGTTCTTGATAAAGCTGTAAAGTGGAAGAATAGATAAAAACGTGTTAAAAAATGGTTCATCTCATCACTCAATAGCTGTAAATAAAAAAAGAGAGTGTGTCTGTTTTAATTGCTGGTAACTTATTAATTTGATAATAAATAAAGTTACTACCAGAAATAAAGAAGTCCTTAATTTTGTCCTAAAATGTTGATCAAGAGTAAATATAAAATCATTATTTACATATATCTATACACACCTGAAGATAAGTGTTGTCTGTATGTACCTCTCTCAGTGCATGAAGAAGCTGATCTATACTTGTATATGGCAACCAGACACTAGGGGAAGTCACATTGAGGGAGGTCTGAAAATGCAACTTTTCTATGCAAAATTTGTTGTGAAATTTATAACAAATCAAAACATGCTCATTGAATGTATAGCTTAACATCATATGTACTTTTTTTACAATACCAACCTTTAAAGTCTCCAATTATTTCTTTGGCAGAAATTCTGAGTAGGTGCTACATTAAAACAACCCAGATGGGAGGGTATGGCTAAATAGAGAGATAGAAACCTGAAATAACTCTCTTACCTTCTTTTTTCAATATGACATACCTTTAACCCAAAATATTCCTTTCCTTTACCCATGACTGCATCTATGTAGTCCATAGCCAGGTAGGTTGCCTCTTCAAGTAAGTCATAATCAATATATAAACGTATAAGTTCTGGAGCATTCACCACCTAGAAAATTAGTTTTGCAAGTAGGAAAAAATAAATTTAAAAGAAAAATAATAATAAATTTATTATAATAAACGTAAAGATTTAATCAACAGAAATGGTGAAAATTATGTTGTATTTAGCCCTACATTTTACCATAAAGATCTCAAGTTCATTTATCTTTTTTATTCAATCATTATCTTTTTTATTCAATCATTTATCATATTAATAATCAATCAGTTAGTATCATAATTGTCAAGGCTTATTGCGAGAAAATTTGGAAAATTGCCTAGCACCCATGAAAGAAAATGATGACACTCACCTTATAGGACACCAGCATCCAGTCTGGTAGATTGTAACCATGGCCAAGGAGCTTGATGGCCACACAGCGGTGATATCTGGACGAGCCGTCTTCATGCTTGGCTAAATATGTCTGGAGAAGTTTCCATGCTTGATCAGCAGCACTGAAATACAAACAACAATTGAAAAAGAAGCACTAAACTGTTTATGCATTAAGTTCAGAAAAAATGCTCTCATAACAGAATCAGATCAGACTGGGATTCCATATCAAACAATTATATTGGTTTGTCATGAAATGAGAATGCACAGTGTGCATGCACGAGGAGGGAAATGCATGGTTAACAAGAAATTTCTTGTGTGTGTGTATTTTGACATTTTTTGTCAATACATATTGGTGTATTTTGTCTTATTTGACAATGCATCTTTTTTCCAACATGTGGGAGAAAAATGAGACAGCGGAAAAAGACTCTGAAGAGAAACAAGTGGCTAGAAATAGTAAAAAATCAACCAGTGCTGTTGTAAAGACCACTAGTGTTGCTGCTAAAAGTGCAACTAACCAAGAATCTTACAGTCTAGATTACTTGCAAAGTCTGAATAAAAAACTGACATCTAATGCTGTCAAATTGGATGTGTTATCCTCTAGGATAACAGATATTGAGGAAACTATGAACAGCACATCTTTTGACTATAACTTTGACAACGATAGTAGGTGTTCTAATGCCAAGCGACCTCTTGAGAATGAGGCTGATCCTCTATGCTGCAGGGAATAAAAACAGACAAAGCAAGAGCTGTTATGGTGGTACCACTGTGGACAACACAAATACGATGGCCAATGTTGATGCAAATGCTGGTGAAAGCTCCTTTGATTTTACCACCGGTGGAAGAAACCTTGATGCTTCAGTTTTCAGAGAAAGTTCATCCTCTATCCAATCAAATGACCTTGACCAAGTTATTAGGAAGTCCTTTAGAGACCGTGGTTTTTCAGAAATGCCTCTCTCACCCTCCCTAATTACATAACTTATGATAATACTGATGCAGATTATTATAGGGAAATGAAGTTTAATATTAAACTTCTGAAGAAATCGTGCAAAAATGCTTCAAAACTTGACGCGCATGCGCACAGTGCATTCTCATTTCATCTCCTCACCTATAATTGTCTCATAGAATTACAATCAAACATCAACTTAAAGGTAAGTTTCGTTTAATTTTTGAATTACAAGACACCAGAAATACTTTAAATAAATGTATCAAAATGAAGAGATGTTGAAATTCTACATTATAAACTATTATAAAATAGCACATTCTAAAGCAGGGAGGCAAATACAAATGTTTACCTTGTTTCTTTGCCAGAATTCACAGTGCCCGTGTCATTGGCAGCCAGCCAGCCCCAGGTTTCAGTGGTAAAATCCACATCTTTTTGATAATTATGTTGAGACAGATTGATACACCTGTTTAAACAGTGAAAGGTATTTCATCCAAGCTATTAATAATTATTTATTCATTAAACTGTATTCATTACTTATCATAACAAAACCACAAGGAAAAAGCATGAAGCATATAAAAAATTACAAAATGATAACAAAAAGATGAGGAACAATTTTTACATTCAATGCAAATTACTGAAAAGAAATCTACAATAAAATTTGTGAAGCACACACAAAATATAAAGTGAATATCAAATAAAAATTTTTTCCACATTCTTTTTATCATTAAAACAACAACATATATAAAAGCATGATATGAAGCAGTCTCACCTTAAAGCCAGCCCTTCAAATACTTGAGTTAGAGACATCTTAAACAGCTTGCACACATTGACAGCGTCATCAAACAAGCCTGCGCTGACAAGCAGTCCAACTGTCTCTGAGGCAGACAGGGAGGGTCCTACAATACCAAGAATATTATACTTAAATCTATGGATAACTTGGACAGAAGTTAGTCACGAAAAGAAGAAAAACTGAGACTTTTAAAGCTCTATAACATATAATTTATCATAAACATGATAAAATTAATATTTCACAGACTACAAGATAGCATTATTTTACAAAAGCCTTCATTGAAATGAATGGAGCCTATGTGAAATAGACTGACCCCCCATTTTACCTACATTCAAGTTACAAACTTTTAAGGATACAATACTGTTGTGTGGCAAAAAGATGTAAGATGGTAGTTTGTGACTAAGATTATAAGATATATAAACTTCATCAAACATGAAAGCTTTCTAGCACAATGCCTTACTGCAGGTGGCTACTTCAAATACATACCTATAATAAAAATATTATATAATATACAATTTGCATCTTTAACTTTTATTTTGTTGTTTACTTGCTGCCACTCAACTACTGCTAATTCAACAAAATTCAGGTAGTTTTATATGCAAAATATTTCCTTTACCTGCTGCTAATGCTGGGTCATCTCCTTTCTGCAGTAACTTCAGTCTAGCATGTACCAATCTGTACTCCTTTTCTATATCAGGTAACTCTATAACCTCCATTTTTTGGTTAACTGGATATTTAAAAGAGTTATATAAAATTACAAGTCCTTGAAAAATCTGGAAACTGGCCTCGACTTTCAGAAATGTATGGCTAACTGGATATTTAAAAGAATTACATAAAATTACAGGCCCTTGAAAAATCCAGAAACTGGCCTCAAATTTCGGAAATGTATGATTTAGAATGGTGAACATCTTGTTTTTGTTCAATTTGCAAATATTTCAAGAACATAATTTAGAATGAGAAAGATTTGAAAATCTTTTAAAGTAATAGCTATAAGTTAATTGTTGTCACACAATTTTTACCTCTCTCTCTCTCCTCTCCTTCAAGGTCTCTCTTTGGTGAGACACCAGGCAATTCCTCATCCTAGAATCAATAAAAAGATCAATTTAAGAATTTTTCAAATACTGAGTGTACCATGCTTCAATTTTGCATATAATACTGACCTGTTTTATACGTTTTAGTTTAGAAAGCAGCATTGTTTGACAGGAAAGTGACTAATTTTTCACTGATAACACAATATTATCATTATCTTACTGGTTAAAAACTACATAAATTTCATTTTCTTTGCCCAAAGTAAAAGCTGTATCTCCATCAACTGATGAACATTTAAAATGAGTGCTAGTTTCACTAGTTTTTGAGAAAAGTTACATCAACATACCATTCTTCTGCTGAGAGGCACAGGTTTGACAATCCAGCCATACTTGGGGTCTACCAGCCCCAGGGAGTGGATGCAGGCCAGGTAACACTTGGCCTTTTTCTGCAAACCTTTCACACCTGGCAGCTCCTGGCCCAGACGCATACCATGCTCATACATAACACTGGCCGCTGGAAGGGGGAAAATAAAGAGGGTTCAAAATAAGCATGGAATTGAATATGGAAATAGAGCATATTTTTTTCATAAACTTGTGCAGAAAGCTGAAGGGGTCTTTTAGCACAACTCAGTTGACAGTAACATTAGAATCACTTAGACTATGGCAAAAAAAAAAAAAAAAAAAAAAAAATACAGTTTACTTCATGGAATTTAGTTTACACTTAATACTTTTTTAAAAACAGATCTCAAAACCTTGTCATAGATTGACTTGTAGATACAGACTACATGGTATTTGAAGAAGCATTTAGCTATTTATTTCAGATTTTAATTAAAGCTTATGCTGTTTAAAGTTTGAAAGTAAAAACTAATTTAAAAGTCCCACCTTTCCTGAAGTTTCCTCTGAAGATATGGAATGCATAGAGCAAGTCGTAATAGTTGTGAGTGGCCAGGTCAACAGAGCGTGCTCTTGACTCTATGATGTTCACCACCTGCAAAGTGAAATCCAATAATCATTTGAAATAAATAAATAAATAAATAAATAAATAAATAAATAAAATTTAATTATCACACATGGAATGTAATGAATATTTTACTTGTAAATCAAAATAACCAGCAAACTTAAAAACTGACAAATCTCAATAGCAACTAATGCCTCTATCAGTCCCACCTTTTCAATTTTTTGAGTCGGAAAAAAACCAAAACCATTATGTTTAATATTTACCTCATCATGTAAATCTATATAAGGAAAGTCAACAAGGGCTTTAAGTTGCTTCTGTTCACAAAGAACCACTATAAACTGTCGTAGGCAATCTTTTTTCCTGAAATGACACAGAAGTAAGAAAATACAATTAATTGGATTTTATTAATCAATCCATATTTTGAGTTTGTACTTATCTTATTTGATTTAATGGATTTTATACTACTCTGGATGGAAGAAATCTGAAAAAATGTGCATGGCTTTAGTTCTGTTACAGCTGGAACTACAGACAGACCGGATACTGGCTAACTGCACAGAAAATGTTGTTCTTGTGCATAAAAATACACCCACCATCTTACCTGACAGGGTCTGGATTTGAGATCATTGCTGAGTAAGCCTCATCATTGTGCCCCAGCTCCAGGTGATGTTTGAATACCTTGGACCATAATGTTGGCTGAAACAAAATAAAAATGATCTTGTCACCTTAAAGATTTTTGCCATATCTGTTTTTATTAAAGGCAATTAATATGACAAGTCAATTGTTCAATGAGAGTGCAAATAATGGGTAACTTTTTAAAACACTTGTTACAGTTATGAGAATAAACTGTTATAATAATGTAACAGTATATAACGAATCACTTTTTTCGTAAACAATAGCAGCCTCTGCTCACAAGGAACAGACTAAAACAATCACAGTATCAGCAAACTTACAATATTTTGATCATCTTCATCTGCTACACTGATTGCAGTATTGGCCAGTGAAATGATGTGGTCTGGCAAAGAAAACTGTTCTAGGAGCTTGATCACCTAAATAAAGTTTCATGGAAAAAATTACTTTTACCTTTATAATCTATGAAAATACATTAACCTGTGACATTTAAAGAATTTAAAAAATGTAGGTGTTTAAACATAATGAAAATATAATAGCATGCACTAAAGGAGACTTTCTCAACCCTTTTATCTACTGAAAACTTTTTAGACACGTTTTCTCCTTATGAAATATAACTGACTTTCAAAATAGTGTAATTGTGATACATGCTTACCTTAAGATAATACACAATTTCCAATTTCCTGACAGATATCTCATCTGCTTGCACCAGTTTATTCAGTAAGAAATCTTCATTTCCAACTCCGTGAACTGCCTCCTGGAAACAGTCTAAAGCCTTGGCAGGTTCACTAGAGAGAAAAAAAAAGAATAAGTGAAAAAATGCCCTTCACCAATGCATGTGCATGGTATTCCAATTCACCTTACATGCTAGTTTACATGTAACCTTCACAAACTAATTTCTATATCTACTTTCAGTTGGAAATTTTCAAAATTGTTTGAAAATGCTTATATCTCAATACTGAAATAAATCATAAATTCACCTTACAAGTTTATATGTAATTTTCACAAACTATTTCCAATTTATATTCCACTTGTGAAATTTTTAAAATTGTTTAAAAATGCATACATCTTAATACTGAAATAAATCATAAAAATTTTATACATAACAATGACTTTTCACATGTTATGCATATAACAATATATCATATGAAAGCACATCAATCCCAATTTATACAGAAATACAGTAATGTATCACAACAATGCAGTTAATCTACACAATTACTCCACCAGATCTTTCATTCTTGTCAAGGTACATCACTTGCAGTTAGTTACACACATTTACTCTGGCATAAAATAAGTTTGCATTTCAGATTTTAAATAACCTTATCCAAATACAGTACAACATACAAACAAACCAACCATTATTATTCAAGGAAATTTAATAAACCAATTTTGTGGGAATTTTGAAAACAGTCCCAATATGACTACAGAAATGCTGTCCCCTTACTTGCAGTTCAAATAACACTGTCCTAGGAGGAATTTTCTGGAGGATGGATTCCAGGGACACCAGCACTGTAACAGCCTGACATATTCCTGGAGTTGAGAGAACTGACATTGTCCCATCAGGAACTCTGGGAGCAGGAAGTTGGCACTGATAGGCCAGCTGAGATGACTTAAAGAATCACAACAATTTACATAACAGACTGTCTGACAGTAAACAACACACAAACACTGACTGAAGGACAAGTTTTGATACAAAATTCCTTGAAATACTGAATAATGTTTTCTTCGATTAGACAGAGTGGAAGAACAGATTTTACAACTGTATTAGGAGACAGGATATCACTGTTTACAACTAGTGTTAAAAATAACAACAGCACATCAAGTAAAACAGAGCGGCAGAAAAGTACAGTAAATGTACTCCTGATGACAAAACACATGTGGATTTGTCGTGGTAAAGTGCAAAGAAAGCAGATAAGAAGAGTTGCAGGAGAGAAACAAGTCAAACAGCTTACTGTGTGAAAAAAATAAAGATCAGTAAATGCAGTTAATTAAGAAGAAACCATTAGTCTAATTGCAGTAGCGTTAGTTATTTCACATCAATGCTGATTAAGGATACAGTAACTGCGCCACCATAGTGACCATTGGCTGAAAGGCCACTGTCCACAACTGACAAGGGTCTTCATCCAAGAAGTTGTTATTGGCCAGCAACACTCTAGACTGAGAGCCTCCTGAACCTTCTAGAAACAGCTCCACTAATGTTTGGTCCTGAACACCTGGTGAGAAACAGAGTACTGCTATTAGTCTTATGATCAGTCCACAGTTTACTTTTTTTTAACTTAAAGCTGAAAACTTTCATTTAAAAGCATAAAGAGCTTAAAGAAACTTAAAGCTGAAAATTTTTATTCAAAAGCATAAAGAGCTTAAAGAATGTGATTGAAGACATTGACCAATGTTCTACAATTTATTCCTTTTTTAAAGTTAAAATGTTTCATAACCAAACAAACAAAGGCAAAAATTTTCAACAGATCAGTAAATGTTAGGAGTTACATGCCTGGCATCACACCTTAAGAACTGAAAGGAAGAATCATGATCACAAAACTTACTGTGCCTGTGTAAATGTGTCCTGCCAGTTGCATCAGAGATGTCCAGAACATCTAGCTGCCTCAGGTTTGATTCTCTACAACAAAAGAATGCTATCATTATTTTTAAAGATATATGATATTGTTTAATCTATTTATGTTTTTGAACTACAGTATTTATCTACATGAGTCGATCAATATATGGTTATCCAGCATAAACATAAATTTGATCATTTTTGCCATGGATTCAACATCATCAAATCTAACACTATATAAATTTAAACAACAGCCGAAGTAGCTTTACTTGCCATTCCTGATATGCTCAAATTAAAACATCCAATTACTTGATACATTTCATAAATGATTTAGAGGTGAAACTGAATTCTGAAATCTCATCGTCATGATGTGCATACATTTGAAATATTAGCCAAAATTCTCTTCTAAAGCTCTCTCTCAGTCATGAGGTCTGAAAGATCTTTAACTACCTAATAAATGTCTCTTGGCCTAAATATTTGATAATTCAACACTTTTTGATACAGTCTCTTAACCACTGGTCAGTACTGTACTCACATAGTGTTGGTTTGGACTTGTGTTGCCACAGTAGTGGACAGCCACTTGACCACAAAGTAAGCCCTGACCATGTCACTTGTTCTGGGAATGAGATCCGACTTCAACTGGTCTGCTATTTCTAGTGTGAGGCCAGCCTAAAAATTAGCATTTATGTAATACTGAAGGTGTGCAGAGTTGTATAAACACAGAAACAAAATTAAGTACTTGGATACAAATCACAAAATTTCTATAACAGTAAACATGTTTGTGTGCATGCGTGTGTGCGTACGTGTGTGTGTGTGTCTGGTAAGTTATATTAAAATTGCATCTCAAAAAATACAAATTGATAAATAACTAAAACATTTCTCTCACTCACTCCTCTTTCACAAACCAACACTCAGACATTAACATATACATATATATGTACATTTACAATATATGACAGCAACGATATGTTGAAAACCTAATAGTAAAAGACTTGATAACACTTGATAACTAATACAAAACTTTATGATCTAAGACAGATAAAAAACCAATAAGTGTCTTGTGTGTGTGGTAAGTTGTGTGCAAATAAATAACAACAAACAAAAAATAGTAATACTAATAATAAAATAAGAAAGATCAAATGATGCTTGAATCTTGACTACGAGGTTATCCAGTTCTTTCACCTTGCAATAAAATAATGGAGAAAAAAATTGATGGAAGAAAATCATCCTTTTAGACATTTACTATCTATTCACAACACTTGTATTTATAAACATTACCATTAACAAGTGCACACTATCAGTTCAATGCAACCATATAATTTGTCTCCTTGATCTAAGCTAATTTAAGTAATATGACATGCAGATAAAATAATGGAACAAACTCAAGTATGATGTTTGAAATTTGGCCAATGACGGCAGCATTTATTAATAATTTACCTGCTCTCCAGCTCTGAGCATGAGTGTCTGTAAGAGCAGCAGATCTCTAGCCAGACAAAACCTGGTCTCTGCCGTCTGCTGGACACTGGTGGACAGCAGGCCCACCGCGGTGTTACTGGACCACAGCCGACTGCAAACCAACTGGCGAGTGGCATCCAACACTTGAAAGTGCACAAGACATACATGAAGATGAAAATCTAAGGCAATTTTTTTTCTCATGATAAAAAAAGTTTGGGCAAAGAAAGAGCACTTTTATCAAACTCGTCCTTTTACAATAACATTTCTTCCAACATATAAAAATAGAGTTATTACTTCATCCCTTTAGACTTTTTAAATGAGAATTAAATGGGCATTTATATCTAAAAAAAGGGAAAAAAAATTGAAAGAAAATCAATAATCCAGAAGATAGGCATCTTTACATTAAATTTTTCTTTGATATATACATGCATTTACTGGTACCTATCACAAGTTCTGCTTGGATTTAACCAATATTAACAAAACCAGAATAACATTCAATGACATCACAACCTTAAGCATATCCATATTCTTTGGGGTATTTCAAATGGTTAACAACACCTTACCAATGTCATCCATCATGAGTCCCTCAGGTTGACCATTAGCCAAATCTGCCAGTTCCAGGAGATTGGCCACCGCTCTCGCTATGTCAGCAATATTTTGAACCCTCATTTCAATCTCTCCTAGGTCTTGTGCTACTATTTGATTTCTGAAATAAATAAATAAATAAATAAATAAATAAATAAATAAATCTAAAAAATGAAAAATAAATTAAATATATAATTTCAGAATTAATGATTGCATTATTTTGCAATCGGTTCATTTTCTGAGAAATTAAAAAATCACATTTTACTTCACGTCTGAAATTGGTAAGAATTAGAAATTCTAATTTCTTTAAAAAAATTACAAAGAGATGTATGCTCTGACTCAAGTCATATTATACTTGCCCAGAGGCTGGTAAGAGAGCTGTAATCATCTGCTGAGCCACTGTCTCTGGGTTTTCCAGATAAAATATCTCATGTTCAAAAGCCAGGCACACTTCTTCAGGTAGACTGCCGTTTAATAGCTTCATACAGTCACACAGGGCAAGGACATCCTGCACTGTTTGGATGTCTGTAACATAAACCCCAATTTATGAGTATATTTTTATTTTTCAAATATATGTAGCATCGAGGTTTAAGTTGTGGAAGTTCCAAAAATGTAGTTGAAAAGCTATACGTATATTAAGTAAACAAACTAATGATAAAACTGACTGGAAAAAAGAGCAACCATACTTTTTTCCATGATGTCAATACTGCTGTGTCAGCATCATCAATAAATGTTCATATCTTTTAAAATAGTATTATATTAGTGTACACTACAACATAAAACTTCAACCTTTCGATAGTAATTTTTAACATATGTTAAAATCATCATCAATACCATCCTTATAAACAGTGCATGGTATTTCTTTAGATAGTCTCTAGTGTCTTCCTCTATGTTCACTATGTATTTTGTTTCCTTACCATCAGCTATAAGCTGTGTCTCCAGTAGTGTCTCTGGCACACAGGAGTCCAGTGGGGACATGTACAGGTGCTCCAATATGTCACATGGACGCAATAAACTCACTTGATGCTGGAAATAATAATAATAATAATAATAATAATAATTCCTAAAATTATCAAAATCAAAATTTCAGTAGCAATATCTCAGAGCAACATATACTATACATTATCTTAAAGTACTGTTGAGCTATTTCTTCATTTCAATTCTGCGCATATACATTGAATATTAAATTTATTATTTCCTATAAATAAGCATTAATTCAGTCTATACCTTTCTGATAAGACAGCTGATTCCAGTTCTTCCATCACAAAACAACCCAATAGGTTTGGTGCCAACCTGAAATCAAAAGGAAGATGAATTTATTATTAGTTTATTTATTATTTTACAAAAGTGTTGATAGTAAAAAGAGATTTGAATGACAATTATAATGCTAACAAATGACTGCTTTACTTCTCCATAATATAATACATCAAAAATATTATACAGTGTTGTATAAAGGAATTTTGAGCAGCCATCATTCTAAATGACAGCACCTGTATTACATCAATTACACAAAGTTGAACAAAAATTCAAAACAAACACACTTTCAAGACACTTATTAAATAATAATAATAATAATTATTATTATTATTACCTCATGGTACTGCAGACAACAGGAGTAAAACCTGGACCACTGCTGAAGCTGAAGTCTAGAATATTCTTCTTCTGACAATTCATAGTCACCAGCACTGTTCTGAATCTGTTAAAAAAGAAACATTCATCATATAATTATAATCATTGATATATTCTGTAATAGGGGATAACACATAAAATGCTGAAATTTATTAAAAATAAATTGAGGCCCATGTGTAATAAGTGTACACATTTAACATGTTTTATCCTCTTTAAATGAAATTTGTTATTATTATTATCATTATAAAATTTTTTGTAAAAATATCTTTTAAAATTAAACTCATACAGACAAGACAAGGCCTGCAGACCTTAAAATTCAGAATTTCAAGAGAAATCAATACTGAAATACAAGCTTTCCTCTATGATAACAATTTGACCTTCTGAAAGACATAATATCTCACTAAATCAAATCAATAGGAGTTCCGAATTAGAGATATGTCACTGATCAATAACTCTGGTGTCAGACTAAGGTTGGTTTGAATTTTTCATTATTTGCATCAAGGCAGGCTCTTGCAACCCCATCAATAAATTTCACCAGATTACAGTTTCAGAGATTTCTCCTGTTAGGAATTTAAGTCCACTGTAATAGGAACGAGAAAGATAGTGACACATCATTATTAGATTGGGATGTACTGTAGTACTGTATAGCTTTTGTAACATTTGTTCATGTATTTTAAAGAAAACTAGGAAAGAGGATCTATGACAGGCCACATTTCAATCTAACCCAGGTTTTATGTCTTGTTCTATAGTTCAAAGTTTAATATCTATTATTATTATTATCATTATTATTATTATTATTATCAGAGATAGAGGAGACATATTATTTATAAATATGCTGAGTAAATCTGTTAATTTGGATTCATTAACATGTCTAATCCTGTGATTGACAGGACCTATGAGGACAATTTCACAAATATATGACTAATAAACAAATTTTGTTATACTTTCCATTAACCTTTAAGGACGTTTTTTTTTTTTTAAATTCCTAAATCTGTTAAATTCCTTCATTATTGGATCTCCTTGGAAATATAAAAGGAATCAATAATTCTGAGTCTAAGAAATGAAATCATGATTAAACCTAATTTATCTGTCTAAAACGATCAATACTGCATAAATGTACTGTCACTCAAGGCTTGGAAATGTCACAGCTTTTATAAGAATCAAAGTCATGTATTTTATTGAAGCTCATATTTCATTTAACTTCTTATCAAACTACTAGTATATGAATATAAATTTTGTTTAATCAGCAATCTGATTACATTATAAAAAGAGTAACAAAAATGAAAAAAAAAATGCTTAACACAATGATTTTTAGATTTTCTAATATACTTCCTACTAAAAATATTAACTTTACACTCACCATAATTAATTCTAAAATCCAGACATATCTAATTCATAACAAGTTTTATAAACATATAAATGCACTAAGAAGGTATTCATAATTTTGTCAGGTAAACTGTATCAGGTAAACTTATCTTTATCAGCAAAATGACATTTTGGCACTGCTAGCCAATAAAAAATGAAAATGAAATCTGCAAAAATACACTAAAAATATAAATGCACTAAGAAGGAATTTACAATTTTGTCAGGTAAACTGTATCAGGTAAACTTATCTTTATCAGCAAAATGACATTTTGGCACTGCTAGCCAATAAAAAATGAAAATGAAATCTGCAAAAATTCACACACAGCTGTCTCTAGTTTCTGGACAAGTCAAATTATCCAGAATAATCTTGATCTGCACTCAAATCCCATTTGAAATAAGCTCGCTCATGATACACAAACAGATGTATTAGTTTTCACTTCATTCCTATTGTTGTTTGCACTGATACAAATATTTCTATAGTAAAGTGCAGTCAAGGTCATCGTAATTATTTAGGTCACTGGGTCATATTACAGCAGCCATGCTTTACTCGACATGCACATCAGTTCAAGGTCTGCATTCTACAGCAATGTAGGTTTACTATATGAACCGAAGGTAAGCTTTCTACGAAATGAGAGCTTTTGGTTTGCAAATCTTGTGCATTTACTAGTCTCATGAACTCATAAATGTCTGACATTAGTAGAAAAATGATGTTTTTGCACTATACTGATGGATCTAACATTCACTTTTGCTGTAAAACACCACATCATTCTGTGTTATTTCAGGGGAAGGTGACCTTGGTGCAGGCTAGGGGTGTGAATATTGTGGATATGTTACAGGTATAATTTACCTACACGGAGATACATGTGAGAATCCACCGCATAATAGTGAAAATGCTCTCTGTGATAGCGACTCTTATTTTGATAGTGCCCCAGTTCATAGACGGACACACCATTGGGGCTATAATCTACCCTGGAAAAGGACAATTTGTTAAGGCTCAAAACTTGCTGAAAGAGCTGAAAGCCAGAGGCAACGAGGTCTACATCATTGTAGGGGACAATGTAGAAATAGAAGATCTTCATGATCCAGAAATCAATCTGCTGCAGTTTAAATCCAGAGAAACACATGGGTATTTCGAGGCAGCAGACTGGCAAAGGGGGCACACACTCAGTGTCTTGTCTCAATCGCCCGGGGTAAAACAAACTGGAATCTTTGACATGGTCAACACTTTTTCCAACTTAACAGAACACTTGTTTAACTACACTGAGGACATGCTGAAGGATGAGGCACTGTACCGCCACCTGGAGGACGTTCTGACAATGGATCTCATGCTTATGTATGGTTATCCTTTCTGGCCTAGCGCATATGTGTTTCCATACAGGCATGGGATTCCCTACGTCACCCTGACCACAACACAACTCCATCTCTACGCTGGCGTCCCAGTAAGCATCATGCCATCCTATGTGCCAAATCAGGGCTTCAAATGGTCTAGTAAAATGAATTTTTTCGAAAGAGTTTTCAACTTTTGCCTGCAGACTATCTTGCCAGCTATCGTGTTGCCTGATATTCCCAAACAATTTTGCGAGGAGCATGTGCGCAACAAGCAACCGAGAACTTTCAAGGAGTTTCTGCGCGGATCGGAGCTTTGGCTACTGACGGGAAATAACTTTGTCATGGAAGACCCCCTTCCCAGCTTGCCCAATGTTGTCTTCATGGGGGGTATGGACACTCGTCCGGCTAAAGCTCTCCCAGACGACTGGGACAACTTCATGAACCAGGCCCCCTATGGGGTCATCATAGTCTCCTTTGGGTCAATATCCTTCCAACTGACCAATGAAATCTATAAGAAGTTCTACATGGCTTTTCGCGGTATACCCTACAGAGTGGTGTGGAAATACAAAGGCGATTTGCCATTACGAGATGTGCCCAATGACATACGCCTGGAGGAATGGATCCCTCAGAATGATCTACTCGGTCACTGGAATACAAAACTGTTTATAGGGCACGGAGGCAATGAAGGTCAATATGAGTGTATGTATCATGGAATTCCAATGATCAACTTTCCAGTATACGGAGACGAGATACATAATGCTGAGAGAGTCCAAAGCAAAGGTTTTGGTCTTACAATGGACATTGCAACCTTCACACCTGAAGAGCTCATTGATAACATTGACGAAATGATGTCCAATGACAGTTACAGAGCAGCTATCAAAACAGCATCTGCTATTTTTCGCGATTTTCCTTTAACGCCCCAGCAGACTGCAGCCTACTGGATCGAACATGTCACAAAATTTGGTAGCTCCCACTTACACTCTGTTGCCGAATATCTCCCTTGGTATCAGTACTTCATGTTGGATGTCATAGGATTTCTTTTTGCGGTGGCTTTCATTGTGTGCTTTGTTATATCAAATTTTGTATTTTATTACTATTATAAATATTGTGCGAGAAGGACTCTGTACATGCCTTTGTCACCTGACAAGAAAAATAATTAAAATGGAGTAAAAAATGATTCAGAAGTACCTGATATTTTTGTATACTGCTGAACATATTGTTGTTTTTGTTTCCAAAATGGTATTATTACTTGAAAAAAAACAAGAACCCTATCAATTTTTTTGTTGTTGTTGAGATTAGTTTGCTTTACTGTATGCTTTTTTTTAATAGGTATTCTGAAAGGATTTACAAATAAACCATCAATTTACTGATGGTAATCTGCTGATAAATGTTGTGAATATAAGGACAAATTTGCTCAATAAAAGAAATTGGAAGCATCTCCTTTTTCTGTCATTTGTCATATAGGTAGGTTTCATAGTTGTTACAATAATACATAATACATCATTTACAATAATGACAATAATACCCACAACTGGCATAAGACACCATTTCCAAATGTTTTCACTGAACAGCAAAATATCTTGAAAACAACTTCCTCTGGACTTTTGTAAAATTGCTCTAGTTTTGTTGGACTAAGTGTGATATTAGTATTAGTGATATTTTCTATAAATAGGCACTTCAAATATAGAGTAACCTTCTGCAACTATAAACTAAGATTTACCATTGCTTTCATGTACTGTGCTGACAGAAGCTGAATTTTACTACATTTAATGAATAGCATCACCAGAAGTACTGGGACTGATGTACAGCACTTCAGACATGGTTATAGTTCATACAGAACTCTTTTTAAGTTGAAGTAAAATGAAACAAAAAAATGAAAATTAAATAAGGATCTCTTAAAAATAAGGAGAGACATCATTGTAAAGTAAAACACAGATCTCAAGAAGTATGCTTAGTAAACAAAACTGAAAGAGTACAATCTGATGACTGAAAAACAAAACAAACAAACAAGTATGTACCAGACAGGAAATATCACTATTTTAATATTGTGAAAATAGTGATATTTCCTATCTGGTATATAATTGTTTGTTTGTTTGTTTTGTAAATAAAAAACAGAACGAATCTAAAGGTGATGAACAAATAAAGCATAATATCAAATTTAAGAAAAATCATTCTTACAAAGAAAATAATAATGATCAGAATTCCTTCGCAGTGGCTTGCATGTTACTGTTGAATAAAGCGTCACCAAAATGTTCAAAGCCTTGTTTTCACAAGTAACATGATAACCCTATAGCGTGACCAGTGTCCTAAATAATGACCTTCTGACCTCTGAGGGACCAATCAGATCAACACATGAGCAGACTTGAATGAAGACAAACACTGGGTCAGCATTATATATAGCAGCAGAATAACATACAGGTAAAAGTGAGCTCTGCTTGAAACAGTCTTCATATCAAACCCGCAAAATGGCCAAGACCTACATTTCAGCAGTGTGTTTAGCCATACTATGCTGTATGCCTGTGATAAACCATGTGAACAGTGCAAGATTTTTGGGAATGTGCATGCCATTCAAAAGTCAATTAATAGAGACACAGGCACTTCTCCTTGGATTAGCAGACAGAGGTCATGAAGTCTACATCGTTATGCCACAGCCAACTATTCCAACTTTACCCAGTGGGTTTTTTGACAAGAGGATTCAAATACTATCGTTCAAAACAAGGTCAGATGACTTTATGGTGTTTGAAACGGCAGAATTCCAGAAAAATGGAATATTTTCATACTTTGATAGACCAATGGACAGAACTTTTCCTTATAAAACTATGCAAATATTTCATCAGTACACAAATTATTTTACCACAGACTTCACAGCAGACATGCTAAAAGATGTTGACCTCAACAAGAAATTGAAAGAGCTGAAGATTGACATGGCTATCATACAGAATGCATTTTTATTTTTTCCGACAGCATACCTTCTTCCGATCAAACACAATATCCCATATATAACAGGCTCTGGTATGGCATTGAGAGAATCTGGGGCCCAGCAACTGCCTTCCATTTTTCCAAATCCTTTATCTACCTATTCAGATAATATGAACTTCTGGCAACGGACTGTGAATTTTTTACTCTACCTGCCATATATTCATATTTCATCACATACTATTCCTTATGATTTCCATGTAGATTCTTTGGAAGGAATTCCAAAGAAAAGTTATCACCAGATAATAGCCGACTCGGAATTGTTTATAGTGACTGGAAAACACCCTGCATTAGACTTTCCACAACTGACGTTGCCAAACACCATATTTGTTGGAGGAATGAGTGCAAAACCTGGAAAACCTCTGCCTAAAGATCTTCAAACTTTCATGGAACATCATAAAAATGGTGTCATTATAGTAAGTTTTGGATCCATTGCCAGTTACCTTCCAGATTATGTCGTAAAAAAAATGGTTGAAGCTTTTGGCAAAGTAAAATATGGGGTTATATGGAAATACACAGGACCAAAACCCGAATCAATCACGCCAAATGTCAAACTTTTACCATGGCTTCCACAAAATGATCTCTTGGCTCACTCTAACACAAAACTTTTCATCAGCCATTTTGGTCTTGGAGGAGCCTTTGAATCTTTTTATCACGGCGTACCTGTAATTGGACTACCTCTCAACGGAGACCAGTTCTACAATAGCAATAGAGCACAGCATAGAGGAATAGCTAAAGTTATGGACATTCTCTATTTCAACACAGAAGAATTAGTAGACAATATTAACGCTATGATTGACAATTCTTCCTACGTTGACGAAGCCAAAAAACTTTCTGCAATTTATCGAGACCAGCCATGGACACCTCAACAGCTCACTACCAATTGGATAGAACATGTCCTTAAACATGGCGGCTCATACTTGCGTTCTCCTACAGTGCTGATGCCATGGTATCAATACTACTTGCTTGATGTCATTGCCTTTCTGCTTGTTGTGTTTATTGTCCTACTGACATTGTGTATATTATGCTGTCGATGCTACTGCAGAATATTTTGTGGAAAGAAAACTAGCACTAAACCCATCAAGATGAAAACCAAATAGCATGTTTTTGTATTTGCATCTGGTGAATTTCCTTACTATAGTTATATATTTGTCCTTACTATTAGCTATAACTGTGGCTAGTAATTTAAATTAAGAATTGGTATTAAATATCAAGTTCTCAAGTCAGACGTTTCAACTCTCTGCTTCACCAGTTAAGCTTAAACAATACGTGTGATATGTAAACCCGAGATCAATCTTGCTGAAACTACTCCTGTGATTTTAAACTGTAGAATGTAGCATTCATTTCACATATTCAGTATCTAATGCTGTTGCTATGGCTTTTCAAACTTCTTCATAGACACTGAAGTTTCTTGTATTATGGTTTGTGTAAAGATGATAATCATATGTTTCAAGAGGTCTAATTTAAATATCTGAAGTTATGATTTCTTTAAACAAATAAAAAAGATCCAAAAATTTTTGTAGCATCTACCCTAAAAGAATCCTGTGGTCATTCAAAATTCCCATTAATTATATACATGTAACTACAACTTATATACATGTAACTAACTTGTTTTTTTTTTTTTCACTAAGCAAGGATAAGACTGCCATTTAGTGAAAAAGTTAGAAAATACATGTCCAGGGGTCTGCCTAGGTCCAAGTTATACTGAGAGAGTAGGAAAAGTCTCATCCCTGACTAAGCCAGACAACCACCTACCTCGTTCTCCACTGCTGCTGTGACCTCCTCCCTCAACACTTGGCTGGAGATGTGGAGACCATGCCCCATTAAACTGTCTAGGGAACGGCGATATATCTGAAAAACATTCAGCCTTTATCTTTAAAAATTCATCACATTTTACAGCAAATATGCTAAAAGCATCTTTGCATTTTTTTGGACCTGATATCTTTATTAATCATTTAAAAATCAAAAATGAAGAAAAGAATGAACTTTCAAATATGTCCTTACAACTAAGTTGATTTTCAAAAGAATAAAGAAAATTCTACCACAAGCAGACCATAGTACAAATTAATATGTCATTAATATAGACCATTAACAGATGTGTTTTGTTTATAATAGACTCACATTGAGTGCCTTGCTGATAGTCTGAGCCGTGAATCTCCCAGGATAGAAAATATAATCCATGTATGTCTCTCTGGGTTCCCTGTGCAGAGGCACAATGACTTCAGGAGATTCTGGCTGCTGCAGGTGAACCATGTTCCATGGGTCATAGGAGAAATTATCACTGCTATGAAGAAAAAAATCGATGTTTATTACTCATAAATGTCATCAACGCAGAAAAAAAAGCTGTTTTTCAAAATAAAATCACTGCTCAACTTTTAAGAAAAAATTAATTTAAGGTTTACAGGAAGAAGTATTCCTGGGAAACACTGCCTCATGGCAAATAAAGTGCAATATATGAACAATTTTTGAAAACTTTATATTTGAAGGAAAGATAGACTGCTGATTTGTCTGAGCACAAAAGGGTTGCACAAAGCATAATCTAATTGAATAAATGCCCATCTCTTATGACAATGCCGTTATGATAACTGCACATGAATGTTATAGTTAGTCTCTCAAAAAAAATTATAAAATTTCCACAAACTGAAGACTGATGTTCTTACACTCTACTTACTTGTCTAAGGCTGCATATCTGACCACTGTTTCACTCTCTGATGTGGTCCACAGTGACCACAGGTGAGTATTGGTCAGACTGAACTCTACAAGGTCCTCCTAGGATGATCACAAAGATAGTCAGTTAAAATTGAGATGCAAGTAACTTGTTCACTCAATGTAAAATCTCATGTCTACTAAACTGTTATCTTACAGCTATGGAACAGGAAACATTCAGGATTAAAACAATAATTTGTCAGTCTAAATCACGCTTTTATTCTTTATAATTCAATGAAGCAACAAAAGACTAAATTCAGTTGGCAACTTGGTGAACTACTTGCATGAATGTGCAGACATACAAAAATATTAATATACTCATGTGCACAGTTCCACTGAGAAAAAATAGACTGATTAATAACCTTAGGTTGACTTTCTACTTACATTTGGGGCAAAGACAGTGGTAATCAAGTTTAGCTGGTATCGACCATCTGCTAATACTGGTTGAAATATGCAAAACTGCAAAAAAATAAATAAATAAATAAATAATAATAATAAATAAATAAAATAAAATTTTTGCATTATAATCAAAATCACCATTAAGCTGTCATGCAATAATTATAAATAAACAAAAATATCAAAACAGTATTGTTTTTTTGTTAGTTTCAAATTCATTGCAGTATAATTTTTTATAAGTCACCTGGTTTCTGTCAGAAAAGTTCAAGAAAACTCCTAGGTGCAGCATGTTGCCCTCCACTGATTTTCTAATAACATGGCCTCGAGCTGAAAAGCAACAACAACAACAAATATATGAACTTTCAATAATTTGCAAAGCTTTTCCAAATCAATTTTTGATTGACTAACATAGACTAATAGAGTACAATTTTACTCAATAAGTTTCTGATATACATTTTAAAATATTGATCTGAATCATACAAAAATCAAAGCATTTTCCATAAAGATAGACAAACATATACTTCTATATATAGGATTCCTACCTCCAATTGTTCCTTTCAGAGGGTCAAGTTTATCTGGAATAAAGTCTAGCATGTCACTGACCAGCACACATTCTTGATTCTGGAAAATATGAATTCAAACTTGTACCATGCAAGTACATGTTCCCAAACTTACAACTGGCAATAAGTTTTGATGCTCAGAACATTGCTGATATTCTACAGCTGACAGAAGGAATTCATAGACAACTTTCCATACATGAACAGTCATTTATGGTAAAAAAGATGTTTCTAAAGTTCTTCAAATAACAAAATCATATTATGAACTTGAAGTCTTTATAAATTATGTTTTAAAGAATGCGTTTGGTATTAATGATATCAAAGATCTTATTAAAAGACAAGAAAAAATATCAAAATATAAATGTTTTTTAAGCTAAAATAATACCTTACAGGACCACATTCTGAGTTTGTGGTCTCTACAGATAGCAAAAATGAATACATCCTGACCCAAAGAGTGAAGACAAACACTTTCCGCCATGTCAGCTTCAGATGGACCACCCCTACTCAAGATAATTAAAAATTTAAACAAATTGCAGGTATAACATCTGATATGATTACTTATTATATATACATAGATAAAAGATAATGCTTTTTTTTCAAAGACTGGATATGTTTTAAATTACTTATAATATTTATAAACATTCCAAGACTGTTATCATGGATGCCTAACAGTTTACTTACAAAAAAAGTGCCTCTCCCTAGACAGCAGACACTATCAAATTTGATCAATGCTCTAGATCCATAAATGCAAAGAAACATCCAAATATAACAGGTAATAAACAATCTGGATATTACAGTCTTTAAAAATAGGGTTTAGTCAAGAATTTGCTTCATTTCATGTCCTACCTGATCATAGCTGGTACTAGTCCTGTCCACAGCCTCTGCATCATGCTGGCATGTTTCAGTTCATGCTGTGTCACTATACCTACAATACAGAGGTTTGAAGAAAAATATGTACAAGTATGGAAAATATTAAATGCTGCAGGATGGATATATATGCATATATATTATACAAAATACAAATATTGTATATATATATAAAATAAGAAATAATAATAAGAAATGTAATTAATTCATGACTTTTTTAATATTCATTTTTGCATAGTGATAATTCTTGAATTTAATGCCAGTTATTTCAATTATTTCTTGTTCACATCATTCATGAATTTTGTTCATACACAAAGATAATCACAATTAAACAAGCATTTCAAATTCGCTGAAAACTCCCCATGGGAGAACCTGCTATGACACAGTCAAAATATTAAATGCTGCAACATTGTTATATATACATATATTATACAAAATACAAAATTATATTATTAAATGTTCAGCTTAAAATATCTCTTAGCCAGGTTAATATCAGAGAAAAAGTTACTGTAACTACAACAGTTTCTATAATAGCATATAAATAATGAACAAAATAAGAAATGTAATAAATTCAAGGCTTTTTAATATTCATTTTTGTATACTGATAATTCTTAAAATTTAATGCCAGTCATTTCAATTAGTTCTTGTTCACATCATTTATAAATTTTGTTCATGCTTAATAAAAAACAATCAAAATAAAACAAGCATTTCAAATTCCCTGAAAACAACAGTCAAAATATTAAGTGCTGCAACATTGAAATATGTACATATATATTACACAAAATGCATACATAAAACAGATAAATATCAGAGAGAATTGGTTACTGTGACTGCAATAGTTTATACATATATCTATATAGCATTTCAAAATCCAAAAAAACTCTACAAAATTTTCACCTGCAAATAAATATTGATCTTTTTTTCAATATCTGAACAATTATAAGACAAACAGTACAAAAATAATCATTCTGTCATGCACAATTGCATTCAAAACATTTCTACACTTTTTACCTTTTTCCTCTTTGACTTACAAGTCTCTTATCTAAGCCTAAGGAAACACTTCAACTTCTGATCAATTTACCTTGAATTCCCTTTGGTGGTAGCTTGATAAACAGAATGCTCCCTGTGCTTGTGGCCAGGGCAAATAAAGCCTCCCCTTCAGTGGTGAGCCAAGCTCCAGCAGCATGTAAGGAGTAAGCCACATTACTCACTGGGCTTATGGAGTGACAGTCTGAAGGCTCACAAAGATTTACTACAGAGGCATCCGTGAAGATGGACATCTAAATATAAAGAAAAACAATACAGTCAGCAAAATTTGTTGCAGTTATGCAAAGGTACTACTGAATCATTGTGCAGCTAATGCAAAAGAAAGTTTTTGTTTAACAATTTCTTAAAATTAAATGATAATCCTGGTTAAAAGGTGATAGATATGTTAAGTCTACTGTACCTAATTAGCAAAAAAAACTTTGATATTATCAATATCACATTTAAAATTTCAAAAATCAGAATTCCTCTGCCTACAGATGTAAAATATATAACACAACCTGAAGACAAAGATATTCAGCTCCATCATACCCCATGAGAATTCTAATATGCTCAATCATAAGTAAATACAAATAGTACATGAATATATATATCATATAAATTTCAAATAGTGCATGAATATAATATCATATAAAGTTCATTTTTTAAAGATAAAATCTGTTGAATAAAATGGATTTAATCATTATCAAACGTATAACAACTGAAGTATTCATACATAATTGCAAACCCACTTTTCGTCTGAATACAATATCCCCCTCAAAGATGAGTGTGAGTGTGTGTGTGTGTGGGGGGAGGGGGGTTGTAGGGACAAAAATAGCTTAATATTATTTAGTCCTTTTACCTGATGCTGCAATGAACTTGGGTGTGGAAAGACCAGGCGGTGGACACTGGACACTGTGGCCACAAGGAAGACCACTTCTCCTCGACTCTCAAAAATGCTGATGTCACCCAATATGGCAGAATCCTGGAAGTGGAGGCGGATGGCATTTCCATGGAGATCGTTGTCCAGTGATAGTTCTACAAGCTCTAGGGTGTCTTTGTGAACCCTCCTGAAAAAAAAGAAGCAGGTGAGATTTACAGTCAAAGATATATTTTTCACATGGTGCATCTAAATAAAATAAAATTGAAAAGAAATATTCATCTTGTTAGCAAATGCCAAAAGACCTAACTTAAAGCAAAAAATATTGAAAACTATACTGAAAAAGGCAGCACTATCCTATTTTCATACAACCCTTAGTATTACTTTGACAGTTTTTTAAAGACTGCTGAAAGGCAGTACTGACAGACAGGCAACAAAAAGAGAATGTTGACTGGTTATACTGTGTTCTTATTCTTTCTTTCAAACAACCAACCTTGAAACATTGACTCCCTTAAGGTCTCTTACTAAGGTCCTGCCTGTCTCTTACTTTCAAAATGTCTGCCAAATGCATCACAGAAAAGAGGCTAGCAGGTCATGTGGACTACTTCTCACTTATGCAAATCATATGTGGAGAGAATGAGATTGTGCTAGTTGTGCTTCTAGTACTGGCAGTGCACTTACTGCACCTACAGGCAGATTCAATGTATTCAAATCAATCGATATCAAAATGCATGTAAAATGAGATGACAGTAATTCACTGGCATTACCAGTATATGAATCTGTTCCTTGCATATGACTGCAGTCTGTTGCCATCTCTGTACACATATCCTCCTGCAGATTCTGGAACCTTTAAGTCTTGGATGGTGCTGCCAGATCCACCTGTTATAAACATATGAAAGAACTGCATACTAGTAAGTAAAATCAAAACACCACACAGATTATTTATAATAGTTATAGAATAAACTGTAATGATGAAATTACCAACACTGCATTATTTACTTCTGTGTAGGATTTAATGGATGAAACAAATTTGTAGTTAATTTCAATCAAATAATATTTGAATATCTTTCGGTATTTTTACGTGTCAAGTAACACAGCTAGGCACAAACAAATATTAAAACTAGGTCAATTCCATATGTGTAAAATGCTATTAAGATTAATAAACTTGATGTTTGGATAAACTATGAAAGTGAAAAGAAAATCATTTTCAATGCTAAGAGTTTAAGGCTGCTGTCTTATGTCACCTGCATCAGTGCAATGAGATATTAGTGTGTACAGTCAACGGCATCAAACAGGCAGGGAACACATCTTCAATTTTAGTTGGGAAGTTGTTGGAACCATCACTTCCTTGATGTAAATATCTTTATCACATTATCCAGTCCCTACCTCCCTACCTACTCACTGAACCTCACAATCATCATCCATACAGTTGATGGGGGGGGGGGGGGGGGTAATTATTTTATCTTTTTTTTTCTTTATGTGTGTGTGGGGGAGGGGTGGGAGAAAAAATATACTAAATTCATTGGTGGTGGGGTGTGTCAACTAACTTTGTGCATCGACCAGATGTTAGCATAGCATCTTGTAGGAACAGTGCTTATATCTATGTCTATCTAAAGTGATGTTTGTGATTCTAACAAAATGAAATTGGTTTCATTTCAAACCGAAATTGGCGAACCGAATAAATGACTTCAACTGAGTTTGCAATCAAAGCTGTTTTCACCATAAGCAGCACCTAAGTGTCATATGCAATAAAACCTTGATTTGATGGTCAACAAGATATACCTGTATTCACTGTTATTTCCTTCCACCTGATTGGAAAGCCTTTCTTTTGAACAACTTCGCGAAAACTCATGCAGTTTTCCGCCATCTTCGCTTTAATCTCCAAACCTGTTGATGAAATCCTTGCTCTTGCAATACTAATAGGAACAATAACAGACTAATACAATACTTGTGAAATGAAAAATAATTTCAAATTAAATGATGGAATAACTATATCAATGCGTTGCTTTAAAAGCTTTCCGGAAAAGCGTTCGAGATTTTAGATTAAGTAGCCGGCGTTTCTGTCTGTGCGTCGTAATGAAAGCGTGATTGTAAATAACACAAGATGCCGAAGTAAGTACAGGTTTAATGTGGGCGCATTTTCAAGCCTTTTCAAAAACTTAAGGCAAAAAATGGCCATAGAGCTTTATTTTCATATGCTAAGTTGTATGGATATTTAGTTTTTTACGTTATCTTTAGTGTAACTGTTTTCTTATTTGGAGGTTTTATAGAGCGACCAGTGAGTCTTACATCGACATTGTCTACTTCCCATATCAGCGTGATTCTACAGTTTCGTTTGACTCCACTATTTATTTGAAAGATACCTACCAGGCAGAGTCCAAAAAAGCTAGAGCAACTACACAAAAGTTACGAGGAAGTTGTTTTCAAGATTTTTCTGTTCAAATGGAAAATTTGGAAATAGTGATGTCTTATGCCAGATGTGTTTATTATTGTTATCATATATTTCAGATATTATTGTGACTACTGTGATACCTACCTCACACATGATTCTGTAAGTATAAACAAATAGGACCCCAAAACACTTCACTGTGTAAAATTAACGAAAATCTAAAAAAATAGAACTAAATTGTAAGACAGTATACTACAGAAATGGTGATTATCATTATGTACAGTGTGAATGGATATTAATTTAATTGAATTCAAGTAATAAACAATATAATTATTCTGTCTACCCTACTGTGATACAACTGTTTACTCACTCTATGAGCCTCATTTCTGAACTTGAAACGAATTTCAAGATATTTGCTGGAAATGATTATAATGCTGGTGAAGTTTAAAACAAATCTTAATCGTCATTGCGACTGAGAATGTTTTCACAACAGTGCAGCATTTCATCTGTACCTTTAAATTTGCTAAAACTTTTTATGGATGTTTTCACATCTTTTTCATTCAAGCCCTCTGTAAGAAAAACACATTGCAGTGGCAGAAAGCACAAAGAAAATGTCAGATTATATTATCAAAAATGGTTAGAAGAACAAGTTCAAAAGCTGGTGGACGACACAAGTAAGTCAGACAAAAAGAAGTCTTACTTTATTTTAATGGTGAAATGAAGCATGTTCCATAAGTTTCAAACATTTCTTTGCTAAATGTTAGAATAAATTGACTATCAGGACAGAAAATTAATATTCAATCTGTTATACATTCTAAATTTATATTATTATTTATTATTGTGTATAATGCACAATAAAATTAAAGACAAGGTAATAATATTTTGTCTTTTTTTCTTTTCAGCTGCTGCATTCAAACAGGGTAAAATTGCCAGTAATCCATTTGGCCCAGGTGGTCCTGGACTGCCGGGCCCTGGGGGTGCTATGATACCACCTCCATCTAATTTACAACAAAGTAAGTCCCTTGCACACAGCATGCAAAATGTTGCCCCAGGGGGGTGCTGTTTATTAAAAAAATTAGACCCCCCCCCTCCTGTCATAAGATATCACCCATTGCTTAATCAAGTTTGGAATGATTGAAACTTGATTTCTCCCTATTCTAATGTGAAAGTGATTGTGGGTTAAGGGTTTAGACTAAGGCCACCTTTTGACAAGCTTTTCTTCTTTTCAGCTGGTATCATAGCACCCCATGGTATTGATTTACCTAATGGATCATATTTCAATTCTTTGTGATAATTTAAATCAGCTTAATTGATGTATGGTAATTTTTGTTTTATCCTAATTAAAACATCATAAATTTAAAATTTCAACTGCAAATGAAATATGAGTTAATGCAATATTAATTAAAGAGATTTTAAGATAGAAAAAATATTTAAATGCAATTTGATATGCTGCATTTCACATAATAGTGGTTCCTGCTTTAAAAAAGCCCCCTTTACACCCTTAAAACATAAATAGAAGCTCCTGCTTAGATAGAACACCCCCTTGTCACATGTCATGTGACAAATGCATATAACATCTTATTAAATCAATACAGTACATTAGTTTTGCATGTTTTGGGATCCAAAGAAAAAATGAACACCTGCTTTAAGTTGCTGCCCCCTCGACACCAAAAACATTTAATAGATACAGGGCCGCTATTATGTGGAATATGGCACTTGTGTTTGGAGAAACGTATTCTATAAGATGAATTATCCTGACTCACACAGATGCATACAGCTATACATAAGCAGATAAAGATATATGCAGTATAAAACCTGCATTGGTAATCAAATGCAACTGTTTTAACAGGTGCAAAAACACCTAGTGGGCCCCCTACAGGGCCTCCTGCAGGCCCCCCTGGTGGGCCTCCCATGCCAGGTCCACCTCAAGGGCCTATGGGGCCTGGTGGGCCTATGCCAATGATGGGGCCTGGTGGACCTATGATGCCTATGATGGGTATGTACTGTAGTATATTGGATATTTACATATTGTGGTTAATTACTATTACATATTGGTTATTATTTCTCTTTAAAATTGTTGAATAATTATATATGCGCTTGTACATGGGATATTGACATATTGTGTTTAATTATTTTTACATATTGGTTATTAGTACTTCTTAATATTACTTTATTATTATTATGTTTTCTGATATCTTGAATTAAACAGTCTTTCTTCATCTTTAGTGGTTGTTCAATGGAAACAACAGTTTGCTTTGTTCACAATAAAAAAAATAAGTGCTCTTTTAAATTTGACAAACTGAAGAGCATTGTTCTATGTAATAATACGTATATTTAAAAAGTTTTGTGAGTCCATATATGCAGATTTTGTAGGTTTTCAGCGAGTAATATAAATTGGACTTGGCGAATCTTTGATTTATTCCATACTAATTTTTGTCGGCAATGAGTAAAATTATTTAAAATTTAGCACAGTATTATATAAAGTACTCTATATAAATAATTGTCCACTAAACCAATGCTAAATCAACATTTCTGACTTAAAGCATTCCTGAATTGAGCTTTGTTAAGTACTAAAACACTGTGCCATACCTTTCCAGGGATGCGTCCCCCAATGGGCCCACCTATGATGATGATGGGACAAATGGGACCCCCGGGACCACCCATGAGAATGATGGGACCACCCAGGAAATAACATCGGACCTATTCGGATGTTTAGGAAGAATATTGCTTTAAATTGCCCTCTCAGTTAGGGAAATAATTGGCAGGAGAAAGATGGAACATTTCACTGAGAAGTCTTTCTTTGGGTGCCAAGGATTGGGTTAACATTTGTCGGGAGCATTGTGACAGATTTTAGTCTTGATCCAGAGTGTGGAGGGGATTCACCTCCAACTGTGGCTGAATTGTAAAAATGGGCCTTGATTGTCTTTATCAGTCAAAGAACATTCAGGTTAATTGAGGAACTTACATGTTTGTGCTAGCCCTGACTACCAGAGAGAGCTTTAGAACAGTAACAATGCTTTTAAATGTCAGTTAGGATTTATTTAAAGATGCCTCTGAATGTTTTTAACAGACAAATCGAGGGTGAGATATTGATTTCAGCTATGAGATAATTGTAATAAAATACTGAAACACTGATATTTAAGGACTTTTTTGCATAAAAGTACTATACGTTGCTAAGAGTAAAAAGAAAGGAAGGGAGTCCGGCATATGGCTTTGTCTCTGCGTTTACGAAATCGAAAGTAAAGGACAAACACAAGTATGTTGTTCAAAATTAAGCCAGTGACGTCCGCTTTTATTGAAAGGTCCTTGTAGTGAAAGAAATGTGTAAATTATGATATAACAAATAATGTTGAGTAATAAAAATATATATGATTTGGCCTGGCAAATTCCCATTAAGAACAAATAATTTGTGGGGTTGACTCTCCATGCAGTGTGTAAACCATTGCCATCAAATTTTGTTCACCAAACTTCCCTATTTTCTAGTGTATGGACATTTCCACATTAGTACATGTATACCAAATTGGTGGTCAGCTAGTTTACCTTTATTAAGAAAACGATACACAGGATGCAACTTGCTTGACGGCTGCAAAATTTGCACAAAGAAAGACAAAGTTTAATTTGAACTGAAGATTTATTTTCCATTTGTATATTTATAAAGAGAGACGTAGGAATAAGTTTTGATCCAGGGTGTTTAAAATTAGCAAAAATTGGTAATCCAGGATTATTTTCAAAGCATTTCCATGATCATAGCCTTGTGATGATTCTTTTGTCTATAGCCACATATATTTGTCTGATCTTACCACCAATATTTCAGGGAGTGGTGAAGTCTGACTGCAAGCAGACAAAATATTGAATGGTAAGATCAGACAAATGTAGCTATAGACAAAAGAATCTTCACATCAAGTCTATTACAATAACAAAGCTAATGAAACTGTTCTACAATTTCCATGATCACTTGGTAATCATGGTTAATATCGACTATCCATCAATTGTTCTATAACATCACTTGAAAATAAAAGATCTGACACAGAATGATTTACTTCCTATATTTTGTATGCTGACATCACTAAGCATTGCTAATATGTAAACTGCCCTAAGAAAATTGAGATAAATGTGTCAATTTTAATATGTGAAACTTAACAAAATTGGGCACTAATTAAGTGATATTTCACGTGTGAAAATCTGCAAGGATGCTAATATATGCTGGACAGAGGTTAGCTGGTGAAAAAAAATCGACACCAATTAAATTCCAGTTTCACTGCAATTACTGTCATGATCAATTATGTACAACACAGATACAAATAAGTTGCAATACCAACACCAAACAATTGAAATGTTTCAACTAAAAAGCAGACTCAATTGATGAGATATCTTTGACATTTAAATTGTCTACTCTAATGCAATTACTACCAAAGCCAAGTTAAATTACAACTTCACACATGTTGAAGGCAGGCAAGGCGTAAGCATAACTCTTGCATCTATATAAAAAAATCGTACATCACAAGTCTTTCTTCATTTAGCCATCCATCTTTTAAGACTAGTCTAGTCTAGTCTAGTTAAAACTAGACATTTCAGTACATAACAAGTGCAACAATACAGAACACCCTTAAAACATCACATAATTGTATGGGTAACAGTTATTGTTTTTAAAATTTACCAAAAATACCACATCAACCATATACTGTTGATCAAATTTATCTGAATATTAAAAATACTATATCTGAATATTTTAAAAATTTGAAAGAAAGTCACATGTATAAGAAATGTACATTATACAATAGCAAAGTTAAAATTGAATAGTTAAGTATTTGTTGACAAACACTTATCACAATGACAGAAAATACTTCACGTAAAAAGACCTTCAATATTTGAAAGAAGGCTGGGGAATGGTGCACTGGTTAAAAATATCACCAAAAATTATGGCTTAGATAATACATAACAACTTTCTTATAGTCCTCATTTTCCTAAATAAATACTATTTGTAATATAACAATCTGTAATAAATTAAGTAAGAGTCTGTAATAAATTCAGACCAAATATTTCATTTTTGTTGATGTTTTTTTTAAATTTTCAATGTCGACCCTCATACAATTTTTTTTTCCAAACTTTAAAATGGCTATAAGCAATTTCAAGAGATCTACATTGAATGATATTCTATTTTAAGTGAAGCTGTCATTAAATCAAATGATCATTAATTTCCATTTTTTCTTGTAATTGTTCCTTTCTTCTAACTTTAAATCATATTCTTTGTGTATCCTCTTGATTAGTCAACATTTTGTTCAAAATTTAAACTTTCTGTCTAAATCAATCAATGTATCTGTAGAAATAAGTAACTGCCTGCAATTATCCACTACCTAAAATTGCTCACCACAGGAATTCATTCGATCTTTATTCCCTTGAAGAGGATAATTCTATGTACAGCTCAAGCGCCATGTCCACTGTTCTTCACCACAGGAATCATTCGATCTTTATTCCCTTGAAAAGGATAATTCTATGTACAGCTCAAGCGCCATGTCCACTGTTCTGGGATGTCCATAGTTGGTACTACATAGAGGACAAGAGGGCCACCAATACTGTCAGCTCTGTTGCCAATGCACTCATCATGGCCCATAAGGTGGATTTCATTCTCATGATAAAAGGCCAAGGTAAAATCAGGGTACACGTAGGCAGAATTTTCACTGAAAACCTGAAATATTGATAACAGTGCATTCATATGCAGATGTGTTCAAAAAAACCTTGAATATCCATTTATAAGCACTTAAGTCATTCCTATTGATTGAACAGAATTATTGTAAACACTTCACATTAATTCCTTTTTCCAATGCATGTAAACAGAGATAAAGATTTATATGATTCAGCTTCACTAGAGACAACAGTACCTTGTTTCCTATCTGCAATGCTAATTCCTCATAAGTTTGGAATTGTCCACAAAGCACAGAAGCCATGACTTGGCCGGCTCCGTTTTTGACAATAACTTGAACCTCTGAAAAAAAAAAGCAGTACTTTTACAAAGGTGAAACAACACCAATTGCTGAAACAGTGCTTGCATTATCATTATTAAAATTTCATTTTTTGTTTAGAGATCACCCATTTTTTATCATTGTCATAAGTCTACAAACCATATGCCATGGGGGGGGGGTACTGCACTGTGTGCTTTTGAAAAATAATGAAAATGATCCAAATTGCTGTAAAAGGCCATCATTTTAGTTTGTACTCCTTGTACTCCCTGAGGGCTGGAGGTCTGGAAAAGGCTTACGATGATGATTACGTAAATGGATGATCACTTAGTGACATTTTATCAAGCTCAACTCAGTAACTGGTTTCAATTATCAATCCAAGAAAGCTACTGATTCTTGTTTTTAACAAATATTTTTTAACGTGTTAGCATTATAACTCTGCCTTACTGGGTTCATAATCTCTTTCTCGATCTTTCCTTTGTTTGTAACTCATCTCATTGAACTTCTGGAACTTTGCTTGGCAAAGTTTCATCCAGTTTTTAGAATCCTGAAAAAAAATAATAAAAGCATATTTCACATACCTCAAATGCAATTTTTAAATAACTGATTGAAAACAAATATATCTTAGTAGGTTACCTTCTAAAACTTGTAAGCCAATACATTCTGTTCCTACAAGACTATTGAAATTTTCTTAATTCCCAAAATATAAAACATCTCAATTCTTTAACGGATCACCTTTTACAACGAAGTGACATACATTAAGAACACATGTTATGATGTACCTTTTGAGCTTTGGTTTTCCCCTTTCTTACCTCTATCCCACCATCAGCTCGATATCTAATAGCAATTCTATAATTCACTTCATAGATGGGAGATGGAGTAGACTGGGTAGACTCTACATTCTTCGCACCATGCTTCCCTCTGGTGGCCTGGTTTAATCTTGAACTGGTCCCTAGTGCCAGGTTACGATTAATCTCACCTCCTCCAGATCTTGTACTTTTACCTTGGGTGTCTGCATCAAAATCTGACCCCACTTCCTCAATAGGTTGTGATACTCTGCATGTGTCACCATACAGGAGTTGTTGAAGCTCCTCTAGATCTAACTCATCATCAGATTCTGTAACGTTATTGTCCGAGATAGAGTGTTCTACTGGTAGAAACGAATTGTCCATTTCGGCAAATGGTGGTTGTGGTGGGATGTTTGGAATGAAATGAGAACCACTGGACTTCCATGAAATGGCAAGGTCTTCGAGAGATTTTGGTTTCTTGAATACATCATCTATGATATCTAAATTTCTTTTCATATCATGATATTTGGATCCGCAATGGTGCTGAGAAGCCAAGTTCTCTTCACAGTTTCCTCCTGTAGCCACAGCATCTTGCACAGTTTTTGCCAAGGTTTGTGAGCTTAACCAGTCCTCTTCTCCCTCTTCTTCGCTGCTTATTCTTCCCTCTGTCTCAGGTACCAAACCTCCAAAGATTTTTGGTTGAGTCTGTGAGTTTCCTTTATCTTCCTCCTCCTCTTCATTGTTTCTTTCAACAGGATCATGAAAGGTTGTTGGTACAGACTGTGAGTCACAGATCTCTTCCTCATATCTTCTCCCTTGTATGTTTTCCTTAAGGACTTCTGCTCCTGTTTTGGAGGTAACAAAGATGTTCTTTCCTGATGTTCTTGCAGCAGACGAACTGCTTTTTGCTTCTGTGCAGGGTTTCTTCTTTCCTCGATCTGGAGGCTCAGATGCTGCACTGTCATGCCATGTTATATCCTCAATGACCTCTGCTCTGGAAATAGCAGCAACAGAGTTGTTCCTCCCTGGTGCTTTTTCCGTTTTCATTGGACCGGACGACTTGCTCTTTGCTTGTCTGCAGGATTTGTTCTTTCCTCGATCTAGTGGCTCAGATGATGCACTCTTACGCCACCTTATACCCCCAAAAGAAACCTTTTGCTGAAGTTGATCTTTTGCCAAGCTGGTCTGTTTTCTTGGTGGAATAACAGTGGTTTTGGTATCAGAATTTTGTGTCGCTGATGATTCCTTCTTGTGTACTGAAGTGATGGTGCGCAGCTTAACATCATGTGTCTCATGTACTTGTGTCTCATTTCCTTCATGACCCAAGTGTGGCTGAGAGGATGTGGACCTTACTTTAGATAATTTAGCATGCTTCTTCTGCATTTCTCTGAAGCCTTTTGGCGGGAAGTCACCACGCTTGTCTCCTGTCACCACTTTTTCCTTGTTTCTTGGAATGAACCCCTTTCTCTGCACAGAATCATGGTAACCTTTCTTGCTACGTGCTGTCACGCCCTGATGCTGTCTTGCCTCCTCACTTTTCTTGTCTCCATGTGGTGTACTTGGGGTAGGTCCTACCCTATGATGAGGGCTATTTTTACCACTCATTGCATTGCTCTTTCTATGCATTATGGGAGGTGAAGTATTAGCTCTCAACTGGGCCTTGCCATCTGAAGCATCACTAACTTTTTCAGAGACACGTGGTTTTGGACGAGGAGTATCATGCACAATTTTTGCTGCTTGTGAATCACCCCTTTTTCCACTTGGTTTGCAAGCACTCTTAATAACTCCTTGGCTTTTGAGTTGTTTCTTCACTGGGGCTGGAGTTATGGATGCTTTTGTCTTGAAAGCTGCTGTTCTGCTTGTTGCAGCTTTAACTTGAAAAGCTGACTCTAAGCCAAGGTTTATCCCTTTCTGGAACTCTGCTTGGGAAATGTCCAGGCATTTTTCTGATTCCTGAATAATAATAATAATAATAATAATAATTAAATAATAATAATGATGATGATGATGATAAGAGAACTGCAATGTATATACTTCATATGCAATCTTGAAATCACTATTTCAGAGAATTTATGCATCTTGTAAGATTATATTCTAACCTTTTTTTTTTTTACAAATCAATACACTTTATTGCTACAAGATTACTTTAATGTTTGCCTTTTAACAACAATATGACACATGCATAAAAGGTGTACCTTCTGGGCTTTCGCTTTTCCAATCAGTATTCCTTTCTCACCATCAGCTAAATTTCTGCCAGCAGCTCCGTCTTGTACTTCACAATTGGGCTGCTCTACATCACACTCATTTTCTTCATGACATAAACCTGACTGAGAAGATCTGGACCCAACTATAGAGATCATAGCAGGTTTCTTCTGTGTTTCTATGAAGCTTTTCTTTACTGGGCGAGGAATTTTGGATGGTTTACTCCTATTGGTTGCTTCTCTCCTCTCATCCAAACCACTAGCCATTGCCTCCTTTATCGTTTGTGTCTCTTTATTACTGCTTGCCTCTCTGGTGGCTTCTGTCTGGGTACCTTTCTCCAAAACTGCGGTTTTATTTTGCTTGCTTGACACATCATTATGAATTACTCTTGTTTCATTTATGAATTGACCTTCATTCCCCTTCCTTTCTGATCCATGGCAGGGAGAATCTGGCTCATAGTCAGAATCATGGTCATCATCTAAAGCTTGGTCAATTCTGTCTTTTGTAGATTCAATGTCATTTTTGCTTTGCTCTACAAAAATGGAATCATCTGGTATGCCCCCGGAATGGGAAATTTCTTGAACTGAATGAACTTTACTTTCTGGACTCATTTCTTTGCTGTTTTCACTTGGTAGCAAGTGTCTGGTATCATTTTGTTCATCATGAACATTTGGTTTGTCCATTTCGTGTTCATTGTCCAATGCCCTTCTCTTAAGTTTATGGTAACGAGTCTGACAATCCAGAAAATCATCTTCGATCTCATTTGGATTTCGTCTATAGAGTCTTAAGTCTTTGAAGTGCCAGTCCTCTCTCTCATCAAAAAGATGAGGTGATGCACATGTATTATGTTGGATTTTGGGTGGAGCACACAAAACTGATCTCATTCTTTTCAAATTTTCTGAACTGTGCATTACATGAAGCAGTTCAAATGCCTCTTCGCCAGCAGAAAATGATCCTGCTTTGCTATTTGATGTCTCAGCAACTGGATGCATGTTGACTTCAGGGGTTGTGTCAGCTTGAGGAGTTCTGCAAGTTTATGGTTCTTTATAATAATAATAATAATAATAATAATAATAATAATAATAATACACATGTGCATCAATAAAAAATCAACAGCAAATCTACATAAAACAAATTATTAAGACTTTACAGAAGCTATTCCATCAACATCTTATCCCACATGCAACAAAGTTTCACAATTTACTTTACCAATTAAGACACAGAGGTGAGGTTAAGTTTAATAACTTACTTTTCTGCCATAATGGCTCTCTTTTAGTTGTTCACTTGAAGTTTATGCTTCTTTCCCTGAAAAATAAATTTTGAATCATGTAGAGAGACTGGGACATACATGTACCAGTTCTGAATCCTTCATAAAGGACTGGGGTTAATTAAAGCTACCTGGTCTTGCAGTGATAAGTGTTGTGCACAATATGCTAGCTTTTAGGACCTCATGCGACAGACAGGCTGCATCTTCCTCAGGGAAATGAGATCATTTACATCCAGTCAGAATCATTGCCAAAAATCAATCTATCTACTGGTATCTACTAGTATCTATCTATCTATCTACTTGGCACATTTTATCTATTGTAAATAGCAAGGAGAGATAACAGTAGTTCATGGCACAATTAAAGGGGGGGGGGGAGGGGGTACAGCAATTCACTGAGAATTTAAACAAGTCATCCAGCCTTAAAGGCCTACTGTGCTCTAGGAACACATAGCGTTCACTGCTTTTTTTACAGTATAAAAACTATAAATCAACGTCAAAAAATTGTTCTTTTTAAGTTTTAGAGAGAAAAGATGAGATTTAGATGAGAAAATTATGATTGGTCAGTTTCTAGTGACGTAACCTGGGTAGTAGCTTCCCACAGCTGTACTAGTAATAGTATATACTATGCAGTAGGTGACTAAACATCCAGGTGTCAGAAAAACAAAATGCCGCAAAGTTGTGTTGCTCCCAGGTGCCGATAAGAAAGACATCTGCTATTATATCCTGCCTGCGGATGCCGCAAAAAGTAAAATTTGGCTCAATTCTCTGAAGTTAAAAAATCCCAGCACAGTGTCAAAACACGCGAGGATCTGTAGCGACCACTTCGAGCCGGTGTGGCGTGTACCGCCCAGAGCGTGAACCATCCGTTCTGCTCATGCGCACAAAGCGCAGGCAAATCTGAGAGACTTCCGGCATGTACAGTCCGTCTCTATAGAGTCGTCAATACATTCTTAGCTTTTAATAAACACGCGCTGTTGAGAACATACTGCATATTCAAACATAATCTTTAGAAGTATTCATATATTATAGATGTTCACCTCTACTGCAATTTCTCTCAGGTGGCCATATGAACACACTAGCCTTGTAAAATCAATACTAAAATAGTAGCCAGCAGCTGAATTAAACGACGGCCCGTCCACGGTACTATCTAGGTTCATCCATGTGTCGATCTGTAATTTGATGCTGATTCTCTATCAAAGTTATCAATTAACACATGAATTTTATCCCCATCATAGTAAATGTATAATGAGGTAGGAAATGAACTAGCCGAATACATGTATAACAGTACAGGTGAATAACAACGGACCATTCACGGAACGCCTCATACACGCTGCTGCTGCGTGTACAATCGGTCAGGACGGATGGTTCACGCAGAACGAACCGTACACGTGACACCGGAATGCTTCGTACGTGACCTGCGAGCTGAATTGTGTGGTGGAAAAGCACGGAGAAAACTAAAAGATGATGCTGTACCCAGTATATTTGATTTTTCGGAGTACCAAAATGCGACAGTAAATGCCAGAGCGCTGCCGACGAGAGTCTTACCTGTAGGATGTGTGCATGATGCGGCCGTCGAAAGGAAGAAGAGAGCAGCTTCTAGAGCCCAAAATAAGTTCGTAGCAGAATTACGTTGTCGAATTTTTTGGTTATGTTAGTGAAAACTTTAATATTAACATGATAGTGGACTCAAACTTTTACTCGACATACTGCTGCACTGATCACGTGTAAGGCGGAAGTAGCGAGGTAAGTTGCAGAGGTGTGAAATGCAGTGTCCGCTGCTATCAGTCCGATATCTTTGGCCTTTTGTCCACTGACCTGGCTCTCCCGGAATGACACTGGTAAACTGCATGGGTGTGAAAAATAATGTTAGCTGTCACACCTGCATTATAAGGTAAATTTCTCTTATCAGTCGGGATAAGAACGTTCAGCCGACGCGACAGATGGGCATGTGTGAAAAACTATGTTCGCTGCCCTGCTTCCAAACCTTTCCTGTTAACATAGTTTTGGTGTATTTTGTTGGTAAATAAATGATAACCATGTAGGGAATTCATCTTCTTTTGTGTATTTATCTTCAAAAGTTTGAATTTATAAATGATCATGTAGTAATCAATTGCGTGTATCACTTTTAGTTTGCACTGCTAGCAAGCGGATAGCTGAATCGAATATGGCTTTCTGAGCAAGTGACGTCACTCGCCTCAAAGCGCCACCACGCGGGAGTATCATAAACTAAATTTACACCTGCATAAAATCGGCTTTAAAAACTAAATAAACGTAAGAACTTTTTTTCATTACTCAAAAATGACTTTTGGGCACCTAATGGATATATAGTTTTAACCCGTTTTTTCATCACAGTATACCTTTAAAATATTTAAGACAGGTGGTCATAAATTTGACATGTATGACTTTGAATCCAACCTGTCCAACAAAACCATTTCTTTCCCATATATACCTCTCAGTGAAGTTTGTAAATTAATATGTGAAATTATGAATGTATTATTTTACCAAGATGTTCATTCAAACTGGGCCAGGAAAATGCACCCTAAAGTGAATTTATTCTTCTATGAAAAGTCATACCTGTAAACTCCTAAAGATTAAATCTTCCATAGAAATGTGATTTAGCATCATTTCTATCATAAATCAGCATGAAATCGACATTTGAAAACATTTCTAAAAAGCAACTTCTAACTGGATCGGCCCAACAATATTTAATTAGAGACTATTCCTACAGATATTTAGATTGATCTATCCCTCTGTGGCCTTATGTCCCACACGGGATGAAGAGCATTGATGATGATTGATGATCCCCCTGGGGAGTCTCACTAGATTGCCGTCACTCAGCCTGTCAGCTTAACTGGCTTAAATGTCTGTCCCACCTACTAAAAGCTGTAAGGGGGTAATTAACTTTTGTGCACGCTCGTTTCCCGAAAGCTGAAAGCAATTTAGCATCAACCTCCAGAGAGTTAGGTTGATCGACATGGATCGATCTAAAGCTGTGGGAACCCAGTTTTCTCTAACTGTTTGTCTCTAACAGCTTCAGTGGGTGTGTGAGACTATTAAGCCACTTAAGTTGTTTAGTGAGAACCCCCTGGAGATAGAGCGATCCAAAGTTAGTACGACAGTCTCTGGGAATAATTTCTATATGATCGAGCTGTTACTGATGGGCTGAAAATTCCCTGTGATCTCATGCCCGATCTCATTGGTCCAATAACCTCTAGTGTGTGTGTGCCAAAAGTGACCCCCGACATGACCAAAATACATGCCAATGCTATTCTAAGAACTTTCCTTTCCATGAGGTACAGCTGCAAAACAGACTAGTATGTCTGTGTCCCAGATTTAAGCGCTATTTAGGAATATTTTGACAGGCTTTCAAAGATGATTACCCATTTTGTTGCTACCCAGTATCATGGATGTGCAGATATTCACTTATGAGTCATACACTCATTCTGAACCTGAACGTTAAAACTTCACATACTGGTCAATGTAATGTAATGAGATCGAAGAGAGTCAGCAAAGAATCTGAATTTGTAACATGTTTTAACATTAAAATAGTTATATATTAGTATAATAGTATCACAAATACTCACCCTTCCTGGATTGAGCGATCGATTGCGGACACCGTGCTCCTTTCTCTGTGAGCAGTAAAAAATGACAAAAAAGTAATAAAAAAAAAAACAGACAGAATTATTACGGCGGACAATGCAAAATTACTTACTGATGTAACTGACCAAAAGTTGAATGATTTTTGAATGGGCAATCGTGCGAAAAACACTATTTAAATGGACGCCCTATTTTTTAAAATACTGTATCAGTCCACTGTTTGTTTACATGGTGTAGGCAACCCACGTGGTTTCTATTTGGCGCGAAAATACAATACGTTGGTCTAGCACAGGATTCAAACGACTGGCCATGAAATTGACAAAGCCTACCAATTTTTAAATGTCCCCGACCTATATTACTCCCTTTCCCAAACCCAGTATAGGCCTACTTCTATGGTTTGACTGACTACGCGAGTTTTAATTAGCAGCGTGGTGGAGAGTAGACTGGGAAGCAGTAATTACTAATTACGTTTGGCTTTTTGCCAAGATGTGATTAGTGCTACAGCATGTACTTCTCTATTGACGTCACGTACATGACAATTAGAAGTCAGTGTGGTCTTTGTCTGGTCATCTACAACATGTCACATTTTAGTCACATGACCTAGAGGGCACTGCGTAGTATAAAATCAGTATTCGCGCCACTCTTTTGTTCATTCATGACCTGGTGGCGAAGAAGAAGAGAGATACGGGAGCTGTTTGTTGGAACATGTAAACTACGTACGTGTAAGTAAGGACGTTGTCGCACTTCTTGAATCGCCTTGACGGGGTCATGGATTAGTTTGAAAATGCTTAAGTCAGCTCCAGTTTTAGGGCATTATGAAGAATTCTGGGCAATAAGAAAATGTTGTTCCGTGTGGTTTTCAGATTCATTTGCCGATCAATGAAACAACCAAGCGTCGTCGACACTTGGATTTCCCGCCAATTAAATTTCCGTGTGAAATGTAGTGAGGGCGTTCAGCAGTTGTGGATTTGCATAGGTTTGAATGTATTGTGTTGTAAAATACTCTCAAGCGAAGAACTTGATTTGTTTGGTCCACTTTGATGTACACAGGTAAGCAATGTCACTTGGACTTAAATTTTAAATGATGTGGTTTGGTTTTCATGTTACTTTGAATTTGAGTAATTGAAATTTTGTTCCTCATTGACTAAAGCATTGTTGTTTTCAAGTAATTGATTTCTATGGCTATCTTTGGTTACACCCAATTTGATACAAGTTGTTGTTTTAAGGTAATTGATTTGTTTCATCCACTTTGTCACTTCAACATTGACTTCAAATGATGTTGCTGATTTGCTTTTTATAATTTGGTTTAAATGCCACTTTGAATTTAAATAATTTATTTTTTCTTTCAATTTTCAATTAAGTAATATTATTTTATACTGAATGTCACTTTGAATTCAAGTAGTTGATTAGTTTCGTTCACTTTGATTAAGGTTAAATCAATTTAAATTAAAATTCCAAGTTAATGATTTACTTAGTAAAGTTTGATTTAAGTAATGTCACTTTGAATTCAAATAACTGATTTGCTTAGTATATTATTATATTATATTATATATTAGTATATTTTGATATTAGTAATGTCACTTTGAATTCCTTTAATTGATTTGTTTGGTCCACTTTGATTTGAGTAATGTCAATTTGAACTTAAGTAACTGATTTGCTAAGTATAGTTTGATATTAGTAATGTTCACTCTGAATTCCTGTAATTGATCATCTTTGTTGACTTTAAGTAATGTCCACTTTGATTTAAGTAATGTCAATTTGAATTCTTATAATTGATTTGCTTAGTATAGTTTGATATCAGTATTGCAATTTTGAATTTGTGTAATTGATCATCTTTGTTGACTTTAACTAATGTCAATTTCATGTCAAGTAACTGATTTGCTTAGTATAGTTTGATACAGTAATTTCACTTTGGATTAAAGTAACTGATTTCCTTAAGTATAGTTTGATTTAACTACTGTCACTATGAATTCCATTAATTGTTTGTTTCACTTCAATTTCAGTACCGTTACTTTCATTTCATGCAATTGCTCTGCTTGGTCCACTTTGATTTGAGCAATTTCAACTTGAATTCAGGTAATTTTGTTTATCATAATTGATACAAGTAAAGTCAAGTAACTGATTTGCTTACTATAGATATAGATTTAAGTAATGTCACTTTGAATTCCTGTAATTGATTCTTTGGTCCACTTTGATTTAAGTAATGTCACTTTGAATTCTTGTAATTGATTCATTTGGTCCACTTTGATTTAAGTAATGTCACTTTGAATTCTTGTAATTGATTCATTTGGTCCACTTTGAATTAAGTAATGTCAATTTGAATTCCTGTAATTGATTCGTTTGATCTTCTTTGACATAAGTAATGTCACTTTGAATTCCTGTTACTGTTCATCTTTGTTGATTTTAAGTAATGTCCACTTTGATTTAAGTAATGTAACTTTGAATTCAAGTAACTGATTTGCTTAAGTATAGTTTGATTTAACTACTGTTACTGAATTCCATTAATTGTTTGTTTCACTTCAATTTCAGTACCGTCACTTTCATTTCATGCAATTGATCTGCTTGGTCCACTTTGATTTGAGCAATTTCACCTTGAATTCAGGTAATTGGTTTGTTTATCATAATTGATACAATTAAAGTCAAGTAACTGATTTGCTTAGTATAGTTTGATATCAGTAATGTCACTTTGAATTCTTGTAATTGATTTGCTTAGTACAGTTTGATATCAGTAATGTCACTTTGAATTCCTGTTATTGATCTGTTTGGTCCACTTTGATTTGAGTAATGTCTCTTTAAGCTCCTGTTATTGATCATCTTTGTTGACTTTAAGTAATGTCAATTTCATTTCAAGTAACTGATTTGCTTAGTATAGTTTGATACAGTAATTTCACTTTGGATTAAAGTATCTGATTTGCTTAAGTATAGTTTGATTTAACTACTGTTACTGAATTCCATTAATTGTTTGTTTCACTTCAATTTCAGTACCGTCACTTTCATTTCATGCAATTGATCTGCTTGGTCCACTTTGATTTGAGCAATTTCACCTTGAATTCAGGTAATTGGTTTGTTTATCATAATTGATACAATTAAAGTCAAGTAACTGATTTGCTTACTATAGATATAGATTTAAGTAATGTCACTTTGAATTCCTGTAATTGATTTGTTTGGTCCACTTTGATTTAAGTAATGTCACTTTGAATTCTTGTAATTGATTCATTTGGTCCACTTTGAATTAAGTAATGTCAATTTGAATTCCTGTAATTGATTCGTTTGATCTTCTTTGACATAAGTAATATGTCACTTTGAATTCCTGTTACTGTTCATCTTTGTTGATTTTAAGTAATGTCCACTTTGATTTAAGTAATGTCAATTTGAACTCTAGTAACTGATTTGCTTAGTAAAGTTTGATATCAGTAATTTCACTTTGAATTCCTGTAATTGATTCATTTGGTCCACTTTGATTAAAGTAATGTCACTTTGAATTCCTGTAATTGATTCGTTTGGTCCACTTTGATTTAAGTAATGTCACTTTGAATTCTTGTAATTGATTTGCTTAGTATAGTTTGATATCAGTAATGTCCACTTTGAATTCTTGTAATTGATTCATTTGATCCACTTTGATTTAAGTTATGTCTATTTGAACTCGAGTAACTGATTTGCTTAGTATAGTTTGATGTCAGTAATGTCACTTTAAATTCCTGTAATTGATTCATTTGGTCCACTTTGATTTAAGTAATGTCGCTTTGAATTCTTGTAATTGATTCATTTGGTCCACTTTGATTTAAGTAATGTCAATTTGAAGTTGAGTAACTGATTTGCTTAGTATAGTTTAATATTAGTAATGTCACTCTGAATTCCTGTAACTGATCATCTTTGTTGACTTTAAGTAATGTCAATTTCATTTCAAGTAACTGATTTGCTTAGTATAGTTTGATATGAGTAATTTCACTTTGGATTAAAGTAACTGATTTGCTAAAGTATAGTTTGATTTAACTACTGTCACTGAATTCCATTAATTGTTTGTTTCACTTCAATTTCAGTACTGTCACTTTCATTTCATGCAATTGATCTGCTTGGTCCACTTTGATTTGAGCAATTTCACCTTGAATTCAGGTAATTGGTTTGTTTATCATAATTGATACAATTAAAGTCAAGTAACTGATTTGCTTAGTATAGTTTGATATCAGTAATGTCACTTTGAATTCTTGTAATTGATTTGCTTAGTACAGTTTGATATCAGTAATGTCACTGAATTCCTGTGATTGATCTGTTTGGTCCACTTTGATTTAAGTAATGTCTCTTTAAATTCCTGTTATTGATCATCTTTGTTGACTTTAAGTAATGTCAATTTCATTTCAAGTAACTGATTTGCTTAGTATTGTTTGATTTCAGTAATGTCACTTTGAATTCCTGTGATTGATCTGTTTGGTCCACTTTGATTTAAGTAATGTCTCTTTAAATTCCTGTTATTGATCATCTTTGTTGACTTTAAGTAATGTCAATTTCATTTCAAGTAACTGATTTGCTTAGTATAGTTTGATTTCAGTAATGTCTCTTTAAATTCCTGTTATTGATCATCTTTGTTGATTTTAAGTAATGTCCACTTTAAGTAATGTCAATTTGAATTCCTGTAATTGATTTATTTGGTCCACTTTGATTTAAGTAATGTCACTTTGAATTCTTGTAATTGATTCATTTGGTCCATTTTGATTTAAGTAATGTCAATTTGAATTCCTGTAATTGATTCGTTTGATCTTCTTTGACATAAGTAATATGTCACTTTGAATTCCTGTTACTGTTCATCTTTGTTGATTTTAAGTAATGTCCACTTTGATTTAAGTAATGTAACTTTGAATTCAAGTAACTGATTTGCTTAAGTATAGTTTGATTTAACTACTGTTACTGAATTCCATTAATTGTTTGTTTCACTTCAATTTCAGTACCGTCACTTTCATTTCATGCAATTGATCTGCTTGGTCCACTTTGATTTGAGCAATTTCACCTTGAATTCAGGTAATTGGTTTGTTTATCATAATTGATACAATTAAAGTCAAGTAACTGATTTGCTTAGTATAGTTTGATATTAGTAATGTCCACTTTGAATTCCTGTCATTGATTCATTTGGTCCACTTTGATTTAAGTAATGTCAATTTGAACTCGATTAACTGATTTGCTTAGTATAGTTTGATATGAGTAATGTCCACTTTGATTTAAATAATGTCAATTTGAACTTGAGTAACTGATTTGCTTTGTATAGTTTGCTATGAGTAATGTCACTTTGAATTCCTGTAATTGATTAACTTGGTCCAATTTGATTTAAGAAATGTCACGTGAATTACTGCAATTGAATTCAAGTAACTAATTTGCTTTGAATTTATATAACTGATTTGTTTAAGTAATGTCACTTTGAATTCCTGTAATTGATTCGTTGTCGACTTTAAGTAATGTCCACTTTGATTTGAGTAATGTCAATTTGAACTCGAGTAACTGATTTGCTTAGTATAGTTTGATTTCAGTAATGTCTCTTTAAATTCCTGTTATTGATCATCTTTGTTGATTTTAAGTAATGTCCACTTTCATTTAAGTTATGTCAATTTGAACTCGAGTAACTGATTTGCTTAGTATAGTTTGAAATCAGTAATGTCATTTTGAATTCATGTAATTGATTTGCTTAGTAGTGTGATATTAGTAATGTCACTTTGAATTCTTGTGATTGATTTGTTTGGTCCACTTTGATTTAAGTAATGTCACTTTGAATTCTTGTGATTGATTTGTTTGGTCCACTGTCATTTAAGTAATGTCACTTTGAATTCCTGTTATTGTTCAGCTTTGTTTATTTTAAGTAATGTCCACTTTGATTTAAGTAATGTCACTTTGAATTCTTGTAATTGATTCGTTTGGGCCCCTTTGATTTAAGTAATGTCACTTTGAATTCTTGTAATTGATTCGTTTGGGCCCCTTTGATTTAAGTAATGTCAATTTGAATTCTTGTAATTGATTTGCTTAGTATAGTTTGATATCAGTAATTTCACTTTGGATTAAAGTAACTGATTTGCTTAAGTATAGCTTGATTTAACTACTGTCACTGTGAATTCCATTAATTGTTTGTTTCACTTCAATTTCAGTACCGTCACTTTCATTTTATGCAATTGATCTGCTTGGTCCACTTTGATTTGAGCAATTTCACCTTGAATTCAGGTAATTGTTTTGTTTATCATAATTCATACAAGTAAAGTCAAGTAACTGATTTGCTTCATATAGTTTTACATTAGTAATGTCACTTTGAATTCCTGTAATTGATTCATTTGGTCCACTTTGATTTAAGTAATGTCACTTTGAATTCCTGTTATTGTTCATCTTTGTTGATTTTAAGTAATGTCCATTTTGATTTAAGTAATGTCAATTTGAATTCCTGTTATTGATCATCTTTGTTGATTTTAAGTAATGTACACTTTGATTTAAATAATGTCAATTTGAATTCCTGTAATTGATTCATTTGATCCACTTTGACTTAACTAATGTCAATTTGAAATCGAGTAACTGATTTGCTTAGTATAGTTTGATATCAGTAATGTCACTTTGAATTCCTGTACTTGATTCATTTGGTCCACTTTGATTTAAGTAATATGTCACTCTGAATTCTTATAATTGATTCATTTTGTCCACTGTGATTTAAGTAATGGCACTTTGAATTCTTGTAATTGATTTGCTTAGTAGTGAATTTGTGTAATTGATAATCTTTGACTTTTAGTTGTGTTCACTTTAAGTAATGTCAATTTGATGTCAAGTAACTGATTTGCTTAGTATTGTTTGATATTAGTAATGTCCACTCTGAATTCCTGTAATTAATCATCTTTGTTGACTTTAAGTAATGTCCACTTTGATTTAAGTAATGTCAATTTGAACTTGAGTAACTGGTTTGCTTAGTATAGTTTGTTATCAGTAATGTCACTTTGAATGCTTGTTATTGATTCATTTGGTCCACTTTGATTTAAGTAATGTCACTTTAAATTCTTGTAATTGATTCATTTGGTCCACTTTGATTTCAGTAATATCACTTTGAATTCAAGTAACTGATTAGCTTAGTAAAGTTTGATATCAGTAATGTTAATTTGAATTCCTGTAAATGATCATCTTTGTTGACTTGGATTTAAGTAATGTAAATTTGAACTAGAGTAACTTATTTGCTTACTTTGTATTCCAAAAATTAATTTGTTTGGTCCGCTTTGTTTTCAGTGCCATCACTTTCAATTCAAATGATTGATTTGATTGATTTGTGCAATATCACTTTGAATTCAGGTAATTGATTTGTTTATTATAGATGTTCTTTGAATTGAAGAAAATTGATTTGTTAAGTATACACTGCAATCTGAATTTAGGAATTGATTTGTTTGGTTGTCCTTGATTTAAGTACTGTCACAATTTATTTGATCCATTTTGATTTAAAAAGTAATTGATTTGAATTCTCATTCTTAATATGCCAGTCTGTACTTTGATTTAAGATAACTAATTATGACATTTGATGAGATAAGACAGAGTTGCCTGGTTGCATATAATAGGAAAAGAAAGTTGTATAAAAACACAATGCATATGTAGTGACAAAACTTTAATTTTATCTTCCTCAGGTTCCTGGCACAATACCGGACTATAGGCATCGCTGTTAGTGAAAATGCTGGCCTTGATTGCATAAAAAGTGGGGCTTTAGCGCCTGGTGGACTCTGTAGCAATTGCAATTATTCTTCTTTGATGAGTGCATCAGCATGTAGAGTGTGGTTTATGTTTAGCTGGATGGTAGACTACATCCTAGGTAGTCAACTACCATTGAATTAGTTCAAGCTTCTTGATGGCAGAAAAGAACATAATAACCTAGGATTACCAAAGACTGTATATATACTTGTATGAGAAAAGCTATAAAGACACTTTTGAGATGTTTTTAAAAAAGAAACTGCTCTAATTCTTTTAGCAGCCTGGACATTTTTAGGACATGCATTTATGTATTTTAGTCATTCTCTGCTGCTAGGTTAATTGGTCATTTTATATTTTATATGTAGTCAATGGTTATTGTAGTATATCATATTAAGTATAGTAATTTTAAGTTCAAATTTAATTTAAATTTAAACTTAAATTAGATGTCTGAAAAGAAAAAAAACCAACAAACATTGTCTAAAAAAGAACTACATGATTTGAATTCTCAATATAAGTGCTACAAGACTAAATGCCAAAACCAAATAACATATAAACACGATAAAATTAAAAAAAAAAAAAAGAACAAAGTACTTCATAATTTGACACTATAAATTCTCAATACAGCTGACATTATAAAAAGTTACACAATGCCAAAACCAAATAAAATTTTAACACAAACTAAAAAAAGCAAACGGTACTGTATGATTTGACACTATAAATTCTCGATTTAACTGACATTATAAAAAGCTACAAAACTAAATGCCAAAACAAAAAATTTTAACATGATAAAAAGAAAAAGGACAAAACAGCTGACATTATAAAAAGCTACAAAATGCCAAAACCAAATAAAATTTTAACACAAACTAAAAAAAGGTACTGTATGATTTGACACTATAAATTCTCAATTTAACTGACATTATAAAAAGCTACAAAACTAAATGCCAAAACAAAAAATTTTAACATGATAAAAAGAAAAAGGACAAAATGGCTGACATTATAAAAAGCTACAAAATGCCAAAACCAAATAAGATTTTAACACAAACTAAAAAAAGCAAAAGGTACTGTATGATTTGACACTATAAATTATCAATATAACTGACATTATAAAAAGCTACAAAACTATGACAAAATCAAATAATGTTAACACAAACTAAAAAAAGCAAAAGGTACTATATGAATTGACATAAATTCTCATTATAACTGACATTATTAAAAGCTACAAAACTAAATGCCAAAACAAATCGAAATTTTAACACAATAAAACTAAAAGAAAATACATGATTTGACACTATAAATCCTCAATATAACTGACATTATAAAAAGCTACAAAACTAAATGACAAAATCAAGTAAAATGTTAACACAAAACTAAGAAAAAGCAAAAAGCAATACATGATATGACACTATAAATTCTGACACTATAAATATAACTGACATAAAAGCTACAAAACTTTAACACAATAAAACTATTCCAAATGAACTACATGTACATATAACTCGATACAATAATAGATGTCTGGACCAAGTCTATACAACATTTAAATGATCAGTGAACGTCCTAAAACATCAAAAATAATATAAAGTTGTGTTGTTCTTGTATTATGTCTTGTTGTTTTTGCAGTTTATTTAAAGTAAGATGAATAATTTGTAAAGATTTTTTTAAAATTATTGATGTATTGTTCATAATTCATTTTTCTCATTTATGCACAAAGTAATAATTGAAACCAAATTTATTATTTATAAAGACTTATTTTATATGGGAATTGATTATAGAGCCAATAAACATATCCATCTTTGTCACATTCAAATCTTGTGATGATTACTTATTAAGAATTGGTTGTAATTGAATGGCTATATACTTTTGAATATACAAGTTAATTTGTGTTCATCATAGATTGTTTATGCATGAGTTTCGATGGACTTGCTTACCCAGAATTATTACGGATGAGAAATAATTTAATCAAATGTTGAATAGGTGTTCAATAGGTTTTTATTTGGTGACACGGGTTACAATATTCCAATAATAATTAATGGTGCACAAGACAGGCAATGCCTTATTTTCCGTGTTAATTAATTTTAATACTGTAAATGGCACTTAAAATTTCCATATATATAATTTCTTTCACAGACGTGTGCACGAGATCATAGTGAAGTTTGATAGGGGTCATGCCGATATGTCCCCGCACCGATATTCATCTAGTAAATTTTTGCATAATGCGCACTGAACCGATACATCCCCTGTAAATCACACTTGTGTCAGTATTTTGAAGAAAATAAAAGAAAATAAAGACATATTGGACATGCATTTTATTCGAACTGATCAACAAGTAACAATGTAATATGTTGCCTTGTGCATGTATTCAGAAAAGTTTTTTTGAAGTTGAAGTTCTTCTATTTCTCTTTTTCTCCTTATGATTGTTGTCAGCATTTTTTTTTTTTTTTTTGGGGGGGGGGGGGGGGGGACACCCAGCACATCTTGCACTTGTGTATCGGTGCGCAGTTAGTCCCCATTGTCGTTTCACGCGAAAAAGATGTATCAGGGAGGCACGTGGAAATAGATGCTGTTTTACATATGCTTACTAGTACAAAATGCAGGTTTCTAATCCCAATAATGTTAAAATATACAACCTCAGTGCTGGAAAATCGCTACCAGAGGTAAGTTCTTGGAAGAAGCCGAAAACCGTGAGTGGTCTAGCCATTAACGTAGTTTATAAGCCAATTTATTTGCCTCAGTTTTCGGCCTTACATGATAGTTTCTAACGGCAGCTATAAGACCTCATAACACCCCTTGATACAAACTCTCCGTGCTATAAAATATCCAAAACCTTGGGTAATTGTGTGTCCTCTGTCGCACTTTGACGCATATCATTCGCAAATATTCATTGGGTCTGAGATTGAGAGATTACTACTGTACACGTCCACTTGTAGCACGAAATTTATGCGTTAACATTCCAATTTTGATATCTAAGCTGTGATAAGGCATGAAAGCAAAGACCTTAAAAGGTGCGTAATGAGGGTCAGTTGCCAAACCAGCCTTGGGGTGGGAGCTCTCAAATTATTATCTCACCTCATATCTCCTCGGGCTCAGTATTAACTGGCACACTCCTGTAAATTCTACCAGTTTTCCTATCAATAGAGCTGAGAGTAGTATCCAACTGCTTATTTACTAGTTAGGCCATTGTGAAATTAAGTACCCGGAAAACTAAGCCAAAAAGACTTCTGAATGTGTGAGGTAGGTCAAATAATGACCCAATGTTTTTCCCTCCAAAAATCACCCTATTGTGCTGAATCAAGTTCAATGTAAGTTCCACAAGCAACATGATTATATACAAAGATTTCCAGGTGGTGAAACAATTTCTAACAAATTTCTCACAAGAAGATGTCTTTTCATCATAAACATTCTCCCTGGGTAAAAGATTTCACGACAATCGAACTGATAAACAAGCAGATGCATGAGTATTTACTTACTCCTAGCTCTGTTGATGGAAATACTGGTTGCCTTTACAGAAGAGTGTGAGTTGAGGTGATGAGAGGTAAGATAAAAATTTGAGAGCCCCCCCACCCGAGACCTTTTACTTTCATGTGATAACACAGCTCTGATTTTAAAGTTGTGAGTAGGAGTGCTAAGACATGAATTTTGTGCTACTCTGCTTGTTTCCACATACTGGCATAATCACCAGCTTTTCTGTATTCTACCTTATAAGTGACAGGGGGTGTATTAATCTTTTTATCTAATTACATTCAGCGAGAGTTCCGATGGCATTGGATCAATCTAAGTAGAATAATATTTTCATTAGATAATACTTTCATTAGTTATGAGCCCTAAAACAACATCTTGGGCAATTTTTGCAATTCTAATAAATGTTAACCTAAACAGTACCTTTTTCATCTTTGTAGTGGTTATCAGACAGAAAGAAAAGGTCACTACAGAAGAATGACATAGGTATGTATGAAAATATATTGGGGATGCCTTGCTTTTGACTGGAATAGTGGTTTTGTATTGCAGAGTTGGATCTATTTATGTAGACCAATGGTGTTCATGGAAATGCGCCAAAGAGTACATGGAGAACAAAATGGTGCTTAGACTTGTTCGGATTCAAACTTCGTACCAGCTGGATCAATCGAATTCTGCTGGGGATTCTCACAAAATAGCATTCAGGGTAATCGGCTAAACTGTCTGACAACCCTGCTGTAGGAGGTAGTTGGCTTTCATGTGTGCTCATCCTAATTATCCGTTAGCCGGAAGAAGAGGCATGTCAGACATAAAGGCCTATTACAGTGATTGCTTCTAGGGAGAATCTCCTACCGAGTTGGTTCATTCCAGCTTGTACACTGGCTTGATCTGAACCCTCCTCTATAAATTTTTTCATCACACTGTTTGTTTGAAAGTTATGACCCCAAGTAGCCAGAAAACAAATGAATAAAAGCTTTCAGTTATTGAAAAATAAATGAGGCAGTTTTGTACTCCTTTTCTGTGGGTACACAATACTGTAAAGGTTTTACTGATAGCTACCATAACGGCTGATATAATCTTTAAACTGCAAATATTTTTTTTGCCTGAAAACACAGCTATTACATCTGTTGGAAGATTGTAGACCAGGAATTTAGGAAAAGCTTATGACATACAATAGTATTTTTCTTATTATTTGTTCCTGGTAACAGTATTAATTCTGGTCTTTGTGAAGCTATATCTCGCCTTGTTGCCACATCAAAATATTTTGGAAAAAGAGTATCTTTGTTTCTGTTGATACCCTGTTCAGAGTTACATGGTGCATTGAATACAATTGCATATTCAGCATTTTTTTCTGTTTACTGCCATAACTAAGTATATTTTGTGAGTTTTAGACATGCTGGTTGTTTCATTAAGTTAATGCAGTACAAATTATGACACAACTTGCAAATGGTTATTTACCATAACATTTATACCAGGACTTATTATATTGTTTGTAATTTTTATTATTATTATTATTATTTAGATCTAAGGAGGAGAATCAATTTGATACAGGACTTTGAGATGCCCACTGTGAGCACCAATGTAGCAGTTACTCCAGATAAACAGTATATATTTGCAGCAGGTAAAAGCATATTTCATTACAAGACTAGAAAAAAGATTGCATCTGCTCACAAATTTTAGAACAGTTCAGTAATATTTTACCTTTGCAGTTAAAGTTAACTTTTTTTAATGTAAATCTAAAACTTAAACCTTGATGTTTGCATTTTGATTGATTTGCAAGCATTTACAAGCATTTTATTGGCATCTAGATTGTTGTGTGAAATACTTTTCAAGTATTTAGGATAAATTATTAATTTTTCATTGTCACTGATTTCTAAATAAGCTACCATTTCCTGAAAAAAATAGACATTTAGATTGTAGAAGATATGGTTTGATATCTCCAGGTATACTATCCCACATTATAATGCATAAATCAACATTTATCAATTGGTTCCCATGTTGTTGTAGGCGTGTACAAGCCAAGAATTAGGTGCTATGATATGGCACAGATGTCCATGAAGTTTGAGAGGTGTCTGGATGCTGAAGTTATTAAATTCCGCATTCTATCTGAGGACTACTCCAAGGTGTGTAGGAACAGTAGCCCCTATGTTATGATTGAAAATAGTCATTTGAATTTTTTGGCCATTGGTCATATTCAACATGATTTTGAAAAACTGTGTGTATGCTAAAAAGCTGAGTTTCATTTTATCCTGTTTCTTAAAAGCTACTTTGAGACCAGCTGAACAGACAGAGACACTTATGATAATTATTTATTACATTAAAACCCCCCTTTCCTGTGTAGACCCTAGTTGTCAAGGCTGGGTACTGACACAATTAATAATTATATAACAACACACATTGGTTCTTTGCAATTGTCACCTTTAAGAGAGTTAAAAAAAGAAGTTAATAGAGGAATCCAATCCCTCAGCCATGTTTAGAGGTAAACCACTGCCCCACTCAAGCTGAAATATCTATTGTCAACATATTGTGGTTCGGTTGGCACTTGAACAATGTTGGTTAAACCTACACATTACCTTGCTTACTATAGGTTGTGTTCCTTCAAGATGACAGATATGTGGAGTTTCACAGTCAGATGGGGAGATACTTCAGGACAAGGATACCTAAGTTTGGCAGGGACTTTCACTATCATTATCCGTCCTGTGATTTGTTCTTTGTTGGTGCTAGGTCAGTATGTTGTTATTGAAATAATTATTTAATTAGAAAATAGTCTCATTTTTTGCCCTTTCTTCTTGCTGGTGTATTTTTTGTGCCATGTTTACTTAATCTGTTTTTTTGTTTTATCCTGAATGCTCTGTGAATTTTTGCATTTTCTCCATAAATGAACCTACAGATGAACCTCTTGATTTTTAAGAGTTTTCTTCCTCAGTACACAAAACACAAGTGGTTTCAAGAACTTAATATTATCTTAGTATTTTTAAAGCATTTTAACTACAAAATTTGCAAGTTTTCATTTAAAATAGCCAGTGTAGTATGTTGTTTCTTGCAAAGTTGGTGGAGTATACAGGTGCATAATTATTGACATCTTCTTTCAGTCCAGAAATTGTCAGACTAAATCTGGAGCTGGGGAGATTCATGTCACCCTTGAAGACAAATGCTGTGTGAGTGACCTGTGGTCAAAACTTTCATGTCAAAGTTACATATTATAATAGCCAATTACATATAAATTAGTTATATGCACTGCTTAATGGAGATCTGGTCATTCATGGCAAATATTGCACAGCATGCCCTGATTTTTATTTCTTTTTTTTTAATTCCTCTGTTTTTTTGTACAACTCATTTTATGTTTGAAGCCAAAGTCACACACTTTTGGTCATTATGTTTCTGATTGAAGTTATTGAAAGTTGCACATGTATTTTCAATGTTCTACAGGGAACTGAATTGCTGTGATATCAATCCTCATCATGGTTTGTTCACTTGTGGGACAACAGAAGTATGTATGCTTTCATTATTATACTATCTTTATTATATTCTGTTTATTAATATGTTTAACATTTTAAATTTAGTCATTAGAATGTTTTCTTAGGGACTTTCTATCTTTAATGAGCACTTAAAGTATTTGTGCTGTCCCTGTTATTAAATATTATTATTATTATTATTATTATTATTATTATTATTATTATTATTATTATATTTTGTACATTGTTTTATGTTTTTCTTTAAATTTAATTAAAATGTTAACGTTTTACAGTAACTACTGAAAGAATTTTAACTCTGTTATAAGTTTTTAGTAATAGTTAAAATAAGAATGGTTTAATTTTTAGTCAAGCTTTGGAACACATTAAAAAGATAATAATTTTAGTGGAACCCAATCTGACATTATTTTTGATTAAAAGGGCAAAGTTGAGTGTTGGGACCCAAGGACCAGAAATCAAGTTGGTCAGCTAGATTGTGCCATTGGAAGCATAGTTCAGGAGCTTGAGTAGGTGCAAACACTGTAGCATAATTGAAATGTTATGTTTAAATGTGATAAAATTACAATAAAAAATTAAAACGATATTTACTCTCAAAGCATGGCTGCTTTTTTCACATTGTGAGCTTCTCTTATTTGTGGAGGCTAAATTGGATTATATTAGTTTGAATGTTATTTTGAATGTTATTTTTGAGGTGTAATTTCCTGTTAATCCTGAATGTGAGATTGTTTATTACAAATAAATCTTTGATGTGTTATTTTATTTTGGCCTGTTCTTTTTAAACAAAAATTTAAGATGGTTAAGTGTTTTTCAGATTAGAGGGTGTTCCAGAAATAACTTCCCTGAAGTATAGAGATGCATTGACTCTTGCAGTGGGCACATCTGCTGGACATGTAAGCACACTATTTCTTATGAATTTTCAAATTGATTAGATGATCTTTGTGTTGTAACTTGGTTCAAAGTTTTACAAGGTCAATAAAGAGACAAGTGATGTCTGGCGATAGTTGTAAAAATATTGCAGAAAAGTTGCTTAAGAAATATGAGTTTTTTTTACAAAAACCTTGATGTCATGTTTGATGTTCAGATGATGTTTTGTGTGTCAGATTAAAAATATATTTGTTTAATGTCATTTACTTTTTGAAGCTAATTTTGTCTTGATGGTATAATTTGTTTATGGAGTGGGATGAGGGAACATTGTTGCTCTCACTTTAGTTATCTGGATTCTTATTGCACACTACTATTGGGAGTTAGACTATTTGGAGTATCTTTTCAAGATTATAATGCATTTTTTCTTGTAATTAACAACATGAACCTTTTCTTGCTAGTATTTTTCGATAACCGTGTGTTGCCCATGTCTGTGAGTTCAGATTTCACTCTCCGCTCTCAGTGGTGATAATGTCAAATAAAAACATAGCACCATTCATTCACGTTTACCATTGTATTTTGCAGATCCTGTTGTATGACATAAGATCAGACAAGCCCCTATTGGTAAAGGACCACCAGTACGGCCTACCTATCAAATCTATTGCTTTCCACGAAGGCCTGGATGTGGTACTCTCCATAGACAGCAAGATTCTCAAACTCTGGCACAGAGACACTGTAAGTTAATCAAGATATTCATACAATACACAGTTTGTTGAACTCATTTAAGATACTGGATTCAATGTTATTTGCCATTTCTAATGAAATATCTTGGATTTAAACGATTCATGATTCAGTGAGACTGACATGCCTTTCAGAAATTTCATGTATTAGGATAATTTATTATATCAGTTAAAGTGTTGGTAGGAACATTTATTTTCTAAAGATTATGTATCAAGTGTAATAATTTAATTTTGCAATTTCAGGGTAAACCTTTTACTTCCATTGAGCCTGGTGTGAAACTGAATGACCTGTGTGTTTTCCCAGACTCTGGGCTGCTGTTTATGGCCAACGAGGCTCCTAAAGTGCTCACATACTACATACCTGTAAGTAAACTATATATGATATTGTGAATAGATTTGTACTTCGGATTATGTAAATATTTGTGATATTTTTGTCACATTCAGAAGTTTTGCAAACATATTTGCTCATACTTAAAGATAAACAGGAAGTTTCATGGCAATTTTGAAAAGTATCGGGTCTAGAAATTTGTTGTCATACATGTTTCTCAAAAAATCTTGTCTTGAATGCTGATGAAGCAGGCAGTTTTGGTGTGAGAATAAATTCTGACTGGGTCTTTAAATGATATAAATAATGCATACAATTTTTATCACTTATACAGTCACTGGGCCCTGCACCTAAATGGTGCTCTTTCCTGGACAATCTTACAGAAGAGTTAGAAGAAACGGACGCTCCTCAAGGTAATTGAAGGCCTGTATTTATGTAGTATGTGACAAAGTACTGCCAGAAAGATCATTTTAGCTGACATTTAAAAACAAAAATGTTTACTTCCATTGAAATATTCATCCAGAGTCATTAGCTCCAAATCAGTGACAGGAAATTAGAATTGTCTTATAACAAATGCATAATTTAATTGAAATATTGTGAAGATCATGTGTTGAATAATTACTGTTGCAGTGTATGATGACTACAAATTCTTAACTAGACAAGAGCTTGATGAGCTGGGACTCTCTCATTTGATTGGGTCTAATTTACTGAGGGCCTACATGCATGGTTTCTTCATAGATATCAGGTTATATCACAAGGTAACATTTCCCTAACAAATAGTTTGCTTGAATATTTAATGTAATTATTTGCCAGTATCCTCTTGGAAGAAAAAAGTGAATCTTTACTATTTTTCACTCATGAATTGGTTTCTTTAGTAAGTAATAGTATGATAGAGTTGATGAGAAGATTGTCTCGATGTAACAAAGTGCTGTCATGTTTTATCCTTTGTTTTTTTTTTTAACTCTTAGACTCTTGTCTTTTGATAGGCAAAATCTATAGTGGAGCCGTTTGCTTATTCTGAATATAGAAAGAATAAGATCAAGGAAAAGATTGAAGAAGCAAGAGCTAACAGAGTGAGAGTCAAGGTATGTAGGGTTTTTGAGTATATTTAAATGTGTATCTTTTTCTCTATAGTGCAGTAGTAAAAAGTGAACGGAAATTCAATCCTATTAGTGTATTGAGTGTATTTATTTCAAGAAGACCCTAAGTTTGTTGTTGTTTTGTTTCCAGAAATTACCTAAAGTCAACAAAAATCTAGCTGAGAGGTTGATGGAAGAGCAAGAAGAGCAGCAAAAATCTGGGAAAAAGAAGGGCAAGGTAGTAATTATTAAATAAGTCCCATTTTTAAACGGTGAATAAAGGAGAAGTACCACAACGTAAATCATTTAAAAACTTGTTTATTTTGGATAAAATTTTGTAGATTTGTAATATGCAGTGTATTTTCATATAAGCAGTAGTATAAAGATGAAATATCTTATTGTGTACATTATTCACTGAATTAGTGAAATTTTATGAATATATACCTCAAATAATGGAGTTCTTCATTTATGTGTTTGCAGAAAGAGACTTTCAACTTACTTGGAGATTCACGTTTTGCCGCCATGTTCAGCAATCCCGATTTCCAAGTGGATCCAGAGAGTGAAGAATATCGTCTGCTCAATCCTGTGGTCTCCAAGCTAGAAAAGGATAGAAGGAAAAGACAAGAGAAACAAGAGAGGCTTGCCCAGCAATTTGAAGAAATAAATGTAAGTTTGGCTAGCATTTATATGCCGGTTGATTTTTATTGCATCTTTGCTCAAACATTTTTCTGTTGTAGTTCCCTCTTTAAATTTACTAATATATGAAAACATGCCTTATTTGTCATTTAGCACCTATTATGTTAAATAATTGAAAATCTAAAGCCTGTTGAAGGTTCTATGCTTTGTAGTTTTTTAGAAGACTGAGACAATAAATTATTAGCACAACATGATTGAAATAACTTATTTTCACCCTATGGATACATGACCTGACTGTACGTATTTATACAAATCATTACTCGTCTTTACATCTAGGGAGTATGCGTGCAGTACATTTTCTTACCAATATAACCAGTAAATAAATAGATAGATAGGTAGGTAGACAGACAGATAGATAGATAATAAGAAAGAAAGAAAAGAAAAGATTACTACAGTCTGTTTTTTTCTTTAGGATGAGTTGGAGGGCAGACCAAGCAGTGAGGACAGCAGTTCAGACGATGAACACACCTGGACCAAGGAGTTAAAAAAACAGCACAAACAGCTCTCAGAAGAAGCTAAGGCAAAGAAAAAGAGAGAACGTGAAGAAAGAGAGCTCAAACCAAAATTCTATGAAATCAAAGAAGGAGAAGAATTTCATAGTTTCAAAAGAAAAAAGAAGACATTGAGCAAGTAAGTTCATTGAAAAATTAGGTGATAATCTGGAGTTGATGTACCTGCTGCTGCATCTTATTTGAAATCTGTTGATTACATAATTTCAATAAATGTAAGAGTTAACCTTAACAGTGCATTTCCAGTATAATCGTATTTGCACTGTTTTCTGCAGAAAAACATGAAAACTTTCTTATCTTCCCCTTGAAACAAAAGATGTATTTTGCAAATAAAAATTTATCATTTTTTTATTCAGACGTCTGAAGAAGAAATAATTCAAATGATTTTATTCATTACAAACCAAGATTGGAATATTTTACTATAGACTTGATAACCTTGAAGTGTTTACTGTGTAAGTGTCTATGAAAGGATCATGTGAATAATTCAGATGTTTTTGTGTACTCTTTCATTACAGAAAATCTTTGGCAGAGCGTGTAGCAGATGAAGATTCAAGTGGTATTGTTCGCCATGTTGGATCCTCTCTAGGGGCCAGAGAAATGGTGTTCTCCCTCAAGAAGGTAATTGTGTATCATCAAAGAATAATCTGCAATGATTGTAAATCTTGAATTTATCATCATGCATAGGTAAAACATAGGTAAAAGAATTAAAACACCTTTTTACTTACGTGAGTGAAAATAAAGAATAATGTCCATCTTATAATTTTAGAATGAAAAGGAAAAGCATAAAAGGCGTGAGGCAATAGAACACCATGCAGAAAGAAGAAAACTGAGAAGATCTGCAGGGGACATTGCCGGCAAACAGAAGCCCAAATCAAAGTTCTGGATGGGGAAGAAAGTATCTTGATGGCATGATCAGTATTACATCAGACTCTTGGAACAGAACTATCAAACTATCAAAAGAAACTGTAGAAAGGAATTTTGATGCACATTTTGAATGAGAGATTTCCTTTAATACAGTTATAAGATCCATAACTTGAGCACTAAAGCTGGTCCTGAAGTTGGACAAGGGTAAGGAGACATGCTGTATGTCTGAGTCACCTAAATCTGTACATTGTTAGGAAGAATACTTTGGCCAGACCTATATTTCAAAGGCCCTGGACTGCTTCAATTGCTGAGAGCAACAGGGGCATGAATTAGTCAGCTTTGGATGAGCATGAAAGTGATGGATCAGGTGCTTCCCTAACATCCTCATTATCATCACCATGTCGTGTATACGGGGCCACAGTAATGCTCCAGAACTCTTGATCATTCATGGGGTTTGGAAGTTCTTAAATTTCCTCATGATTGTGTTTTTTGCCACACAGTCTACATAATAATTTTTTATTTTTTTTTTGTTCAATCTTCTTCTGGGTTTTTGAAGTAGTCTTATTAGGCTAGACGCTACAGGCCTGAATTTTTTTTAAAATTTCCTCGGCAATCTATACTCGGTTTGTCACTGTATTATGGTAGACAGATATATGAAGGTTTATTTTAGGGTGGTTGTCCTATAAAACCAATAGGCTGTGACAATAAAAGCGGCGCTTAAGTCAGCAAAAGGTGCAAAAAATCAACATTTTAGCTAGTAGTCCATATGTAATTGACAATGACATAAATTCAAAAGTGATTTGAACCCTGAAAATCCATGAATAAACAGACATTGTCACTTTAAGTAAAATCCCTAAGCTGGCAAGCTAAGGGACAAATAATCATTTTATAATCATAAGTGAAGCAATCTACTTTTCTTTACTACTGTGCCAGATTTGCTTATTTGGCAGTATTTGGACAATGACATTTCTATAAACATTGTTCTTGGAACAATGAAATTTCCCTTATCCATTAACAAATGTTTTTCACAAAAGTCCACACGTGCATAACTTTAATAAATGCTAAAATGCGATACTTCAAAATTGTACAAAAACGAATTTGACCCATTTACATTTTCTTTAAATCATAATATTTATGCAATCATATATTCATGTTCTTAATAAATATTCAATGACACCTTGCAAAATATGATCATTACAACATTTTCAAAGTATCATCATTTTCATCTTCTTCACTGCCTGTGATGCATCCACTGTTCACATACACGTTTTTACATTCCTCCCTGCTCACAGAGGCATGATTGAGTACATGGTAACTTTTTCCCCCTGCAAGGATACAGGTTAACTCTCATGCAACGGGATTTACCGCATTTACAAGCAATTAGTGCCCGAAGTCCATTGGGCACTGGTTTTATGGTCACTAAGAGTGGTTGTAGGATTCCTTTTCCTTCTTGCCATCATTTGTTCAGTGGGGGTGGAAGGTGTTAGAAGGTGACATGACAGTGCTTCCACATTTACACTGGTAGTTTGCCCTCAATATGTCTGATGTAGGTGGTAGTGTTTCACTCTTCTGGTGGTTTTGACAAAACATCCAGTATCGCGCACATTTTCTGCTTCTGATCCAGCTGCTTTGACTCGAGTGTTCAGCAGACAAAAAAAAAGCTTGCTTGCTTTAAGAGTTTGTTAGACTGTTGACTCTACCAAGATTCGCTTGCAGCACAGGGTTCATTCCATGCCTTTTTCTTGCCTATACCGCAACCACTGCTGGAGATATCACCCCCCGTCAGTACATTGAAGCCAGGGAGACCAGAACACGGGTCCCAGATCTTTAGACATGCTGTATATTGGAACTCTGTATATTGGGGTCTTATCTTAAACACCCATTTTGAACCATGCTCATCAATTGCATTGAGCCTAATGCAAGGGTAGCTATAATCACTAAATCTGTATCTGTGGACTGTATAACAACTTTTTTTAACCTGCTGGAAGCTGCATGAAATGCATGTAGGATTTAAAAATTAAACAAGACTTACCTTGGTAAGGTGAAATTTAATTGGGATTCTACCTTATCATATTAAGCATGATGAGATCAAGCAAGATTGCGTGGGCGCACTGGAAGCATCATTCTAAGACATAAAGGTCCATGTGGATAACCAAGGGTGGATAAAGGGTGGGCGCTTGACCTCATCATGCTTATATTTCTTTTCTTGTTGTTACTTGTATTGACAGTTACTGTGGCTGACACTTTATGGGACTTGTTCAGTTCCTCAACAGTCTTTTCCAAATCTTCTCCAAAGGGTAGATTAGTGACAGGCTGCATTTCACTTGCCAGAGACTTGAATTGAGGCTTAATTTAAGTCCTGGTTTTAGTAAGACTTGCTGTCACAAGTCAAGCTCATGCAATTCGTCTGCAGTAAAGGCAATGGCATCATCTAGGAAGTCCGAGATCTGCGTCTTGTCCAGTTTATGGAGGTCATTCTTCAGTCTAACAATGAGTCAGACCCTTTAACAGGGGCTTTTGAATTTTAATTTTGTCAGTTTTTTCTTGATTGAATGCTACTGTCATGTTTACAAAGTCTAAAATTAATCCCAAGTGTTTTAATATTTGTGTTGGTTAGTGACATATTTCTTGGTGTTTATGCACTGGTGCATTCTGTAGACGCTCTCACCTCCCAGGAGAGGATACAGCTCGGCTGCCACATAAGCGCTCAGATATATATCATTTCTGCACTGCCAGACCAGGTCCCTTCTTCAACCCCTTAGTGCTGAGTGCCAAGCGGGGAGACAGCAGGCACCGTTTATAAAGGACTGGTATGTCCCCGGACGGGTTTTGAACCCAAGTCCGAGGCTATCCAGTCAGTTTATTTTATGGAGCTTAACACATTAGAGCAAGAGATTTTACAAGGTGGAAAATATTATGTATATGTATTTAGTATACTTCACAATATTTTCTGTTATTTAGTTAATATTTTTTGTTAGTAAAATAAAATGAATCTTACCACTTGTCTCTATGCCTCCTGGCAAACCATCAAACGCTGGAGTGCCAGCATATATATTTACAATCTTTGATTTAGATGGGCTGAGCTCCTAGGGTGGTGGACCCCCTCCAGTCTGCTTTCTTGCCTTTCTTAGGTTACTGTGTGTCCTTTTCACTGAAGAGACGAGATGTCTCCATTTCTCTCAGCACTCTGTTGCACTTCTCATTGATACAGCAACTGATGACACCTCTTTTGCTATGGTTTTCCACACTTCCACCTTGGCCTTGTTGTCCAAGGTGGAAGTGTGTTTGTTTCTTATTACTGTGTGGTTTTTTTCACACAGTTCAAACAACAGAGATGTCTCTGCGTGGCTCCAATTCGCTTTTCTTTGTCTTTTGCTTGCCAAAGCCGACACCATCTTGCAAGACAGAGAAGCAGACGACAGAACAAGGGTATTGTGGGTAATATATTTCCCAAATATGGTATAGATCACTTCTGTTGTTCGCAACTATCATGGCTTTTACAATGTTTATAGCAACCAATTGCATTATGGGAATGTCTTCTTCCAAATATGGTATTGGATAAAATTCTTATCTACTGGATAACTATCATGCTGTTTATCCAGCATTTATTAAACACAAATTTATACAGAGGATAAATATCCAGAGGATAAGAGATTTATACCTTGGATAGTGTTATCGTGTTATCCATAGGATAGCCTATCCAGCCTTTATGAAACCAGGCCCTGAAGGTTGAAATTATATATATATATATATATATATATATATATATATATATATATACTTTTTATTTATATTTTTTAATGAAATTTATTTAAGTCAGAGAATCCTGGTCATTTTTGGCCTTGGAGCACCCTATAGTCGCTCTCATCTCCCTGGGGAGGATACAGCCCAGCTGCCATATTAGGCGCTCAGAGCTAACAAACGTATCATTTCTCCACTGCCAGACCAGGCCCTCTGTCAAAATTTTCCCCTATCTCTTTTTCAGTATCACAAACTTGCATTCATTGGATTCAAAATTTTGTACAGGCAAGGAATCAAATTCAATTTTATAGATTTTTACTATGTTCAGAACAATCATATCTGAAGTGATTTTTTGCCATTCTGATAAGTGATTCTGTATATTCCCAACATAAAATCTGTAGAAGTAAGAGCAATATCTAGCATGTCACAAGAAGAGGGTCGACTAGACGCTTCTGAAGTTCGCAAACACGTGATGCTTCCAGTGCAAACGCACAATCTCGCAGAATCCAACTTTAGTGCCTTCTTTCATCATCATGGCCCATTTGCTTTATAGGACCACCCTAAAATAAATTGTCATATATCTATCTTAACACACTGTCAAACCTATGTATAGATGATCGAGGTAATAAAAGTTAGTTTGTCTTTTTTCAGAATCAGCATTTAGTCTATGTTCAGAGTACATCAGATGTGAAATGATCATCTGCCCTGTAACAGTGGCCTGTCAGTTTTGCTTTTTTTTCTGCAACTGTTTGAGGAATATCATCATAGATCTATCAGTATGATGTGTATATTAATGTGAGCTATGGATCACTTTATGGTAAAACAAGAATATCTAGTTTTTTTGCGGTCTGATGTTTATTATATGGTGCCAGACTGTAGTGACACCTAAATGTCTGCTAATAATTTTTTTATCTCACTGAATTATATGGGAGCTTTTATAAGTGATAATCCTTACAGATATTGATGTTTAAGCAACAGTTATTTTCATTCATCTATTTATTTATCTGAAAACCTCTATCCATCAAAATTAAAATTGTACCCAGTTTTAACATGTATCAGGAATTGTTAAGGGGTCAAGCTGCAACCTACATTCTTGAACAAAATGAAAGTAGCAAAATAATCATTTCAAGCACTTAGGCCCAATGCAAACAACAGAGCAGAGTGAAGTCTTATTTTATGTTCTTTAAGGTAATTCTAGGTTTAATCAGATTTGTCAACCTTTATTTTTTAAGCTGCAGTCAAGTCTGTCCCTGTGCAAGATTTGGTAAAAATACTATTGGTGTCAAATAACCATATTGTCATAGGGCATTTTGAACATGAAAAGATTAACAATATGTGAAAAAAATAAAACTGACACATATGGCCAAATAAATATATTTATTTACAAAATTTAATTTTGTGAATTTGTCAACAGCATTTCTCTTTGTCATCAAATTAGTAAATGTAAAGTTTAGCTTTTTTTAGGAATCCAGTGTTCAAGCAATTTGATCTTCAATCTAATGCCCGAAATGTAATGTCGAAAATGGTCTTGTCAGATAAAGGTCCAACTTTAACACGATGACTTCATCACTGTCATACTGGCACTTTAAATCTCAGTTCCCAGTCAAATATTTAAAAGCTACATTCAGCACATATTTCAAGGTGCGACTTGCAGACTGATGTTTTAGTGGTTTAGGTAAAACCAGCAGCAAGACTGTATGCAACACACTGCATAGAAAAATCACATGAACAAAACATTAAACCAATTTACTATTTTGGCTGTAGCTGTTAAAGGTCTTAAATCATTTCTGTCAGATCACTATCCAGTTTAGCTGCTGGTTTCCATTGGTTTTGCCTGTCCTTCACCTGCCCCCTCCTCAACCTCTTCCTCCTCAATTTCCAACACCCTGGGACCATATACAAGGAAGTACGCACAATGCCAGTCACCTAAAAATGACCAGAAAGTGAATCATTTAAAATTCAATTTTTTTTTATTCTTCTTTAATTGGTATGAATCTAGACCACATATCTATAAATTTGTATATATAAGGAATTTTTTAAATTTTAAAAGAGATGTACTTTAAATATACTTGAAAACTACCAAGCCATTTAATTTAAATATAAGACTTTCACAAACAAGATATGATAGCATTAAATACCTCCTCCAGAGAGTCTCAAGATGTCTTCAGATTCTACCACACTAACTTTGTCATCATCAAACATGAGCCATTCATCTGAAAATATAAGACCATAATAATAATAATTAAATGTTATACAAAAATAAAATATCTCATGGAGTACATTACTTTATCCCAGTTCTGAACAGTAAAACCAAGTTGCTCCTTGTAGTTATTTAAGGGTAACAAGGAACTATCCCAAGAAAAATCGTGTTTTATGGCACTTTACCTGCCAATTTGAAGAGTTGTCATCCACCTAAACAGGGGAAAGACTCTGATTTAAGAATGCTGTGTGAGGTAGCTATGTGTGCCTGATCTTCAATTATATTTTCCAGAAGATTTTCTTAAGATAAATGATAATTAGGATTATAGGGTGACTACTTATGCATAGTCTACTGTAGACCTAAACTGACCGGTGTCTTTCCTCCTGACCCAGGACACATAATGTCCACTGGAACTTGACCTGCCACGGTGGGTTAACACTGCCCTCAGCTTGTAGTAACCACTGTTGTTGGAACCAGTATCTAAATATAAGTAAATAAATAAATATAATTATTTATATCAGAAAGCAAAAAGATTTTAATCTAAAGCAGCCTGTTTATAAAACACATTACAATAAGTGCTCAAATTTCAAAGTAATTTCCCTGAATTTTCAGTTTATTTGACATGATATATATATTGATATGAATGTGCACTATAATCACCAAGTGTTGAGTTCAGAATAAGATCATTAATTAGCTACAGGTACAAGGCACTAGGTGCATACTGACCATCCGGAAATGAAAATGGCTCCTTTCTTGTTTTCTTTTCAGGAACAGCAGGGGCATTTTTGACACCTTTCTTGGCCTTGGACTGAAACAGATAATGAGACTCACATTCTTAGTGAAAGAAGGACACTTCGGTTTTAACTGCAGTTAACTGCATTTTTTCCTTAATAACTGACATCTTCAAAATTAAACAAGAAGACAAATATCTCTCTTGAAAGATAACCATTTTTAATTCCTAGATAAGTAAGTAAAAAGATTTTCTGATCATGTTTTGGAAACTGGAATAACTTTTGCAACTTTGGTAACAGGGTAATGCAATATGCAAAACTAAAGGATAAATGCTGTATAACATGTAACTGTTTGTACTTTTTTTGGATAAAAGAATTTTTTAGAAGAAAATGGCCTTACCAAATTTGCTCTCTCCACATTTTTATCTTCCTCTTCCTTAAACTTTGTCCTCATTGGGACCAGCTTTTGCTGCAGTTCTTCAGTACACAGGTCAAAAAGGTCCAAAATTTCTGTGAATTTCACATCCTGTAAAAGGTGTAAGATTTCTTTGAATTATATCATGTATTTTAACACAGTGAGTGCATACAAGAGACAGATACAAGCTGAAGATACAGATCTAAGTAACAGACAAGAATGGAGGAGGGCCACATGTTTAAAAAGGTCCAACTCTGTTCATTCAGGACTGAAGACCTGAAAAAAACGAAGATGATGATGATGACGAATTATGCTTGAGAATTATTTCCTTGTCTGTCAAATCTTACTCCTTAAGTAATAATCCACATGTCAAAAGATTAACTTAATTCTGTGACTGATCTCATTCACTTCAACTAAAAATGCTCCACATATCAAGATGAAAGCAGAAATAATCTTAAGTGGATGTCAATCGAAGCAGAAACACTGGGCACTTACTTTCAGAATTTTAGCATTGACAGCCTCCTTTTCCTTGTAAAAGAATCTAACAAACTGGATTGTTAAATAAGCTGGTAGACGACTAATTTTACTCTGGAAATAAAGAAGGGTGTGGTTATCTACAACGCTTATTAAAATGTCAGACGAGATCAGATGAATAAGCTAGGCTATAAATATATAAATTAATGAAATATCTAAGTTCTTGCCATCAAATTTTGAAACCTAAAAACAATTTGCAAAAAAGTGTACTTACTGTTTTTTCATACTGTGCATCTCTACCTAGTGTGGGGGAATTTTTTGTTATATGTTCTTCAAGTCTCTGTTAAAAGAATGAAAAACTAAGGTAAGAAAAGGCAAAATATGATAATATTTACAAATACAATGTATAGACAAAGACACTTAAAATATACACAGCTTTATATTACTATATATTGTATTCTGCATTTTAATGAGGCACAAATATAAGAACATTTATATAACTTTAAAATTTTCAATCATGCCAAATATTTATCTTCTACTTACTGATTTCAAACCAGTTTGCAAATATTTAACATCTGAAATGAAAATGGAAAAGTATTAAATTCACAATGATTATCCATTTAAATTATAACAACCAAAATAAACACAAGTGCATGGAAATCATTTACTGTATTCAATTATGAACAGTTTTACATCTCATCTTTCTATCACTTGATTTCCTTATCAACCACCCCAAAGGGTAACAACAAATCTTACCTTTTTCTATAAAGCAACTCAGTTGCAGTAGATTCTCTTTCATTATAGTTGGTGGCTCTTCTGGAGCCTCGACACATTTCATTCTGGTAAAAATTAAGGTTGACATAAACATCAAATTATACCCTAACTAACTTAGACGATAGTTAAATACAGAACAAAACAAATTTGATAATGGGTTTATCAGTTATGTCCCCCAATAAAAAGAATGTTTTTCTGGGGTAATGCAATCAGAAAGGATACGTTGAAGTCATCTCTACTCCCATAAACTGGTCAATGAACCCCCTGGTGGGTGCTGGGGTGGAACCATCAACCTAAAACACACAGCAACTTGTCTTATCCCATATAACATTGATATATATTTCATCTACTAATTATTTTTTTAATGTTTTTATTAGTCATAGATGCAATATGACTCATTTGGGCATAGTTGAGTACCTGTATGAACAGATTAGAGACTGCTCTGTAGTTGAACATTCTAAGAAATACTGTTAACTTACAGGCAATCTATCATAACATGCACTTAAACACATCAAAAAACTTATACATTAATACAATTGTATACTAAATAGAAATATATTTGAGATAAATTAATTATACCATTCAGCATTACAAATTTACAATGTTGATATAATTTGTAATGCTGAATGATGAGTAAAATTTCTACTGAAAATGCTTTGTAATGAGAGTGCTCACTGGTGCAGTGTCTTCCAGGGCTGTCAGTTTTTGCTGCAGACATCTCACTATCAGTGTCCAACATTCATTGGCATCCTGTTTGAAAATAAAAATTTACTACATTTCACCACTGTGAAGAAAGCACGCCAAAAAATACACCATGCCAGTGCTTTTTTAAACGGAGCATTACTCCATTTATTCCATGTTTTAAATTAACAAAATATATTTTTATCTTACTGCATCGTACTATTTTCATCAAAAAGTTGACCTTGAGGTATATTTTGTTGATAAAACTTCAATATAAGGAAAATCTGAGAGAATTTTTTTTTTTTAATTGTACCTGCTGAGCCCAATTCCCATGTTCACTTTCTTTCTCAGCAAACTGGGGGAACACCATCTGCAGTATGCTCAGCAGTATAAGGGGAGGAACTGTATTAGACTTGTCCATGGAGGCATACAGATCCCTCAGAGCTAAAACACACATATCATATATATGAAAGTGATATTAAAGTAGAAATTTTAACCTATTTGAGGACTAAGGCTTTTATCAAATTCTCAACTCTTTTGTCTAATTTGAAAAAATTTTCAATGCTTTCTGTCAGTCAAGTTTGCCATGTTGGAAAATATAATTTGTATATTATGCCTGCATATTCAATTGGTAATCATGCCCATCCAACAGGTATTTGATATTAATTGGCAGATCCGTACTAACCTGTTGTAACAGCATATGATGGATTGAATACACCAGCTCCAACATTGGGATGACCAACAACTCTGAAATTGCAAAAGAAGCAAATGGGACTATGGATGAAAAGAAAGTGTTAAAAAAAAAACAAAATAAATTAAATAAAATCCTCATCAAAAAGGATTAAGAGATGCCCCTTGTTCATCACCAGCATTGTGTTGTACATTATGTCTTTAATGCCTTTTATGGATTTATCACTACCTTAATTTTAACCCCATAGGATCCAGTTAATGCTGACCCATAAAGTTCTGCTGTGCCCAATTAATTCTGTGAGCGAACCTTGAAAAGCCGGGTCACTTCAGTAAATTGGCCATAATTTATTTGTTTGCCTTTATTACCCATACAAAGTATACATTTTTAAAAAGCCAATATTTCAAGCTAAATGAAAATAGAATTAAATTTAAATTCAACGTGCAGTATCAAGAGATATGGCCAGTTAAAAACTATATTTTGATTTGGTAAGGGTGAAAAAAAAAAAACAAAGTTGATTTATCTTATGCACATCAATTTTTTATTTCTCCATACATTTGCCTGAAAATTCACAGATATGATGTCAATTATAGTAACTTTCAATCCAGGAAATTTCAGCAAGTTATCTTTATTAATTTCCAAGTTATGCTCGTTTTGCTATCAGGTATACCTATACTTGAGCCAGCTTTTCAGCTCACCTGAACTTCGTGGCCAGAGCTGAATAAAAGTCAAATTTTAACACCATCTATGACAAAAGCATGTTTAAAACTTATATCATGAATAAAGGAATATCATCCGCAATGTCCATTTCACTGTCACTCGAAAACTCCTGATCAGTGTCGTAGTTTTCAATCATTTCAATAACAGTATCCATTCGCAGGCCCCTTCCGTAGTGAGAAGTCGCCATTTTGATTTTACTTTCTCCAGCTAAGTCTAGAAAATCGTCGATTTCTCGCTCATATATATTTCTATCGTCCTTTATATCATAAATAAATGAATATCTTCGGCACTGTCTATGTCACTGTCACACGAAAACTTCTCATCAAAGTCCAGGTTTTCAATCATTTCAATAACAGTATCCCTTCGCAGGTCCCTACCGTAGTGAGGAGCCGCCATCTTGGTTTTACTTTCTCCAACTAAGTCTTGAAAATCGCCGTTTTCTCGCTCATATATATTTTTATCGCCTTTAAAAATGTTGGCAATGAGAGACAAGAAACATACCCGGATGGTAAACTATATATCATTTTTTGACTCACGATACAAAAGAGTACAGAAGACGATCTTTCCAAGATACGCACATATGCGGTTCTGGGCTTTTGGGGTAAGCGATAATTGAACCGCACATATGCGGTGACGGGCTCTATGGGGTTAAGAGATAGGTTGGCAGATGTGTTAATTTTACATCATTTGCAAAAATAAATTGTTTGAAAGAGTGTGTGCATGTTGTGTGAGGGAGGGGGTGGTGTCACATTAACTGAATGAAACCATAAGTCTTTAAAAACAATTAAGTCTGAAAGTTGGTAATTACTTGTTAATAGCTTCTCTGAGCTCTGGCACTGCCTTCAGACACTGCACTGTGGCATTCATATAACAGGTATTTCCCAGGTTGTTCAACCCTGCTGGTAGCTCCATCTGAAATCAAGGAAAATGTTTGACTTCCAGTTGTACATGAGAGAGAGAGAGAGAGAGAGAGAGAGAGAGAGAGAGAGAGAGATGGAGGAATATGAAGCAGACTTTCCTCAAATTAAAAAATTGGTTTCAAAAATACTACAGAAAGCAACACTTCCAAATTCCAAGCACGCTTCCCTATATTTATGTATGCATTTCTTAAGTTTGTACCACACCAAATAAAAGCAAACTATATGTGTTTGTATAAGACAAATGTGTTCCACTTACAGCTGTAGCAAGCTGTTCTTCATTCATGTCCTCCATAAACACAGTCTTCTCTACTGGTTCCTGCAGTGCATCAGCAGTGCCCATCATCAGCAATGTAGCACCCTGGGAAAAGAAAAACCATTTATATTTATCAATTTAAAAATCTTCTAGATTAGAGCAGTCACACTGTTAGTTTTATTTTGATTATATATATCCAGTTTTTATTCATATACCTCAATCCAGTCAGCTTTTGCCTATAAGGTCATGCCAGACTAATGTGACTGTCTAAAGTCAGATTACTGAATGATACTGAGCTAGTGCTACCATTCTGAAATTAATATAAGTTCCTTACATCTTTCAGCTTCATGTTCCCCCATTCTTCATCCTGCAAGAGATAAATAAAAATGTCAATCAGATGGCTGTCATTAGTAAAAATCTTTTTTTTTTTTTGTCATTAAGCTGGAGTGGGGCATTACTATAGGCCAGCCTAAGAAAGATCTAATACATAAACCTCAATACCTCAAGTAAGACTTAAAATACAATTCTTCCACTGCTTTTCACATCTAAACATTCACCCTACGTCATGTACTAGTACATGTATACATGTGAATCTTGTGGGCAAATAATGTAATGAATATTGTTGTCAGAAATGGCTTCAGCAGAGGACATCCACCATCCACTCCTTAACATCTTCATTTGTTATATGTTTAACCTCAACACTATAGAGTTTTTCCTTTTCATAAGGTTGACTACCAGGCTATTTCAAGACTGGCCCCTTAAAAAAGTCTACCCAAAGACAGAGAGACAGAACACAAAGACATGTAAACAACAAAGGTGCAGTAGAATTGAGGACATTCACTGCCAACTCAAGAAAACAGGAAAAGAAGAGCAGCTTGTTTAAACAAAGCAAATATGTTTAAATTGAATCTAAATGAGATTAAAAAAAAAACACTTACTTTTAATACAGCTCCTTTCATCATAACCTTCTGTCTGTCAGGCTGAACTCCAGAGAGAGCAAACAACTGACTTTTGAACAAAAGAGGGGGCTCATCTGTATTACACTCAACATCTGTGAACTTCTCCTTGCCCCATTTCACATTCACTGAAAATGTATTTACATGTGAACTATAAAAGCACATCTGATTATTCTGTGATAGCATTATGTCTAGGTAGAGGGAATGGCACATATTTCACATAATAGGGATAGGAGAGCTGTTAACTCTCTCTAATGTGTTCTAAAATACAACCAATATGCACATGAATTATGATAAGTGTTATTTTTAATTCTCTTAAATGTTAGCATACCAGTAGCTGAGTACATTATTTTCCAAACAATTAGGCCACGACTATGAATAAATGAAACAGTAGACTTAAAGGGCTTCACATCAGCAAAAATTAATTTCAAAATAATGATATCTGAATAAACTGTTGGAGGTATTATTTTCAACAGCAATTATATTCCGATCAGTTGAGTCTTCCAAAGCTCATGAGCAAGAACCAGCCATTGATGCTCTTTAGGAGTAACCAGTTATATTTCAATGGCAGACTGATTTCTAATATCAATCACTTTTAATTCCATAGTGTCATATTAGTTGAGCCTGTATAAATTGATTACAACTGTAAAGTCAGTATAAACTTTGAATGTAAATTAAATGTAAAAAACTGATCGCGAAAATTAATTTAATTATCGAAATAAAAATCAGTATCTTAATAAATTGTCTGAGCTGTTATTTGTAGATCTAAGAAATCTTTTCGACAGCTCTAGATTGATAATTTATTCTGATTAGTGGATCCTTGACGGTCCTTGCATGATTCTTCCAAAATCTCATGCCACAATGGACCAGACAAACTAAGGCCTATCTGTTTTATAGTTTAAGAGTAATCAGTTACATTTAATAGACAGACTGAATTTTTATTATCGATCTCTGTTAATACTAAATATAGTTGAGGCTGTATTACCTTTGAATGTCGGCATTTTAAATCGAAGAAATCACGCTAGGCTGTCCACAATGAGTTTCAAAATCTTCGGTACAGGAAGTGATTAGTGTCTACATCCCAACGAAGTGCACTGCCGGCGAGCCTCAGCTGGTCCCGTCCACAGTTGGCACAGGAAGTTAGCCTCCGACAGACAGGATAAGGCCAGGGAAAATTGATAAGTTGAAAGCCAGCGGCAATTCTGTATGAAAAAATACATGATGTCTAACGGGCAAAGCAGCTAAATTTTAGGGCTGAGCAGCATTTTTTTCTTTTCATTGTCTATGTGTGTAAGTGTGTGTGTGTGTGTG